GTGACCTCACCAACCCAAAGGATCGCGTGCTAACAGGCTGACAGAAAACCAGAACGCTGGCACCACCTTCAAAAGGAACAATGTCTTCTTCTTGGAAAGTTGTGGTGTTCTCCTGGATGAATGCATGTGTCAAAATGTCTCCGCCAGAAATCCTTTGTGTTTCCTTTGAAAAGGGTGCCCTTACAAACCCAGCCCCAAACGGGGAAACGCTTAGGTAGTTCCTTTTGGGTCCCTCTGGTCTGAATGGTTCTCCCTACGTTCTATTTGCCGAAAACACCTGCGGTTTGGCACTTTTAAGCGAGGCGAGCCTGGTGGTGGGTGCGGGCCAGCCGCTCATGATGGCGCTCACGGCCACGGGTGTCTCCACTGGGGCGGCCACCAGCTGGACGCTGATCCTGGAGCAGCGGCCTGGCAACGGAGAACTCTTACCCCCGCTGCCGGGTCCCGGCGCCTTTTTCTTTTTTTCTTCTTCTTTTCTCGCAACATGGCGGACAGCTATAAGGTGGTTGGTTGGTTGGTTGGTTGGCTGGTTGGTTGGTTGGTTGGCTGGTTGGTTTGTTGGTTGGCTGGCTGGCTGGTTGGTTGGTTGGTTGGTTGGTTGGTCGGTCGCGCGGAACAAGCTTTGCGGACAGAAGCATGAAATTACGGCGACAGGCACTACCGAAGCGGGCAAGTAGCAGCGCTGCAAAGCTCCTCGCGCACTCACCACCGGCCGTTTCTACCTTCTCCAGAAGGCCTCAGCTTCTCACCTGATGTCTCGAGCCAGCAACGCCAAAGCCTCCAACCCCGCATGGCGCGGCGGTGGCGAGGAACTTCTCAAGTAGAAGCACGGGTGGTGAAGGAAGCAACCAATCTGCATTTCACAGCCTTGTAGTCCTGAGACTGCCCTTCGGCTGCCCACACTGCGACCTCGAAGCTCTGCCGACTTGAAAGCCCAGCATCCAAGCAAGGGCGTTTTTCTCCAAACCCCAAAGCTGCCTCCCAAATCGAAGACCCTCAGATCGAAAAGGACCATGGCAACTGATAAAGGCACGCGGTAGCAAGAAATCAAGGAGCATAAGAGGTCAACCATGTTTTTTGACGCTGCAGCAACCGAAGCAATCAAGTGCGGCCTCCAGTCCCCACGAATGGACTACCGCAGGCCAAGCCATGTGTGAACATTCACGCAAACCCAAACAAGGGCTGGCCTTGTCGGGTGCACAATGAGGGACATCGCAAGGGGTTTGGGTCATCGACAAAATGAGAAAGGACTTGGGCCACCGTTTTGGAGGCCCTTAGGTGCACCTCCACCTTGACGTCCTGAGCGCACCAAGAGACAATGGTAAGGCTCCAAAACATTTCCCCGCGACTTGATGCCAAAACAACAGCATCATCTGCGTGAAATAGGACTGGAATACGGGTCATCCAGCAAGTCCAGTGGCGCACGTTGCCTCGAGGGCCGGGCGAAACACTTGGCACATTGTGAGCTGCGCCGTCTGGCGCTCCCGGGCCACCCACCGCAGCGGTGCCATCACCTGCAAACTTGGGGTTGTGCAAAGACATGCACCAATGCACCATGCTTGACCACTGGCTATCTGGCGTCAGGGCCGCGCCCTACCGTTGAGGGTTGCAGTTTGGCGTCGCCAGTCCACAGCACCTTTGGCGAGAGGACTGCCCCAATCTCTCCACCTTGGCGCAAGACTTCCATATCCGAGTTTATGCCCTGAACCTCCTTCTGCCACGCATGTTCATCATCCAGCAAATAGGAAATCAGCCAAGCTGTTGTGCTTATGGTGGTGTGGCGGTTGGTGCTTGTTTGCCGATGTAGTCGGGGTGCTGTTGTCCCACGCAACTTGTTGTGCATGTTGTTTGCATGCTTAGGGCTGGTACCCTGGCTGTCTGGCTGCCTGGTCGGCTGGCTGGATGGTTGGTTGCTTGGTTGGTTGGTTAAGCGTGCCCTCAAAAGGTTGATCAATGGTGCACACATCCCTGTTCGAGGGGGAGCACTCCCACTCTGCGTGGGGTGGACAAATTCGCTTTTGGCTTGGCGGGTCTGTTTTTTGTGACACGTCCACTCCTGCGTGCCCGGCAGGCAGGCCGGATGGATTGTCGGATCCAGGGATTGGACCCTTGCGGCACTTTATCGCCTCACTATTTTCTGCATGTTCCACCTTTTTTGGCCTCATCTGCCTTCATTTGGCCTTTCCCATCCTTAGTTGGCTTTCTTTGGACTGTTTGGGTGTGTTGGGCAGTGGATATAGCTTCACGTCAGACTCGAGGTTTATGCGGAACTTCTTCGTGCACGTGGGTTGCCCCATCCTGTCGTCGCCCATGCTGATGGCGATGCTCGTGCGCTGGTCGATGAATAAGATCCTTCTGACCGACTTCTTCATAGCGCCCTGGTCGATTGGGCAAGAGGATGCCCTGGATTAGTGCCCAACAACTCAAAAACCGAAAGCCTGGCCGGTATTCCATGTTTTAGCCATGCCCTGGTGCCCTTTCCAGTTCCGAGCCGGCAATCCATGTCATGATTTGACCATGATCTTGTGACGGCGCATAAACTTGCATCCTTTTTCAGCAGTTACAGGTCACTTAGCCACGGAATTGTAGATGTGCATGTGGATTATTATTTATTAGGTTGGGTACAACGCGGCTCCTTTGGGAACCCATGGATTGGGTTCTCTTGGGGCTTCTGGGACGGCCTACGTGGACAACCATGTCGCAAGTCAGATCGAGCTCTTCGATTGGGGTCAGGACATGCGGACGATGACGGGCCCCGGTTGATCAACCAGTATGCATACGAGGTTTCATTCATCCCAACTGATGCGAATTTGTCCATCAGCCAGGGTTCCAGCGGGTCACCCGAGGACAACGTCGTGGGGCCGCTGTGGGAGATGGCCAAGAAAACTCTGGGGCACCTTGGCCGCGTCAAGGTCCGTTTTGGGCTACTGCAAAAGTGTCGGTTCCTTGGAGTGCCAAACGCCTAAAAAGGTGGCCATAGACACCCATGCTCGTCAATTGGGTGCTTTGGGTGTTGTTTTCAGGCTTGGTATCCTTCTCACGGTTTACGAGAAAATGTAAAAGGGAAGCCTGGCCTGATACAAATTGATTCGGGACGATAACCACGAGTCGGGACGCTCTTTTCGTGGATAGTGTCAAGGGGAAGGCTGGGGTCGAAAAGTGGGGCTTGGTTCTTGTCAAAGACAAGCCCATCAGCAGCTTATTCGGTTGGTCTTTGGCTCCTGGTAAAGCTCTGATGGTTCTAAAGGTAAATCAGAATCAGGACCTCTTCCAAAAATGGGAGGGTCCACACCCCCACCCACACCCCCACCCACACCCCCACCCACACCCCCACCCCCACCCCCACCCCTCCAAATTTTGGGTCCATCAACCTGCCCTCTGGCCCTCTGGCCGAGGCCGCTGGCCGTCTTGCCCCAGACGCTGGGTGTGTCCCTCGACGTGGTGAAGGCGTGGAGCTCTGTGAGAGAGCCGCAAGCGCATCCCGCGAACGCCTCGACCATAGTCCGAGAAAGGGTTGGTTTGGTGTAAAAATCGAGGGGTTCCACGGGTTTGGATGGGTTTGATTCCATTTTTCAGGGCCATCTATTTTTCCAAAAGGACACCTATGCTTGTAAGATCACCCTTGGACAGGGACCGAAGAGGGACACTTTGCATTTTGGGCGTTCATATGAGGCCTGTCAAACTCTCCCTCCCCTTCAACTGCGCCCGCGCCAAAACGACCTGGGTTGGGGGCCTCGCGCGGTCTGAGGTCTAACACGCACCACTGTCTCAAAATTGGAACCTCATTGGGTCTTTCAAAGAAACCAGCTACAGGAAATTCTGCCCAAGAAAAACCATCTAACTGGCGGTCTCCTTTTAGGGGCTAGATTCCAAACACTAAGGGGTAGTGGTAAACACATGGGGGCTGATCAGTGGTCCTTTACATGGGATGACCATTCGTTGGAAAGCCACAAAAAAAGAGAGATCTGCCCCGTCAAATGGTGTAGATTTCCCCATAGTGATTCAGGGGCCAGGAATGTTTGATCAACCCCCACATGTTCAGACCATGCTTTCACTCAAACTGTTGGTTTCCCTGAAACCCCCGTTTTTTTGTTCAGATTGGTTTGATCAACCCCCACCTGGCAACAGAGGAGCTTCGAGATCACCGGGTCAGGCCGTTCTGCGGGCGGTCAAGGGTGCTCTCGGCGGCAACAGCACGCAGGACACCAGGCGCGGAGGGCTGATGTGGAGTGTCGGCGATCCCTTGGTGGGCATTCTAAGCGCCAACCGGAAGGAGAAGGACACCAACCAGTTCCAGGTACATACATACATACATACATACATACATACATACATACATACATACATACATACATACATACATACATACATACATACATACATACATACACATACATACATACATACATACATACATACATACATACATACATACATACATACATACATACATACATACATACATACATACATACATACATACATACATACATACATACATACATACATACATACATACATACATACATACATACATACATACATACATACATACATACATACATACATACATACATACATACATACATACATACATACATACATACATACATACATACATACATACATACATACATACATACATACATACATACATACATACATACATACATACATACATACATACATACATACATACATACATACATACATACATACATACATACATACATACATACATACATACATACATACATACATACATACATACATACATACATACATACATACATACATACATACATACATACATACATACATACACATACATACATACATACATACATACATACATACATACATACATACATACATACATACATACATACATACATACATACATACATACATACATACATACATACATACATACATACACATATGTGTATATACATATATATATATATATACATTCACATGCAATATGTGCATGCCAGCGCACATTTGCATACAGAGCCGCGCATGCTATGGTACGAGACCTGTTCTTATTGCGAAAAACAGTTGAAAAGGGGTGGTTCCTCAGCCATAGGACCAAGTGTCAGGTTCCTGCCTGCTTGGATGTGCAACCGACTTAGCAAGAAGCTTATAACCATGGTTGCAAGTTTGCCCAGTTGCCATGATAAACCTCCTTACTAAGATTGAACATCTGAGTAGTGATAGGTGCAAGTGCCAAGCTGACACGGGTTCAGGCACTGGTGGGGCGACAACTCCTATGTAGTGAACATCTGAATAGCCCCCAAAAAGCCAAGACCCCAAACCAAAGACCAGGGAGAGCTGGCTGGAAGCGGCGCGGGCCTTCCATGCCACTGCAGCGGCGGACCTGCTGCCCCGCGGCCGGGGTTTGCGGTTTGCTTCGTATGGCTTTGGGTTCGTTTGTTTTTTTGGGGCGGGGGGGAGGGAGTGTATGATGGACGCCAACCCATGGTGTATTTTCAACCACTTTCCGCGGAATATTGAAGAAGCACTTCCTCCTATTAATAATACATGATTGGCAACGTCCACACCATATTTTGTTCCCGACCTAAAGTCTAAATCTAAGCCCTCAAATTTCCCGCGGACCCCAGCACCAGTCGTTCGGGGACACGTCAGAACCAGAACCAAACCAATACAAATCGTTGTTCAGCCAATCTTAAACAAATTCGACCAACATGACCAACACACAATGTATTATAAGGGTGAAGAGATTAGACTCTAAGTGTCCACGGCACAAGGGAGTTGGCACCTGGTGAGCAGCGTTGCCAGGACAAGGGACAAGGACCCAGAATCCTCAGAACCAAAGGGACCACCGAATTTTTATAGCGGGAAACCTTCCATGGGGTTACATATCTCACATGGAACCCATTTGGGGATGTTGTGACATTGATTGCACCAGTTGTCTACGGTCCACCACAAACACTGGAATAGATCAGCCGCATAACTCTTTACAACATGCTGATATTTAGGACCAACGGTCAACGGGTTTTACGCACTGCTTGGCGGTGTTTCCTCAAACAGGGAACGGGTTTCCTTTTGGTTCCCCCTTTTGAAGATCCAGCAGAGGCCAGCACACCCCCCTTGAAGGCACTGGCACCTGCTTTCAGATCTTGATCCTAAAACTTTTACCCTACTCTACGAACGAACTTGTTTCTGGCTGGCGAATAAGTTTGCCCTAAGCTGAGCCACGACCCGGCGTTTGCCTTTTGATACCCCTTCTGGTACACCACCAAGGTTGACGACCTGCCACCTGTATAACAAACCTGTTTGGGGGGGGATGTGCAAAGGCAAACTCCTTCTTCAGCGCTTCTTTTTTCACCACAAGTCAAGGCCAACAGGTGCAAGCACACCCCTCGAAAACGAACAAGACAAGTTGAGAAGCCAAACTTGAACCCTTCTTTGGGAAAGGGGAGGGGAGGGGGGTAAGGTCAAACGCATTTTTTGAAGACTGCGAAGGGTTCAAGCTACGGTTTTGGAAGTTGGAGCCAAGACAAGGCAGCAGTACTGTGGGTGGACAAAAAATCCATTTCGCACCCATAGCAAACCATAACGTTTGTTGGTATTTGCGTTGGGGAGGCGACTCGCCCCAGTTTTGTTTTTCTTCGGTGGTGCGAATTGAAGATTTCGCCACCATCCACAGTATGCCTGGTACACTCACACATTAAAGATAATCAACACCAAGGTTCGCACCTCTTGGCATGTTCTTTATCTCACTTCCTGAGGTCATGAACTTTCAACTTTTTGGGATGACCATTTTAGTGGCAAATATAAAGTTTGGACTTTTTTTGGGCCATCCACTCAGCCAATGAGTTATTTGCTGCTTGTAGTTCTCCCGGAGGTGACGCCCCTTTGAGGTACGGCTTCTTCTCGGTGACCTTCGGCGTCATGTGGCGCGCCGTGGCGACCGCGGCCTGCACCGCGGCGCGCCTGGCGCTGCCGGTGATCAACGGCGCGGAGGCGAGAATCGCAAAGCGAAGCGCCCGGGGGGTTGAGGCGATGGTGAAGCCACATGAGCCACGTGCTCAAAACCCAAACCACGTGAGCCACGTGCTCAAAACCCGGGTGGATTCACGTGGGTAAGGCGGTACCAGGGGCGTTTGAATCAAATGGCTGAGTTCCGTTGACCAGGTGAGCTTGCTGTTGCAGATTCATGCGAACGGATCCGAAATCTCATTTGATAGGCGTCACATCAAGGGATGCTTCCACTTCGGGGGAACAGTACCTCCAACGGGATCCAACCGTTTCTACTTAGATCCGTGGTCGGCATTACCCGGGAGCGGCATCCCAAAAAGGACACAACAGACCCCCTCGGCCGCCTCAAGCCTCGATGGACAAAATCCACCCGACGTCCATCTCCATGACTTCAGTTTCAAGGGCCTGTCGCAGTTGGTCCGCGTTTTGCAGGGGAAGCGCTGAAACTCGGCTTCGGCGAGGCTGTGGCTCAAAACATGGTACTCAAAATGGCCCTCCGGTAAATAGAAACAAAGACCAACACCTGCGTAACCCCAGCTAAGAACTAAGAAGGCGGATATCCGCAGCTATTTATGGTTGGGAGTACCCCTTACCAACGTGAATCTACCCGGGTTAACGGCATTCTGGTAAATAGAAACAAGACCAAATCATGGCACCTGCCAAAAAATGGTGGAGTCATAGGTTTCACCAAAAGGACCCCGCGAACAACTCTCATTCGGACCAGATAGCCAAGAAGCTCTGCGGTCCCTTGTTTGTTTCCCGATTGAGAAACACTCGGCCTTGCAATTTTAGTGTCATCGCCCAAGAATAAGACCAGGGCTATGTACTCATCAACAAGCTGGGAAAGCACGAGCCGGCGGATTCCATTCATCAAGCTCACCGATCCACACATTTGTGACTGTTCTTGGCATGTTTTGCTTGACAACACGAAACCCGTTGTTTGCCCCACAGCCCTGGTTGACCAACAATGCACCCAAGCCCCCATATTCCATTAGCCTATCAAAGTGGGCATGCTCATCAGGGATCAGAAAGCAGGTTCATCAAAGCACAACCTCTAGCAAAGTGGCTACGTCAGATGGAGGTTGTGTAGCGTTTACAGAGTTACTGCCTTTGTAAGAAAATGCAGTCGGCCTATCACATTTTGACTCGTCTACTCAAAGGTCAAGAGGTGGAAAACGGGTCCCAGGGTCCCATGTCCGACAGAAAAGGTTTCTTTTTCTTACGGTCAACTAGTAGTTCTCTCTGGGCTATTCAAAGGCGATACCTAATCCTTCCCTTCGAAAGGGATCCCTTCGCGGTTTCCCAGGGTGTGTCTTCCTTTCTTTTCTCTGTCGGAAACTAAAGGGAATCGAGTCGTCCCACAGGACACTGTCCCAAACCCGTTTTGAACGGTGCAGCCGACATGAGGCGGGCATAGACGCGGGCCTGCAGAGCTTTGCAAAGACCTGGGAAGGTTTGGCCCGCAGGGCCTCTCAAGGTCTGAAGAGAGGCAGGATAATCCGCATGGATCAGTTCTATTTGCGCGACCGCGGGTTGCTAGGGATGGTCAGCACGTCTGAGCGGGGTCTTGGATAACCAATGCAACAGGAAACCACCTGGAGACGAATCCCCACCTAAAGTAAAGAAACGCGAAGACGGAGGCCAGGACGCCGAGGATTGTAGAATCTCAAAGGGCGCGCACTCATCCGCTGCAAGCGCTTCTGAGCCTAGTGTTTGAAGGGCAGAATGTTGGACGACTGGCATCCGGACTAGTGGGAGCTTCTTGCTTAAGTCGGGGTTGGAATCTCGGCGCCTTCAATCACCATAGTGGGCAATCAGAAGGTTTGGGGGTTAAACTATCGTGCATGGCCTAGAGGGAAGGAACCCTGCCTATCTGCTATATCGACAGGAAACTACTGGGGTATTTTCATGTGGTTCGATTAACATGTTCAGTTTCAATCGCCGCTCATGGTCTACGATCACGTGATCACGGGTAAAGGGAACCCACCCTTGGCAAAAGGCAGCAACAGGTGGCTAACCGAGATTTGGGACAGGGACACCGAGCCCCATTAGTTTTCTCTCTGATGGAAATTGGGTGGGTGGGGGATGTCCAATTTCAAGTTGGAAAGAAGTACGCTAGGATGTGCCCTATCCACCGTACCAACCCAATACCATGTGTGGGCGATATATTTGCAAGTACCCATTCTTTCGGTTGGTTCGAACGGGCGCGGGAGTCCACCATTTTGGGGGTTCTTCATGGACATACATTCTCATGTACATGCCCACTATGCACTCATACAAACAAGCACACCACGCTTTGCCATTTGGGGTTTCATAGAAGTCCATGGCTTGTTTGAACCCATCTTGCCATGTAGGGTGTATAGGTCTTTGGGTTGTTTCCCCCAGAATTCATACCTTCCCACTAAGAACCATAGACGCGCACAGCTTTTCCAAGAGGATGGTAGGGTACTTGAGATGACAAACAAATCCTATCGAGACGGGGTACCCATGTTGGCGCGTCTGGTTTTCGGGGACCCCGAAATTCCAAAGAAAAGAGGAGGCTTTGGTCTTTCTTTTTGGTTTGCCTAAGCCACCAAACATGGGGTGGAAACACATCCTCAGAAAAGGGCGGGTGACTTCCATTGGGGTGTGGCTCAAAATGTAAGAGCTAGGGTTACGCAGGTTTTGGTCTTTGTTTCCATTTGCCTTTTGGTGCCATGTTGGGTATACATTTTTCGAGCCACCGGCAATATGTTTCCACCAAACATGGGGGGGGGTCAAAACGAGACACAGGTTTTTGGAGTTGGCGGGTGACTTGCCACTGGGACCACTGGGAGGGTTCCGCCTGCCCGACCTCAGGCCTGCAGGACGAGACGGCGAAGCGCGTGGCCCAGATGGCCGCGGAGGACCGTCAGGTGGCCGAAGCCAGCAGGCGGATGTCGCGTCAGCGTGGGGGGGGATGGCGGGCCTTGGGCGTCTCAGAAAATCAGAGGCGCGTCTGGTTTTTTTCGGAGTTGGTGGTTCCTGTTTTTGGGGGGCATGAAAGGCAAACCCAAAGGAAACCACCGTTTTTGGGGTTTCTAGGTCCCCCAGCTAGGTGCCAACTTTGACCGTTTCTTTTTTGGTTGGGAGGAACCCCTCCCAACTAAAACAGATGACCTGAAAAAGTTGCTAGCCTTATTCTAGCCTCTCTACTGGAGGACCTAGGTTTCGTCTAAAGGAAGACATACCCAGATACCAAATTTCTAGACAACCGGCAGATACACCCAACCTCCATTTTGAGCCTTGCTAACTGGAGCTGAGGGAATGTCTACATGGGAAAAGCAGCCGTCATCTGTTGCAGTTGGGCAAGTTTTACTCCAATCGCTTGTGTGATATCAGGGGTTTTCGGCTCTCTGTTGAAGCAGTCGTCATAAGGAATTTGCTTCCAGTGGTCTGTCGCCCAAAAGCCAATACTGTTGGGCCATGTTGGTCGGCTCTAACTGGCTGAGCGCTGAGAGTTTTCGGCCGATACGGGTGTGTCCTGTTTGTGAGGGTATTGTTTCTAGGTTGGTTTCAAGGGAAGAAGAATGAGAACCAGACCCAGACCCAATCTTTGCCGCTGCAAAAAAAAGCCCCCGCGGGGCATTTCGGGCACTCGTCCCCTTTGCATCCGTTAGGGGCATCCCGAGCAAGACGCTGGCGCTGGTGCACAAGATGCTGGGCAAGGGCTCAGTGGCGCTGGCGTCAGGCGACTTCAAAGCCATGTGTATGTGTATATATATATATATATGGATGTGGCTCAAAATTACCGAGCTAGGGTTACGCAGGTTTTAGTCTTTGGTTTCATTTACCAAGTTTTGGTACATGTTTTTGAGCCACAGCCATATGAGAGATAGAACGAACGCTGGGTAGCTGCAAAGGAAGAGATCTCCTGCTTACAGACGCTTCCAAGAGAGTTGACCTTCGGAGCCCATCCCTTCTCTCTGTCCTTTCCTTTTACGATTATATCTCCTATAATTCCAGATCTTAATGTAGGAATGGGAGATAGAAAGGAAAGGAATAGATCTCTTTACCTCTATCATCTCTCTCATCTATCACGTAGGAATCCGGAGACGATAGATCGGATGCGTACATATATATATATATACACATAACAGCAACGCCGTATTTATGGTTTCAGGGTTTATGGTTTTAGGGTCAAGGTTTAGGGTGGCTTTAGGGTGTAATAGTTTTCGGGTTTACGGTTTAGGGTTTATGGTTTTAGGGTTGAGGCTTAGGGGGTGGGGTGTTGCGGGCCCGGGGAAACCCCCTCATATATTTATGTTTGTTTTAGGAGCGTAGCCCTTTGCAGGCTGGTCTAAATGGAAACCAAAGGCACACCACCATTTTTGGGGATACCCCATGTTTGACACAAAATCATGTGGGTTTGGCACCCCGAAAACCATCGTTCTGTATGGGTTCTGAGCTTCCGCGTCGCAAGCTGCTTTTTAGCGTCTTTGGCTTCTTTGTCTTGTGGCATGATGCATGAATGGGGACATGGGTCATGGGTCTGCGCCGCATGGGCGCGCGCGGGTTCAAGGTTGGTTCTGGCTTGAGGCAAGTGTGATTTTAGATCATGGGAGTTCTCGGTTGTTTGGCGAGGGACGAATCTGCCTAGTGGCCTCACGCCCACCAAAAGTCAAGCAATGAGTTTTCCTAGAGGCCAATGCACCGCTGGCAGGCGCTGATAAGTCTCTGAGTGTCTTTGAGAAGCTGCTGGACATGATTGGGCAAAGCACCATCTTCGTGCGTCTCGGCTGGGCTTCCGGGCTGCCGGCGCTAATTGGCTTAGGATTGATCTGCAGTCCAAGGAGCAGCCTAACGTGAATTGGTTCCCGCTCTTTCAGTGGAGCCGCTCTGATTTGTAAGGAATCTAAGCAGCAGAAATCAGAGGATTTGTGCTGGTTTTGAATTTGCATCTCCCTGCCCCACCCCCCCCCCTCCTTCTCGATCTGCTCTTGAGGTATGGCATCTCCAGCGCCCTTTCCTTCTTGGTGCTGCGGGTCTGGCAGCCGTCGCAGGAGGCGAGGCGCAAGGCCCACAGGCTGACAGTGGTCACAATTTTCACTCTACGCTGTGGCGCATGAAGGCGAGTAAGGCAGAACCCCTTGCAATATTGAGGGCTTCCATAGTCCCTCCCAATCGTGATGTTACCAACTCCAACGGCCTGCCACCGGAAGGAGTTTAGAACCTGGCATGAATCTCTGTTTTTGTTGGCTCAACCATGGCTTTGTCTTTTGGGAGGGTTTTTGGATTGGCATAGAATCAGATCAAAGGAAAACTTCCCCCTGGAGACAGCTTCCGAGGCCTAATATATTGCAAGTTCAACATTGTATCAGGGGAGGGGGGGCCGCAGATGTCATGTCGCAGCAGTGCTTCTTGTTGTGAAACGTGCTGTTTATTTGTTTGCTCCGCACTTGCAATATTTCGGGCTTCAACCGGAGCAAAGGGTGTATCTGGGTTGGTGTCTCCCTCTCGCTCTCTCTCTCTTAAAGAATGCATTGCTTGTGGTTTTAGGGAAGCAAAAGGAACACACACCATTTTTTTTCGGGGCGGGGGGGTCCGATGACTAACAAAAAGATGAGCCACCCATCTCCCCCTTCCGCTTCCTTGGCTGACTCAAGCTCAGCCTCCCGAAACATATCTGAACTCTTTAAACGCCGACAATAAGATCTTTACATTGGTTGAATAAGAAAACACAACTCCCAAAAAACATCTACCACCTCTTCCGATTGAGTTCGTCGTGTTTTTCGTTTTTGCAACCTTAAAGCCAGGGGCACAGGTGCCGTTTTGGTAATATAGAGGGGTTCCCCGCGTTTCTAGCGGGTTTGCTCCGAGTCAAGACCACAAGGGCAGAAGATTTGTGGTCCTTACAACCAACAAAGCCAACAACTAACAACCAACAACCAGCAACCAACAACCAACAACCAACAACCAACAACCAACAACTTCCATTTAGGGCCCAACCTCCAGGTGGTGACGGATGAGCTGCTGTTGGCCTCTCTGGGTGAGCGCCTAGAGGACTTCAATGCCTACAGCTGCCAGGGCCGCCAGGCTGGGCTTCGAGATCTCGCTCTTTTTTGTCCACACTGTGGATGGTTGCGAAATCCTATTTCGCACCACCTAAAAACCTCTGGGGTGATGCTTCCCCTGTTACCAACAAATAATGGTTTGTCATGGCTTCAAAGTGGTGTAGGATGTCGTCCACCCACGGTGCTGTGGTTGTCAAAACAATGGGATCCCATTTTGGTTGGTAGGTGAACCGCCCATTTTCGAATCTATGTTAGTGGGGGTCACGATTTGGATTTTGATCCATGGCCACGTCCCCATCTCCGACGGAGGAAACGTGGGTTTTCTCCCTTTCTTTTTCTCTCCGTGTCTCCGTTGCGGGGGGAGTTGGTGTTCCCCGGCCGCCCCCGGTTGTCCCCGGTTGCCACGAGTTGGTTCTCAGGAGGGCCGGGACTGCGCACTGCTGCGCTTTGGCGGCCTCAGCCGGGCGCCTAGAAATTTTTAGCGGCGCCGGCCAGGAAGCGGCCAGAAAACGGAAATTCCAGATGGCAATTTTTGTAGTTTTTTGTTTCCCCTCATTTTTTTTAAATGCCTGGTGTGAATTCCATTTCAGTCTGGTTTCGTGGTTGGTTTTGATGCTTTTCTTTGTATCATGGTTGTTCCATGCTCGCTTCATAGTTGTTCCAGGATCGTATTGTGATTGTTTTCTGATTTGACTATTGATTTCCGGCTTTAAGCTTTGCGGTGAATAAACCCGGGATTCAAATGGACAAGTACATCACCAACTCAGAAATACCTCAGTGTGTAAGAATAGCTCAGCGTGTCATTTGTAGGCAGTTTCCACTTTTCGTGCATCTATGCATGCCTCGGCATGCAAGACTGCGCTCTTTTTACACCGTACAAGTCTGCAGGCATGCGCTGCTAGATAACCAAAATTAGCTTAGCGTGAGATCTAACATTTGGAATGCAGTTAGGGTGTTTGGTCGGAAAACGTGATTTTAAGCTGCAGTCCAACCACTTTGTAAGGGACCATGGGTGAGCATGTCTGATCTTTAGCATTCAAACAGGGGTGCAATTTTGGTCTCCCCATATGAAAAGGAAGGGAGACCTGGTTGTTTCATTTGATTCATTCGCTGCTTTCCTTCCTGAGGCAACGAGACGGTTTCCACGGGCGTTTGTTGCAGAGGGAGTTGCTCCGCGCAGTGCGAGGCGGAGGCGCGAGGCTCGCGGCAGCTTTCTTTCGCTGGAAGCAGCGGTTTTTTTGCCCGGCTTCGGGCCCCCCAAACCGTTAAGACCCCGCCGTCGTGTTTATCCATCTTCACGTTTTTACATGTGGCTGTGGGTCAAAACCCAGTACTTCTGGTGAACATCAAAATCGGTCAAATGGATGTTCATCCACCCCAAAATGGAGCCATGGTTCCCAGTGCCCCTCCCCCTCCCTCGGCGCAGTCGCCCGACGCCGACCCCGACGTGGCGGAAGCGGCGGCCTCCGCGGCGGCGGCGATGTCTTTGGTGGACCTGCGGCGCCAGTCGAAGTGTCGTGGCTAGGGTTTTTGAAAGGAAAGCCATGGAAAACCAAAACTGCTTTCTTTCTATTTTTATTCCATGTTCTTCTATTATTCTTGTTTTGTTTTTTTGCAACTTTTCTGTTGGGCTGCGGGGAAGGCGTTCTGAAGCGTGAGGGTATGCGATGGAAAGCTTGAGGTATGGGAAAGAGAGGTCCACTTGGTGAGGGAGTTTCGATCAGAGTTCCGAGCTTGACAACTTGACCATGACCCAAACGTGAGTTTGGACTATGGCACAGTTCGGCTTCAAAACCAGGTCCCAGTTTGGGGGACCACAAGGCTTGATTTCTGGGATCACAACAAGAGGCCCCTCCAATGAGCAATGGAGCGGGAAGTTCCAGTCTGCGTGTATTTCCCACAATTGGCCTTGGGCGTTAGGGCCACATAGCCGTTTGCTGTCCAATCACGACAAGCAAGAAAAACAAGGCTTGAAACACCGAACTCACAGTGACTTGCCGCAAAGCCCTGTCTGGATTCAATGGGGACAACCTGGATTATGGTCGGACAGCCTGCAACCTGACATTGATCCGAATATGGGAATGGTTGCGCGGGGACTCGGGGCGCCATCTTTGTTTTGTTGCTTCAAAACGATAAATCATCGAACATGGTTGGCTTCCTGTCGGAAACTGAGTCTACGGCTTCACTTCTTTTCGCCGCGAAGCGTGTCAGCACCTGTTTTCTTTTTGAGGCTTCATTTTTTGGGTGTTGGTGTAAAAGCCACAATTTTTTGGGAGTTCCCCTACTTTGAGACACATACACACATACCCATTTGGAGGGGCTAGCTTTGGCACGGGCCCATGGGATGGGGACCTTCATGCGAATCGCTCGCTTTCCTGAGCCGAAACGAACAACGGTCGACGCCCATTGGGTGAATTTCATGTTCAACATCCTATGAGACAAACCCAATGGGATAAACTCACAGTGGGAACGGCCTCAAAGTGTGACCCTAACATCATGGGGCTGGGGAGGAGGGAGGTGGGGGCAAATAAGCCCCCTCCCCCCCAGCCCCCATGATAACATGGCCGGCTTGGTTTTAGTGTTCAAACAATTAAGAGCAACCCCAAACGAGAGCCCTGAACAAAAAGACACAACCATGTGTGAGAGGCCCTCCAATGGCTAGTTTCGTGTTGTTCTTTTTAAACAGAGAAAAGGTCCTGGCTTGCGACACATACTCAATGGACACTTGTGTCTGCATTCTGTACCACCCTTGCGCCACCTGTGTCATACATGGAGCATTCTTCATGACGGAATCTGAGCATACATATGGTTGCCCACAAATGACGCGCCCCCACAGTGCAACGCATTTGTGGCACACGCATCATGTTGACCATGGAGTATAGTCGATTAACCATGGAGTATATAGTCGACTCGGATGATTTTGCACTTTGTTGAATGATACTTGGGCAGCCCCTGCAAATGTCTCCTGCCCCCCACCAAATGTGAGCTTGCCAACATGTTTGGGCAATTCTGGCAACCTCACAAAGGAGATTTGCAACCTCGCGCATGATGACGGGTTCTTTTCATGGGGTCCCTTATTTTGGGCTGGATATTTTGAATTCATTCAGACACCCTACCCTTCTCCGCAGCTTTTGCTTCTCCGGACTTGGGAACTTTTGCCTTTGCAGCTCCGTGCTCCCATGGCGGACTCCTTCCACAACAAGGGTTTGTATTTGGATCTTGCGATGGCTGCAGAGATGTTTCAACACTACGCGCGCTGGTCGTGCCCTATGCAGGAGGGCGGCCTCTTCTTGGATCGACGAAATGTAAGGCCCCCCAAACACAAGCTCAGATTTGGGGGGTTCTTAAACTCGTGGGTTTCCTTCTGGTTTCCCTATTGAACCCCAAAAATGGGAACCCGCACAAAAGGACAGACCCGCTTCGTCTCGGGCGTGCCACGCTGGTCCCCGGATGGCAAAAGGACCCTTTCTCAGATCGCAGGCGGCGCCTCCCTCTGGGACCTTTTTTCGACCGCCAGAAGTGCTGGAGGTTCTTTCGGTGGAGACAGTGGCGACGGGCTTCAACAACCTCACCCACAAGGTGCGGGTGACCTTAGCCGGGGATGGAGAAAAGATCGATGGACCGCGCCTTGATTGCGGACCGGAACGAGCCGAAAGGCTTGAATAATTTTTGTTTGAACAAACGTGGTTTGCAGTGGACTTTTGCACATGACCTTTCATCTTTAGGCTTTTCGTTGTACACGGAAGCATTCCCCCCCAAAACAGGCAACCAACCTGGGGACTAGTCAGACCAACGAGATTGGTTCGCCCCAGCCAGAGGGTTCTCGCGTGCGCCGAGGCGCGAGGCCGCGTTTGCCGTGCGCCTGACCAACGCCAAGTCTTGGCCCAGGGCGAAGATCGAGGCGGAGGTGGCGGCCATTGTTTTCGTGGGCACGAGGTGCCCGGAGGCGCGATGGCCCAAAAACAAGCGGCGTTCAGCCTGGATGGCGCGTTTTTTTTTTTTTTGTGGGGCACCCTTGCTTCTTTTGGGGTTTTTGAAGGGAAGCCAAAAGGAACACCCACTTTGCGGGTCAAAAGAAAGACACCCAAAATACGCAAGCTAAGCTTTTTCTCCCATGGTCTCAGGTCTCTTGGAGCCAGAAAAATTGGTTCCAGCCCTTCCAACAAACCAACCCGAAGACCCGAAGATTAATCCAAGCTGAACCTTCGGTGTCACCCCCACGAGCACCGAGCAAGGTGCCTGTGCCGAACATCCGCTTCTTCAACTGCGAGGAGCGGGTCGGCCAGGCAGCCCCAAACTCACTGGAGGTCTGGGGTCCCGTTAAATCTCCGATTGGCGTGTTTTTTCGAGGGTACCTTGTTTGGGTGTGGTTTGAAGGGAAACCAAAAGACAAATCACGCTTTTTTGGGAGCCAGCAGGCAAACTCTGCTGGGAACCCTTCTCTGATGCCAGGGAGCTACTTGTGCCCAAAAGTAACAGTCACGGAAGTGGTCAGGCAGTTCCGCGACCCGCCCCAAAATTGACAGACACGACCAGAATTCCAAATGGGAGCCCCACCCCCAAATGGGCGGTTTTCCTTTTTGCTTTTCCGCACAACGCCACGGTATGACAACTCCGGAAAAAGCACAACACAAAGAAGCAGACATGCCCAGGTTTCTCCCTTGTTTTCTTTGTTGCATTTAGCTTGGATGTCAGGACTTCAGCTTTTGCCAACTAACGGGTTTTCCCTGAAACCACTAAAAGTTGAACTTTTGGCAGAAAAGCAGAAAGCCGCCGAGCACTTGTTTATGAATTCTAGTGCAGAAGCCTCTCTCAGATGGTTGGTGGACATGAATCTCCTAAATGATGTCCACCAAAGCACGCCATGGGGTGGCCTGCACGTCCGTCCGTCGGTTGCCTTTGGGCGGTTGCAGCGAACGTCCATCCGTCGCTGGCCTTTGGGCGGTTGCAGCGAGCGAGGAGTGCCCCATCCTTCGCGCTCGCTTCATGGTGGCGGACTGGGTGGAAGGCATCATGGCGCACGACGTGTGGGGCTCCCTATCGACCGAGGAGAGCTTCGGACGTTTTCTGGAGACTCCTCGATTTTTTGTTTTTATGCAGCCAAAGAGGGGGGGAGTGGGACGCCCCACATGTTTTTGGGTTTTATACGGGCCAAAGAGGTGTGTGTGTGTGTGTGTGAAGTTTGTGGTGAAAGGGGGCGAATGCGTGTCGTCTGTGCACCTGAAAATCGGTTCGTCTGTGCACCTGGAAATCGGTTCGTTTGTGCACCTGATGTTGTTCAACTCATTCAGAGGTTACATGGTTCTTGAAGGCTTTGATGCTTCAAGTCTTTCTCATTGGCTCTCAGGCGCATGACTGTATCTTTGGGGGTGCGAGATTGAAAGTAGGGAACAGCAGCCTCTTCCATCCATCATTGGATTCAAGACAACATGTCACATGTCACACATTGCATGAAGAACAGCTATCCATGTCGCCCACCAGCTTCGTCTGTGCGCAAGCCGGTGCTGAAGCCCCCTGCCCAGGCCAAGCGGGCGGCGCGGAAGCACCCGGCTTGGAATGGGCTGGTGGCTTCAGCAAAGGCTTACCCTAAACCCTAAACCCTAAACCCTGAAACCTAAAGCCATGTTAGCGAAAACCCAAAAGCCTAAGCCCGTAACCCACCCGAAAACCTTAAACCTAACGTGATGTGAGGGAAACCCAAAAGCCTAAACCCCAAACCCAAAAACCTAAAACCTAAAACCTAACGTGCTCTAAGCCAAACCCAAAAGTCTAAACCCCAAACCCAAATCGAGAACCCTAACACCTACAGTGATGCGAGCCAAGCCCAAAAGCCTAAATCTTAAAGTGATGTGACCCAAACCCAGAAGCCTCAACCCTAAACCACAAACCCTGAAACCCAAAGTCATGAGAGCGAAACCCAAAAGCCTAAGCCCGTAACCCAAACCCAAAACCTAAAATCGAACGTGATGTGAGCGAAACCAAAAAACCCAAACCCCAAACACAAAAACCTAAAACCTAAAACCTAACGTGCTGTAAGCCAAGCCCATCCTAAACCACAGACCCAAAAACCTAATACCTACCGTGATGTAGAGACAGACAGAGACAGACAGAGACAGACAGAGGCAGACAGAGACAGACAGAGACAGACAGAGAGAGACAGAGAGACGGACAGAGACGGACAGAGACGGACAGAGACGGACAGAGACGGACAGAGACGGACAGAGACGGACAGAGACGGACAGAGACGGACAGAGACAGACAGAACAAGACGGAGACAGACAGAGACAGACAGAGACAGAGACAGAGACAAAGACAGAGACAGAGACAGAGACACCAAACCCAAAAGCCTAAACCCTAAACCGAAATCCAGAACCCTAAAACCTACAGTGATGCGAGCCAAGCCCAAAAGCCTAAATCCTAAAGTGATGTGAGCCAAACCCAGAAGCCTCAACCCCAAACCCTAAACCCTAAGCCCTGAAACCTAAAGTCATGTCAGCGAATGATGCGAGCCCCAAAAGCCTAAACCCTAAAGTGATGTGATTACAGCAATGCGATCCATCTGTAGGAAAAGTGCACAGCGCTAGGGAAACGGGGCAGTCAGGTGCGCGGATGAATGGAATTCTAGGTGCGCGGTTGACCCTCATTCGCTAGGTGCGCAGATGAGCTGATTTTCAGGTGCGCAGATGAACCCAGTCCCTCAAAGGTGGTGCAAAGAGGGGGGGAGTGTGAAAGTAGGTGGTGAAAGGGGTGGTGTTTGATTAGACATCTAGGTTGGTCAATGTTTCCATTTTATTAACCCATCTGTTGGTAGACGCCTAGGTTGGTCAAGGTTTCCGTTTCATTGTTAGTTAGTCCGGAGCCCTATTTACCCCATGAAGCACTTCCACTCTCGTGTGCGGTCCTTTTGATCCGCATTCGTGTGTGTGTGTGTGTTACTTAGTTTCGCATTGAAACTAACTCTTGGGCTTGTCAGCATGGGAACATATTGCTCTAGGACTGTAGGGAATCATTTTCTTGGGGGCCTTTATGTTGCCATGGGCATCAAAAACATCAAACATATATTCATTCTTGCTGCAATGGGCTCGCCATTTCAGCCGTTAGGAGGCGTGCCAACTTCAGCGGGAGGCCTTGGGCCTAATGGCCTCCCTGCAGCTGGGCGTGTAAGGTCGAGCCTGGCTTCATGCACTCCCGAGGTCTCAGTCAGGGGATTTCCCCTCTGAAAGAAAGGCATTTTCACTACACAGGGTCGTAGGTTGGGGTTGTCAATCAGGGGTTGACGTTAATGATGACCGGTGCTGACACTATCTACTCAACCACCTTTTCCTGAAATGTTTGACCTCTTGGACTAAAAAACAGTTGAGAAGATTTAGATGGCTGTGGGTCAAAGCCAATGGTACCATTTTGGGGTAGGTGCATGGACCGAGGCAGGAGATTGCGCAGCTTCCTGGCATCGGCATTTTGTCCCTGGCGGAGGTCCTCAAGCTTTCGGCCGAGCAGGAGGTTCCGCCGCAGGCGCAAGGTCCTCTGAAGAAAGGAACCTCGGACAAGGAGCCGTTTATTGCGCCTTTCGGGGCCATTCATATGTTTCTAAAAAAGTTGAAAGAACATCTCACGAGATCATTTTGTTTTCTCGGCTTTTTGCCGCTCTAGGAGTGTTTTGCCCCCACCACACCTACTAGGTTACCCGGCAGATGGTAAAGAACCGGATTCAAAGGGCGCCTCTCAAACATGTCTTGGCGAGCCTTCCTCAAGGCAGTGTGAAGCCACCTGCCTCGTCACACAGGCAACTCCCCTTTCCGTCAAACGGGAAGCGTGGGATAGCGACCTGAACTAAAGTACAGAGGGCTGAGGGCAGAAGCACGGCCGCCCTTGGGACGTGGAGTGTTTGTTTCTTGATGCTACCCCTTTTTGGTGCCCTTTTTCCCGGGAAGGCAAAAAGCACACCGGTGCCCGTTTTTTCTTTTCCTTTTTTTGTTTGGCGGGGGGGTCCCCCATGTTGGTGCCAGTGTTCTTTTTCTTGGGACCCCCCCTTCCCCTTCTACGTTTGCAAAAAAAACAGACATGCGGAGCACGCGGTGCAGGCCCTGGTGCCCCTCTTCGACTTCAAGGGCGGCCAGGGCGCGGCTCGGGTCTTCGAGAGCTGCCGGGCCTACTACCTGGAGCTCACCTCCAGCAGTCTGGACTTCGTGCGGCGTTTGCCGGGAGCTTTGGCGGCAGTGGGGGGGGGTGGGTGGGGGTGGGGGGGGGGAGGTTCTATGGAACGAAGGACGAAGAAGATGCATTTTTTTTCCCGTAGGTGGAGCTGGTGCTTAAAGGCCTAGAAGATGAGTCATGTGGAAGTTAACCCCTTGACTGCTGTTTGGTTGGATCTGTAGACTTTAACTTTTTGGGGGAAATGAAGGTGTTTTCCACTAAACCGGGGGTCAACGGCAACCAAGACCATTAGACGTTTTTTGCTTGATCATTCAGCCATTTTGTTTGTAAGAGACGAGGTCTGTTAGGGTTTGGGCTTGCGCCATAGACTCCGAGTACATGCCATGTCGCATTGAGCCCATCTCGACACATCACTCCCACCAAATACTGGTGAGTGAGGAACAGTGTTGAACCCCTTTAGTCACAGTTGGCCAACATACTCGCGTGCGACATGTCGAATGGTTCAGTACAGGGTTCCCTTTTTGACCCTTGAAAATCAGGGGGCCGCGTGCAGAGACCAAGGCTCACCTTTTGACCCCCCTTGGTAGAAACGGTGAATGGGTTCCGTGTAAAAATCCGAGGGTTAGAAGGCATCCAGTTGAGAAAAAGGGGCTTCTTGGCGACCTTTGAACACAAGAGACTGTCAATTTTTTGTGGTAGCTGGCGAATTGAGCGCGGATGGAGCATTTGGCCGCTGTGGGCAAGACTCGCGTGAAGAGTAAAGTGGCGGGGGTGGCCCCTCCAATCCGAGCGCAAGCATCAACAGGAAAAAAAAAGATCGTTTGCCAGTTCTCCCCAGTTGGTTCTCCACTGTCCCATCTCCACCCACCCCACCCCTCCCCACCCCACGCCCCACCCCTCCCATCCCACCCCACCCCACGCCCCACCCCTCCACCCCTCCCAAACGGTAAAGGTGCTACCCTCTTTCCAATCGCGGAAAAGTCTTTCCGGAGCCTTTCATGGGGACTGCGCTGTAGTCTGTCGTCTTCCGCAACCAGAGCCCGTCAGAGAACCGCGAGTGTTGGAAAGAAAGTAGCCACAACAAAGGGCTTCCCTTCAAGGTGTCCATTTTTGGGTTACTCCAGCAGGAACTGGTTCGGATCCCTTGTAGTTGGAAGTCATCCACTGGATTGAAGTCTCCTTTGCGGCAATCAAACAAGGAAGCCTGCTTCCCTTGCGAATTCCACGGCAGATGCCCATTTGCCCTGGCTGGACTTAAACCCGGCCAGTCAGGTTTCAATTCCTGGGCCAACACGTAGGTTTGGGAGCACCTCCGAAACCTGCAAAAGGGAAGCCCAAAGAATTCCGCGGCCGCGCCTTGCGCCGGATGACTGTCACGCCTTGCGAGCTGAGCCGAGGCGACGTGGCCTATGTTGAGTCTGGCGAGGTGCTGCGAAGGTTCAAGGCTCAGGCGGCGGGTTGCCTTGGGTTTGAGACCCTGGCGGCCACTGGGAAGCCGAAACGGAGCTTGTTGAAAGCGATGTGAAGAAAGCGTTTTCTAAACGGGAAACCAACAGTTTGTTTGAACCATAGTGGGGGTGCACCCATATTCCGGCCCCCAATTCTTTTTTTGGACCATGGGGTAGCATTTCCCCCGGAGGAAAACCCCCACACAAACATGGGACACAAAAAAAACGTTCTCGTGGGTTTCTCCCAACTACTTCTCATCCCATGGGGACCCGTCGGATCTCCACCCACCGCCCGCCGGTCCCAGCGAGGTGGAGCCTTTGTTCCCCAAGGTGCTGTGGCTCTCAGCGCCTCGGCGGTCTGGGACCCTGGGACCGTCGGACCCTCGAGTCGTCGAGTGATGGGGACCCGCTTCGGATGGAAAACCTCCCTGGGAGGTGGTGACCAAGAAGAGTAATTAATCCCGATGGATTGAGCCGAAGTTTTGTTTCCCCGTTTTTCAGCTCAAAACTGTGGGGGTCCCTGCCCAAAGCTTTGGGGTGAACTTGTTTTTCGTTTTTTCAGCTGAAAACTATAGGGTCTCTGCCCGAAGCTTTGAGCTGAACTTGTTTTTTCGATTTTCCCCAACAGCTGGGGCTGTTGGGGATACTACCTGAGCTTATGTTTTTGGTTGCCGGGGGGGGGGGGGGGAGGCACTAGATTTGAGCGGTCTGGATCACTTTGGGGAGAGCGAAGCACCTGCCATTGCCCTTCCCTTCATTCATCGCGTGTCAACTGATCAAAACTAAAGGGCACACCCGCGTCTGTCTTTTCTGGAAATGCTCATGTTTGGTGGCTTGAGCCTTTTGCCGCGTGGTTCTTGAGGATAAACCGTGGTTTCCCACCCTGAAACACCGCCAACACCCCCAATCCAAACCGACCACTTTTTGGGCAAGCTGAGACCCACTGACAAGGAGCACCTCACGACCGGCGAGGAGTGCCCAGTCGCCTTCACCCATGGGGACTTGAACGGGCGCAACATCATTATCTCTGAGAAGCCAGCCGAGGCAGCTTTGATAACCCCTTCGTAAGATCTCTAAAACTCCTTGTAGCATCTTTACAACCCCAACACCGTCTTCCTAGCCCGTTTGCTCTGTGCGTGTTTGTGGCGTTTTGGAAAGGTCCCAATTTTCGTGTCTCCTTGGCATGACGAGATTTGGCAACCCCTATATGAGGAATTTCGGTAGTCTGCTGTTGGGGAGGGCATGGAGCCCGGCCAAAATATCGCGCTGAGACCAGGCGGCCCACACCCTTTTCGTCCCCACCGAACTCCGATGTCCCCCATTTTGGGCGGCCCCCCAATGAACAAAAAATCGGGCTCTTTTTGAGGGTGCCCTTTTAACCGCGGTGGTTCTTTCACCGTGAAACCCAAAACAGCCCGTGTCAGAATCCCTAGGGGCGCCGGATTCGGTGTTTGCTGGACTGGGAGTGGGGCTCCTCCATGCCTGCCATCCACGAGTGGCTCCTCGCCTTTGACGACCTTCCTGTAGAAGATGCCAAGGGCGTCCCACCCTTCGCGGAAGGGGAGGCAGCGGTTGGTGGTCGCATTTTCGAGTTTTTGTTTGTTTGTTTGTTTGTTTGTTTGTTTGTTTGTTTGTTTTGTGTGTGTGTGTGTGTGTGTGTGTGTGTGTGTGTGTCTGTGTGTGTCTGTGTGTGTCTGTGTGTGTCTGTGTGTGTCTGTGTGTGTCTGTGTGTGTCTGTGTGTGTCTGTGTGTGTCTGTGTGTGTCTGTGTGTGTCTGTGTGTGTCTGTGTGTGTCTGTGTGTGTTGTGTGTGTGCGTGTGTGTGCGTGTGCGTGTGCGTGTGTGCGTGTGCGTGTGCGTGTGCGTGTGCGTGTGCGTGTGCGTGTGCGTGTGCGTGTGCGTGTGCGTGTGCGTGTGCGTGTGCGTGTGCGTGTGCGTGTGCGTGTGCGTGTGCGTGTGCGTGTGCGTGTGCGTGTGCGTGCGTGTGCGTGTGCGTGTGCGTGTGCGTGTGCGTGTGCGTGTGCGTGTGCGTGTGCGTGTGCGTGTGCGTGTGCGTGTGCGTGTGCGTGTGCGTGTGCGTGTGCGTGTGCGTGTGCGTGTGCGTGTGCGTGTGCGTGTGCGTGTGCGTGTGCGTGTGCGTGTGCGTGTGCGTGTGCGTCGTTTTTAGGGCACTCTTTTTAACTTGCTTTCAGGGAAAGGAAAACACACCATGTTGGGCGGTCACCTTATTTTGACACATACAGCCCAAGGGAGGCCATAAGCAAATCATGCCGAAAAGTGTACCTAGTCTGCTTGTAGAAACTGGCGAGGTTTGTTAGTCCCTCGCAACATTTTGCGGGTTGTTTGATACCCCGCTATGGAAGACCCTCGCCTCCCTATTTGGCATCCCTTTTCAAAGGCGACACAAAAGCGACGCCAGGCTGTCAGAAGGGGGGTTTTCGGCGCAAAGTGTTTGTTCCCCTTTGAGTGAGGAAGTGATTCATTTTGGGGAATTGAATCACACCTGCTAGTTGTCGCTCTCCTCTTGATTAATCTGAAGTTAGCATTGCGCAGGTCATTGGCTAGACATTTGCCCAAAAGAGGAGGTTCACCAAGTCCTATCAATGAATCAAGGCGGGGCTTCCTGGCCTGTTGAACAGCCACCTAGCACAGAACATGCTAGTCCGGCCATCCAAGAAAGTGTCAGGGCCAGTATGGGCCATAGGTGTCCTTTTTGGTTGTTTTGCTTGAAAAAAAAGAAGAGATGGGTTTTCATTCCTGGTTTACCTGGTGGTTTTTGCTCATCTACCAGAGAAACCCATCTATTTCCCCTAAAACACCTATGGCCAGGGCAAGGACAGGGGGGGGCAAATCGGGCACCAGACTCGCCAGGTTCCTCTGCGCTTCGGCCGGCGGCACGCCGCCTTCGAGCGGTTTCGCGACCTGGCGGACCTGGTGGACAAGGTGGCGCCCTGGGAACTGAATGTGGACGGCTTCCTGAAAGAGGCGGCGGGCAGAGGGCGCGGCGGGGGCGGGAGAAGAGGGGTCCAATGTAGGAGATGGTGCTTAAAAGCTTTTCGGGAAACGTGGTCGACGTGGTGCCGGTTTGGGAGTTGCTTTCTGTTTTGGTTCAAGAGACACTTTGCAAGAGTGCGTAAAGAAGACCCCACCCCTGCAATCCAAACCTTGGCCCGAACACCAGGCCGTGCTTGCACCTAAAAGACCTAAACCTTGAGGCTTAACACCCAAATGGAAACCTTAAGCCCCAACGAAGCTCGAAATCCTAAGCCACGAGCCCTACACAACGCCTCCAATTGGAAGCCCAAACTCCGAAAGCCCGGAATCGCCACCCCCAAGTCTTTGAACCAGAAAAGCCCAGAGGCCTTCAAAGCGCGCCCTGCTTTGGTCGGCCCAAGCGACTCGGGAGGAGATGGTTGTCGATGCCGTGTCCGCGGTGGAGGCTGCGGTGCGGAAGTACAGGTGCCCGGTAGACTGAAAAAGGTCCGCGCAGCTGAGCTCTTGGTCGTGGGAAGCAGGAACCCACCGCATTCTTTTCGGTATACAGGGCAGCCGTTCTTCCAACCAAGGGGAGGGGGGGGGGAAACCCAAGGCATTCTTTTAGGTATACAGGGCAGCCCAGGGTTTTGGGCTTTGGAAAGCCGTTCTTCCAACCAAGGGGGGGGGTTTCACGGGGTGAAGCTGTGAAGCTGTTGGATCTCGGAATCCTTAGGAATGTTTCGCAGGTTTCGCTACATGTTGAACTCTGCTCAGGATCCTGTGATATGCCTAGGACAGGCATTGGCTGAGCAGTTTGTGTCCGCAGTGGGCGCAATGCGGAATGCCCAGCTGCTACACCTCTTGGAATCCTTAGGAATTGGGGGAGGGGGGTTCAGAGTTCCATTTTCCATTTTTGGAATAGACACATGGAAACAGGGTCCTACCCTTTTCCCCCTTGAGGTAGCGGCGCCAGTTCATGTGGTGTAAGTCAGGCACACATTCACGCACGGAGGCGCGTTTTGGGATCCCATTTTAGGCTCCATTTTAGAGCCTATGTTAGTGGGGATTCACTGGGGGTACGATTTGGATTTTGACCCATGGCCATCTTGGTACCAAATTTCAATGGGGCTTTGGGCACTGCGTTTCATGCAGGCGGGGATGGAATCGCGCCCAGGTTCCTCTACGGCTTCATCAACTTGGCGCGGAAGTCCTATGGAAGTGTCTGCGCGGAATGAGCAGAAGAAGCATGGTAGCTCTCTGGCTCGACCGAGACAAGTTATGGCAGTGATTTCCCTATGGAGTGGGAAGCAGTGACACTTTTTGCGGGTCAATGACCAACCTGGAGAAGTTCTGCGTACGGTAGAGGGGTCCAGACAGACGCGGGGCATGTGCACTGCAAGGTTCTGTCGGCCCGAATCGGAATCTTGTGCAGCGAATGTGGCCCCAGCTTTCGTTTGCGATTGCCCGAGACAGGCGACTGGAAAACTGACAAGGTGTTTGTTTAAAGAGTTTCGATGATTAAGTTGCTTGGACCCTGCCAATATGCACTAGCCACTAACAGCCACCACGTTTTCTACGACCGTTTATGGGTTGGATCCAGAAGTCCGAACAGTTGTCCAAGAAGTGAATGACTTTCTGTTGAGCCCTTGGTGACCGCGGCGAAAATCGCTGGGGCCCCAGATTGGGACCTCCTCCTTTGAACGAGAAAGTCCCGCGCAGAATTGGATCAGCCGATCGGCAGTGCGTCAAAGCTAGTTGGACCCCATGCGTTGGTTTTTATGGCTATCAAGCTCATTTGGGGCACGCGCAAACATGGTAGGTCACAAGCAACAATCATAGCGTTTTCCTGTGACATGCGCCAGAAAAGGGTTGCCAGGTTTGGTACATCCCGATCATCCCTGTTAGATTCGGCGTAGCGCCAAGAGGTCGTCAAGTGCCGGAGGGGTAAAATGCCTTGAGCTTGGCAGCCGCCAGGGATCATGGGGGTTGGGGGGGAGGGGGAGTTGGGGGGGAGGGGGAGGGAGCCCAAATAAACCCTTATTAAGGTCTTATTTAGCGCTTATTTGGGCTCCCTCCCCCTCCATGAAGGGATGTCGATTGCTCAATGGATCTGCCACTTGAGCGATGAGGATTGTTGGGATCCGAGAACCTTGCAACATGCATTTTGAGCTCACCCCAGCACCCCTATGAAAAGATGTTTGTTCTTGGAAGCCTTTTTTACACGACTGGATATGTCTTGCAGCGTGTTTGTTGGCCGATAGCGCGGTGATGATGCTATATATTCGCAGCCAGAGAAGAGGTTGGAGACCAAAGGTCATGGCGAAGTGGCGTCTCAACTTGAAGCACCTCTGAGTTCCTTAAGGGACACTTGGGAGTTCGATCGTGCGCCCATCCAAGCCAGGGTGCAAGAAGTCAAGCACAAGAGCAGGACATTGCTGGAAAACAGTTTCACATATGTAAAACTGAAGATCCGGAGGCTGCAAACAGAAAGAGAAGGAGGGAACGAAGGGCACCGGCTTTCACTGGCTTTGGAAAAGATCCTGGCAGGACTTTCGAATGGTTTGACTGGCCAAAGTGTGCTTAGCCACACCGCCTGAAGAGACGAGATCAAGCGGCGGTTCAATGGGAAAGGCTGGCCACGGCTTCCTCAGAATGGCAGCGCGGGTTTGCATAATGCGGTCTGAGACAAGCACGCTGGCAAGTTGTCCCGTTGTACGTTTGCCAGCTACTGCCTTGTTGAGGCAGAAGCATTCGAAAATTGAAGAAAAAACGTGATGCATATGCATGGGCTTTCACTCGACCCTCAGTCATGGTACGTCGAGCTCTTTGGGTAATTGCCTCACTCACGCTCATCCTTGACACAAGCGCATGGGATGAGCCTGCGCGCTGCTTCGGGCCAGACAAGTCTTGGCTGATTGACCAGTGTGTTGGCAGGGAGAAGCTGGAGCGAGGTGGGCAGTCACCCATAGCAGGAGAAGCCAGTCCCACAAAAAGCAGAGTGCTGGGTCGCGTGACGCTGGCTTTGCCACCTTCTGACACAACTGTCGCGGCGCAGACGCTGAAAGCTGCTCGAGTGCTTGCGCCACAAAGCAGCTCAGATGGGGAACAAGTTGAACTCATCGCCGCGCCGTGCAAGCACTGCTTTGCTTCTTGCTTCTGCAAAGATGTGCGCGCAGGATTGTTGAGCGGGTTGCTTTCGCAAACGCTGGGCCTCATATTTTGGACCCCCCGACAAGAGATCCTATCATGGGCGGCTTGCTTGCAAGACAGGAATCAGCCCACTGCTGAATATTGGCTACGGGCCTTCTGTCGCCACGCGGAGAAGATTGTGGACAAGAGCACGCCGGAGCATCTGCCGGCAGATCTCTGCTTGTTTGCAAAGTTCGTTGCCAGCAAGATCATTTTGCCAGGCCCCCATTTTGCAAATCGCCTGAAGAACCTCAAGACCAAGACTGCGCTTTTCACCAAGCCGTCTTTTAGTGGACAATGTGGGAATTCGACTCCTTGAAGGAGGCGGAAGTTGGCCTCCCGAGCAGCCCTTGTGGCCAGCCCCCTGGCCTACATAGCCACGAGGGTTCGCCAGATGGGATGAGGCCCGCGCTTCATTAGCAGCTTCCCGCCGGCGCAGCCGTGTCAGAAGTTTCCTTCGCCACTCAGAAGACCTTTTGCAAAGACTGCAGCTGCTCCTCAGTCAAAACGAAGACACTTTCGCATCACAGGATCTGTGTCCGTTAGTGCCAGAATCCGTGAGAAATCACTCACCAAACCTCTTTTGGCGGGTTACGAGCAGCTCCAAATAACACCAGCAAATTCGAACACATACCAAAAACAGCCGTCGCCAAACAATCCAAGAGCTCTTAGCCAAAGCAAACTTCACCATGGCCTCCGCTTCTGGATACTTCGCCAATGCTTCCATACATTAAAGATACGTAGCGCGTATCATATTCGAAAATATTGGCTACAACGCCAAGCAGACGAAGAACATGCCTTCCCACGCGGCACTCCAGACACAGATGGAAGCTTTGCGGGCAAGGCCAGAGCAAACCAAACAGAAAGTAGAGGGCAACACAAGGGAAGAAAGACGAGCTGCAGGCGCAGAAGGCAAAGCAACAAAGTCGATCAAGTATGGATGATTTCCAAGTTGCGGATGACGTTACAATTCGTCCCGGAAAACGGAGGTCTGATTGAAGGAGTTCAATAGTAACTGGCTGATGAAGAAGTCAGCAGGTGAGAAGCCAGAAGGTGAGAAACCAGAGCAGCCAAAGCAAAAGGAGTCCTTGGCAGAATTGCTGGGCGGAGACACCTTGGAATGATAGATCCCTTTGGCGGGAAGCGAGCGCCTGAGAAAACCGCGGCCGAGTTGTAGCGAGGAATTGCATAGGTGTTGAATGCAAAGCATATCGCAGACCCAAACGGAGGCAACATGTATTGACACTATTCTTTCACTTCTAGAGGGTACATCGCATGACAAAATACTCCCTACAGCAAACCTGCTGGATGGGATGAACACCCAGCACCATAAGTGGGACTATTTGGCGTGAGCGCTAGGGCCCTTCTGGGCATTCCTCGAAGAGCAGATTGCCGAATTCAGGGATTGCAACCTACCAGAGTGGGCCCTTTTACTCCGAGGGCACTCACTCGCCTCATGCCCTGTTGGTCATGACGGTGCCTTCGTTCAAGCACGGTTCATCCATGCCAGTTAATTTTTGGGGGCATGGCAGGTACCAGGAACCGTACCCAAGCCGTGGGATGTGCATGATGCATCCAAGCCCCGCAGGCTGGACAACGGTGCTTGGGCCCCGTGGTGACTGCTACTGGCTGCCGCCGGGCGACTTAAGCCGTGTTTTGGCAGAGCCGCTTTGATTGGGAACGGGGGATGGGTCTTCCCAATGAATGGCGGCTCACCTGGGGTAGCAATGAGGTCACCCAAGACAATACGAGAGGGTTGGCGAAGTGTAGTAACTTGTGCAGATGAATGTTTTGACCTAGGACGGGTACGCATCCGAATTGTGGGTTTACTAACATTTCCCTTTGACACGAGGGGCGGGGTTCTCCAGTTTAACCAGCGCTAGTCGAAGTCTTTGACTGTAGTCCCCGCCTGGTGTCTGGTATGCACCCTGGTCAAGTATCCAGCAAAGTGGCAGGGCAACGTGGCTCAGTGCCATGGTCCAACCACCCCTCGCTTGAAATTTCAAGGGACTCATCATAAATCCCTTACAATTTTTTAGACATGTCAAGGGTTCTGGACACCGCGACCATGACTGGAGGGGCCGGAGAACTCGAGGGGCGAGTCGCAACCCCCAGGCCCGGGGTGCAGCGGCGGCGGCCGTGGCAGAACCGGCGGGACTACTTCGACTCCAAGCTGCAGGCGCGGGGCCGACTGCCCGACTGCCCGGCGCGGAGGGAAGGGACACGTGTTTGCGGTTCTTGGGGGAAAAACATAAGTCCGAATTTGGGTTTTGTAGAACATACGGAGAGGGGGGTCAGTGTTTCTTGGGGGCACCTGTCATATGTTATGTTTATTATTTTCTGCTGTTTTATTTGAATTCATTTTACATGTACATGTTTTTGTTAAAAAGATGGATGTATGTTTTACAACTATATGTTTCTTATATTTTTTGTACTCATTCCTTTGTTTAAGTATTTATTATTTCTCATTTCATACATTTTCCCGGCGGGGAAGTCTGTGTTTCTGTTTGGTGGTGGGAAGTCAGAAGTTGACTGCTTCATCTTTGTGGTGGATAATTTCTTTGGGTGGGTTGGGTGTGGGGGGGGGAGCAGAATCGCAGCGTTCTCTTTTTGGGTTGGCGTGCGTGCGGGACGCTACTTGTTTTTTGTGTGCTGGGGAAGTCAGGGATAATTGCGAGCCTCGAGAGAAGGACGAGAACCCCACAACAAAAAGACAGCATCAATTTCGGAGGAGTCGCTGGATGCCAGCCGTTCGTGCAGGTGATTCGACACCTGCGGGATAAGGGGCACATGGTGGTCGAGGCACAGCCCATGCTGCCACGCTTTTCGAGCGTGCTGGGCTTCGCAGGAATCATGCACCGAAAGGTGCCGAGAAATGTGTTGCTTAGGATGTGGTTGCCTTGGTTTCTGAAAGGTTTGCATTGGATGACATGGCACTCTTTTTGGGTTGATTTTGCAGGGGCCCACCCCTCCAAAAAGAAGTTTGAACCTGCACAAACTTCAGGGCATCCGCATGGGTCTTCCTTTGAAATGAGCTTTTTGGCCTTTCAAGGTATTTCAATGGACGAGGAATGACTGCAGGATGTTCAATGTTTAACCTTGGCATTTGGGCAGGGCAGGGGTTCACCTTTCAGGATAGGTAAACCATGACAAACCACCAGTATCACATAGACTTGTCACCACCACTTGACAATTAACACTTTAGATGAAGGTTAGTAGGGCATGCTCCCAACAAATCTCCGGGTACACCCCTTCAATGCCTGTGTGCTAAGCAGCACGAGAAGTGGTTTTCGCCAGGAAGGCAGAAGGGGACGGACATGTTTGTTTAATCTGAGCTTTGAGTGATCAAAGACAGACGCTGGGGTCGGTACCCTTAAATAAATCTGCCAGTGGGCAAAATCGTAGGGCCGGCGTTGGCCGCGAAGAAACCCTTAAGTGCCTAAAGACACCTTGATTTTCCTTATGCTGCAGAAGATGCGCTGACTTTCCAACCCCGTCCAACCCCGTTTTTTTCTCGGGAGTGGGGGGGCGGTGTTGTATACTGCCCTGCCTGTATTGGTATGGGCCATGCCACATACCTCCAACACCTATGCCTGGAAATGCCGCCTGAACATGGCAGTGAAATCAAACTTCTAAAAGGTGTGCAACAAGCTGTCAATTCTTCAAGTTGCCACCAGGTTCCTGTGGAAACCCCCGCGTGTTGAAATGCATTTGCCTTCATCGCTGGTAGGTGGGGGAGGAGTCTCAACTCCCCGAAAAGGCCAAGAAGGAGCAGCCTAAGGCGCGGGCAAAGCGGCTGGCGGCTTCAAACAATGTGTGTGTGTGTGTGATGTGTGTGTGATGTGTGTGTGATATGTGTGTAAAATTGGGGACCCCCCCAACATGGCGGGGGTCCCTTTGTCTGCCCTGTCAACCCCCGCCCCCAACACACCCAAATGGAAGGGCGCACGCGAAGGAGGATATGGGAGCCTTAAATATTTTTTACGCAGTCCAAGACACACTGGTATTTGCCAGGGTTTTCTGCAGTGTTTGGATTCAAATCCACCGGTGCGGGCTGGATTCACTTCCAAAATAGAGGAACCCGAGAAAAGGCGGCTCTCCTTCGGATTCCCCTCTAAAGGCGTCGCGCAAGCCGGGGGGGGAAAGGGGTTCCCGACACTGTCTCGTTGGTCGGTTGTGGGTATAGGGTTTCCGATTTTCGGGGGTTCAGGGAAGGTTGAGGCTTGCTTCTCTCAGCGCTGTGCCCCTCCCTCCCAGCCTCCCTTAATTTGGCCGACTTCATCCGAGGCCACCAGTACTTTGCATACGTGGATGCTTGGTCTTGAAGGTTCAAGGGGAAGAACGCATGAGTTGCCTTTAAACCGAGGGGGATATCGACATGGAGTATGATGTGCATATGAGGACCATATTGCTACTGGGAGTTGCGTTTGCACTTGGTGCTGTCCAGCCAACCTGTTCTTCGCATCCTGTTTGCGAGACCCAACAAGGTCCCTATAGGGAACCCATAGTTTTGGAGCGGATGTCTATACTTACTTTTAGTCAAGCCAATTGTGTGGTGCGTAACATAAACCAAAAGAACATACTGTGGATGGACGAAATCCTGCACCACTTAAAAAAGTCGGAATGATGACTCCCCTGTAAATACCAACAAACAGTGGGTTCCCATGTTTTCAAAGTGGTGCGAAATGGATTTGGTCCATCCACAGCATACCTTTCTTCACCAAAGGACCTTGCCGGTTGGGCATAATCCATGTGGCTTTCCAAAGTTTCATGCGCCTGTCGGGTCCTATGCCCATCCCCTCAGGCAATCAAGCGGAACGTGGGGGGAGGGTGGCTATGGTGCATTTTTTTTAAGAGCGCCTTTGCGGTCGTTTACTTTTTACGTGAACAAACTGTTTGAGTTAATTTTTACGAATGAGATATCTCGCCAACAGTCTGTAGATTTCCGAGGCTTTTGCGTGTTGCTCAAGTGGATGCCTGAGCATTGAGAGCCATCCACTCTTTCAGAACCTGAGAAGTCAACAAGTGCATACCAGGCACCATCTAATCATTCTGCTCACCTCTCAGAATCTAGAAACCCCGGTTCTGGAGTCCAAGAATTTTACAAAAAGAACCCGTAAGCAGGGACCCACCAGTAAGAACCCGGGCATGTGAATCCGTGGTGGCGTTGGTGCCTTTTGAACTCGGTTCGGACCTCCCGAGTGGGCAGTGAATCGCAACCCGGTAAATCCATCAACATTTGAAGGGGAACCCAGTGACCATATGGTCGTGGCTCAAAGCCTAAGGTGCCTTTTTTTGGGATGGTTACCACTCCATTGTTGTCTTTTTAGGAGGCTTTCTGGGTGTTCGCCGGGGCAGTGGGGTTTTGACCCATAGCCATTATCGAAGATCGATGAATTCCTGCTTCCTTTTCCTGTCTTCCCAGTGGAGTTAGCAATTTCTTCCTAGGCGGCCAGCCCAGCGCCTAAGAAGCGAGGCCGGAGGTTGGGCTGGCTGATGGGAAGCCCTCGGGCTGAGTCGAGTTGCCCCTTTTCCAACGTTCAAGAGGACCCCAGTTTTCTCAAAGCTCCTGTGATTGTGCGTTTGCGATTGTGCGACCATGGTCGAACACCGGTGGACTTTTCTCTGGGACCAAACACCCACAATCTAGGCCTATTTGTGGGGAGGGGGGCATTTGGTGCGCGAACGAGTTCACCTCATGAGGAGTGGTTTGCTTCTTGGAGTGTCATTTCTTGATTCGGGTCATTGTTTGTTCCCGTCCTAATTCACCCGCTGCTTGGTGGCCTGTTTCGTATTTGTTCCCCAGAACACGGAGAATGCAAAGCTGTGGCCTGCAATTCGGTGGAGCCAAGTCCTCCCCAAAGTTGGCAAATCCAGTTAGAGGAGCCCTCCTAGTTGACACCATCAACAGGTTTTGCCGTGGAGAGGATAGTCCCATGGCCATTGGTGAGGACATCCGTTTTGATTGACACGGTGGGTGGACTCCGTGAATACTGGGTGGCGATCCAAGTTGCCACCAAATGCTCAAGGCGAGCTGGACGCTTCCATGTTCGGGTGTCATGTGCCTTCAGTGGCAGGCTGTTCCATTGAATGGAAAGCGCCCGGTTTGGCTCTTTGACAACATATATCCATCGGATGGGGATTCTTAACTAGATTCCTGAGACCATTTCTCTCACATTCCATTGTAAAGGCTACTTTGTCATCAAGGTGATTTCGGCCGGATCCTATGTAATCTTTTGCGGTGCCATCCATGCCTATAATCCAGAAGCCATGTTTTCCGTGCTCTATTAGATATGTTGGTGATTTCAACAGGACACCAACCATCTTTGGCGGGGGCCCCGAACAAAAAGAGCCACACCCAACACCCCCTCGAGCAAAAACCCGTGGGTTCCATTATAAAAAAAAAAAAAAACGCTCCTGGAGGATGCTGCAAGACCGTCTCCCGGGTTTCCTGCGAGGCAGGCCGCCGGCGCCGAAGGCGGCGGAGACGCCGCCCAAAAGGCGGGGCTTCAGATGGATCTGGGCCGATCAAAAGAGGGAAGAGTCATGACCAGAACAAAATGCTAGCCCAAGGGGGGCCACAGTTTAGCATAGAACTTTCATGGTACTGGAACTGGAGTTGTGCTTTCTTTGAGGGAAGCGGGCAGAACACGTGGCGACGTGCGCGGCTTCGCCTCATGAAAGCGGGTTCGGAGCGGGTTCGGAGCGGGTTCGGAGCGGGTTCGGAGAGGTGCCGGAGCGGTCGTGCGCACGGATTGGCAACCATCAAATGGTGAACCCCATGCGGACTTTGGAGTTGACCATCAACAGGGCTCCTTAAAAGATACATTTTGCCCATTTGAAACATGGCTTTTTCCCGCAAAATAAAGGGACACCACCATTTACAAGGCACTGTTCAGGTGTATAATGTAAGGATCCCTGCATCAACAACTCGGTGCTTTCGTTAGGTTCTTCAATTTGTGCGCGCAAGCCTCTCCGTGTTGTCGAGGGTTAACCTTCAACAACTGGTGTTTTTCGGTTTTCAGTTTTGCGCAGCCGCAAATGGCGAACCTCCTGTGGACGTCCGTTGGGTCGTGTTGGGTCCTGCCTTTTTTTTGTTTGCCTTTGCAGTCACAAACTAACTACCCCAAACTAGTTAACTAGTTGGCTAGCTGGCTGGCTAGCTAGCTAGCTAGCCAGCTATCAAAGACAGCCAACAAGCAGTCTATTTGTAAGGCAATCAAGCTAGCTAATGAGCCAACTAGCCAACTAGCTCGCTGCCGAACTACTTGTCTAGCTTCCCTAGCCAGCGAACCTAGCTAGCTAACCGGCCAACTGGCTGACTGGCTAACTCTCGAATGAACAAGCAAGCTGTTGAACAAATGGGACGTGAGCGCTTGAGCTTTTGGGGCAAGTTGCCCTAAAGCTGGCTGTTGTGGGCTCCCGGCTGGAGCAAAGGGTCGGCAACTTTGCAACAACTCCCACTTTTCCTTCACCTCAGGCAAAGCAGTTCGTGGAGTAGGCAGAGGTTTTCCTGTATGCGTTTTGTTGTTCATAGGGACATGGGGGGCCAGAGAGCCACGGCCCCATCCTGCGACATCGTTTCAGATTCCTTAACATCTCACCCTGAACATGTTAATCAGCCGCCCCAACATCTTAAAGGATCCGAAACCCAACCCAAAGCCAACGCAAAACCACTGTTCAAGCCGGCCCTACTAGGGTCCTGTTTGCAGAAGAAGCCGCGTGATCGCTAGGAGTACATTGTTCACGGCTGCTGGGTGGCCCGATCTGCACTTTTGGCAACATTCCACCGAAGCGGTTGGTTGTTTCCGAAACAACCGATGACTCCACGTGTGAATGGGCGCATCTAACCCGACACATGTAAATGGTCGTTTTTTTTTTTTTTTTTTTTTTTTTTTTTTTTTTTTTTTTTTTTTTTTTTTTTTTTTTCGAAGTTGCATGATGTAAGATGGTTCCAACGTGTCACATAGCAACCAAGGAAATCGTTCGATCTCGTTCCGCGGTGTCTTTCGGGGTGCCCCAAGCCTTCAGAAGCCGCACCCTCGCCTCCAAGTCCAGGCCGAGGCTGGAGGACTGGGGCACGCCGGGCAGCCAAGGAGCACTTGACTGACTGGTGGCGGCGAGATCCAACTCGCACCACCGTTCAGAATCCCTAAAATATGTTTCCCCTCTAAATGCCAACGCACGCTATGGTTTCCACATAAGTTCAGAAACCCTGGAAAAATTCGTTTCCCCAACGTCAATACCAGCGAACGTTATGGTTTGTGTTTGTCAAAGCGGTGCGAAACGGATTTTGCAACCATCCACAGAAGGTCCCCCAGGATCGTGCCCTTTTACCCAAAAGAAGTTGGCCGGGATTGCCGGGACTAGACGGGTTTGTGCGCCTATGTGTGTTGAGGGTACCCATAGCCAGGTCCCCCAGTAGTGCCCTTTCTCACCCTTTCTTTTTTGGTTGGGAGATTTGGTTCCCCTTCTAAAATAGACGACGGAAAAAAAATCGGATACCAGCTTATTCTAACCTCCCAAATCTGGACCTGGTTGATCTATGCTGTGCGAATCAGTATGGAGCCCGGCAAATGGATTTGTTTGAGGAGTCTGCTGTCGGGCAATCTTTTTTGGGGGGCTCCATGGGAGTTTAAAAGTTCACCCTGGCTGGAAGGAATGGCAAAGACAAGCGTTGCGCAAGGCACCGCTTGGCGTGACTGGTCTCCAGCGCTGTTGAACCCAGTGCTGCAAAATGGGTGTGGCTCAAAAGTAACCAGGAGGGGTTACGCAGGTTTTGGTCCATGTTTCCACTTACCAGGGTTCGTACCGGTTTTTTGAGCCACAGCCAAATCAAGTCAAGGGCAACCTGGGCATCGGCACAATAAGCGAGGTATGATCTCACGCCATGTAGAGAGCTAATTGATTTTCCCGGCCACATCCCACTCCCTACAAAACCGTTGGAAGGGTGGGGATCCGGCGAAATGTGCAGAATTCTAGAGCACACACCGCTTGGTAGTCGATAAAATCGGGCTCTGCAAAGCTCCTCCCACTCTTAGCAACAGTTTCCTGTTGGCTTCCCGTTTCCCTTTGGCGGTTCCCGATTGCGCGTGTAGCACTCTAGAACCGACTTGTTTGAGCCCATGTAGGACGATTCGAACTTGTGTTTGTCTCTCTATTCTTTTGCTTCTTTGAAACGGTCACCCCATTGAGGGTAGCCCCAAAACAAGACATGCCTTTTCCGCCCTTGAAAACGAGGGGTTTGTTTCCGAATTTGCCGCGCCCTCGAGGCTTTGGACGCGGCTGGAATCCAAGGGCTGGCGCCTGGAGGTGGTGGGCCAGCGGCAAGACAGGCGCGAACGAGAACTCGGACAGCGACGGGGTAGTCCCAAACCCAACAGAATCTGGGCACCCTCAGGTCAAAGCACTTTGGTGTAACCGGCACCCTGTCATTGTGTTGTGTGTGTGATTTTGCGGCACTAAGTTGTTGCTTTGCTGGCTTGGCTCTTTGAGGGAGACACATCGCCGCGTTGCAGGGTGGGTGGTGCATAAAAAAGCGCAATGCGCAGGCTAAGTGACGTCATGAATCTCAGCTCAAGCCCCTTAGTAATTTCTTGTTGCCCGCATGAAGTCCTTATCAAAGCCTTATGAAAGGCCCCTCCGCCATGGGATGGCACTGGGGACACATGATTCTGACTGATTGGTGGACCAGGTGCTACATGAATTCGGGGTTGGCCGCAGTTTCATTCTTGGGGATGATGGCACTGCGGCATATTCTTTGGTTGAAAGTTCGAGCCGGGAAAGAGGGTGTGAGTGTGTGAGGTATGCAGAAAAGTGGCTGATCGGGACTGAGACTTGGTGTCATGCTGGTTTTTGAAGGAGCTCTTGACTGGATTGTCACGAACACATAATTGAGAAGACACGCTGGTACAGAAAGAGGACACATTCCCAGGCCAATTGGGATGGGTGAAGCCCCACGAACACTGAGAGGATGAATTCCATCACCACAGCTTTCTGGACAACCAGGGAGCCCAAGCCACTCTTATTTTTGCGTATGGAAATGCACTTTCTTAGTTTCAGGTGAATGGTTTGCCCGAAGTGTGGCTTGTGTATCTAAAGTGTTGCTTCCCACGGGTTGCTCTTTACCTTTTCCTTCGAATCCGGTCAGAAGGAGCTCGCCCTTGAATGGATTCATGGCTTTGTTCTTCTTTTGCGGCTAGAAGGGTCCCCGATCTTCCCCTTGAGCCACCCACGTTTGGGTGGCCTTTGCTGTCTTGGCGGCAGGTACTACTTACCGCCCGGGGTTGAGAGAGGCCCTGGGAAGAAGAATCGCCGGACAGCCCGGCTTTGGGACGCGCGAAGAGGCTTCTTGTTTCGCACTGACATCTTTGGCCAGGGTTCAGGTTCCGGGAATGAGTTTGGCCTTTCTTGGGGATACTCCTTCACATTAGAGAGTTCAAGCGTCCGGGTTGCACCGGGCCGGGGAGCAACGGATTTGTTGCCAGCCACCCAGAAAGGGGATACAAGCACTCCACTTTCCAACTTGCGGTGGTTCCTTTCATCCAGTTTCCACCCGAGGGCCAACCCCGGCAAGCTGTTTGCGAAAAGCAAAAAATCGTTCACTTCATGAGTCGAGGGGCACCAAAAAACGGCTGCGGCACCAACCATTGCTTCCCTCCAGCTCTGAAACAAAGCCGAATTCCTCTGAGGCGTGGATTACTTCGACTCGAAGAAGCAGGTCTTGCAGCAGCTTGGCGGGCAGTGACGCCAGTCGTCATGCCTCTTCCTCGGACCCTTGCGCGTTTTGTGTGCGATAGACAAATATTTGCAGTGACTGTCATTTGGGTATGGGTCAAAATTGAAGCACCAGGGGACCGCAGTTTTTAGTCCTTGGTTCCATTTACCAGGGTTCCAAAATGGATACCCATTTTGACCCACAGCCATTTTGCTTTCAACATTGAACCGCCGTTTTTAGCACGTCCCCATTCTCCTTGACAGGCTCCATGGCTTCTTTGTCCAGATTCTTTTCGCGCCCAGAGCAGGACCTCTGGTTTCCCCGTGTCAAGCCAATCCCAAGAATTCGGCAGGGCTCCTTAAAAGATACACTTTGCCCATGTGAAACATGGCTTTTTCCACCAGAATAAAGGGAAACCACCATTTGCAAGGCAATGCTCAGGTGTATAATGTAAGGATCCCTGTTCGGGATGTGTGAGACATGCCTCGAAGGAGCCCTATGATGCACGGCACTATGCTTAACCCCGAACACAGGGTACCAAAACCATTGGGAGACTGTTGTCGTGTAATTTTGATCCGGGATCAGAAACCTCGGCTGTTCGGGTTGGCATTGTGAGGCTGCACCCGTGATGGCTCCAAACTGTATAATTCACACAAAAGTAGGTATATATATATAGAGCGCAAGGGGCACAGTGTTTGACGGGGTCCACCCTCCACAAACATTATCTTGGATGTTCCTTCAGATCTTTTGATTCTTTTGGACTCACCGAATGAGACTAGGCTTTGGTCCAAAGTCCAAATGGCAGTCGTTGGTTTTCTCTCGCGACGCTCGAGGCATCTACAGTTGCCGCCGCCTCAGGTCAAACCAGCTCACCCGGGAAGGCCATAGATATTCCTGAGTTCAGGGTGGTGAATCACTGTAGTCGGTGCGGAGGTACACACAATTTGTCGGGAGTTCAACAAAAGTCTCATGGGTTTCGGAGGGGAAGTGCAGTGAATCAGTGCATGCGTTGGCTGTCGCTTTGTTGAGAACGAACTGCCGGCATCGAGCCAGTGCGCGGAGGCAACTGTCTATGGGATTTGTGTCAAACTAGGGACCTTGTTTGGGACAGTTTCAGGGGGACTTTCTTGACAGCATCCAAGTGGTCAAGGCAGCTCGTTGGGCTGCATACGGCGGTTTGTGGGGTTGCAATCTCAATCCTGATGACGATTCCCTTCTCTGAGCTCCCTTATTTCTAGTTGACGTGGTATTGCCATTCACCCATTTGCATTCATATGAGAGCAAATTGTGGCGGGCGTGTGCTCAGATGTCGGGCTCAAGATCAGGAGGTGCCTTTTTCGGATGTCAGTGAACCATGTTTGGTGCATCGCCAAAAAGAGCGGGGCATGATTTCTCAGTACTGTGGGGAACCATAGGCGCACACCCTCACGTGACATGGTTTCTGCCCGAGGCCAAAGAAAGAGCACAGGACCAACCTGTGCTGGGCGAGACCTGTTTCGGCATGACATGTCCATTGGGCTGTGTTTATGGTCAAGGAGAATACATATCACCTGCTTGCTTTTCTTTTTTGGGGGGGGAGCAAAAGCCCCCCCACTCCCGAGGAAGGGATTTTAGAAGCTTTTGGAAGGGGTTCTTTGACGTTCTTGTCAAAAAGAACCCAAAAGGGTACTTGTGTTGATCATGCAGCCAGGTATTTTTGAAGAATACCGTACCGATTTGAGTTGGATAGCCTTGAATGACACAATATGTGGTACTTGAATGCGCCGTGAAGCAATCCATGTCGGCCATGAACGTTAATAGTTGGAGTACCCTCCATGACGTTGGTGGACATAAACCAAGCGGGTATTTCTGATGCCTGCCGAAGAGTCCAACTACTTGAGTGTCATGGGTGCTGTTTTTGAAGTTTGTATCTCTTTTTGGGTTGGTTTGCAGGGAACTAAAAAGAAAGAGGTCATTGGGCTTCCTTTTTGTGAGGGCACACTTTTGCTTTGCTTGCAAGGGAAACAAGCCCAAGTGGCATCCCCAACAGCAACTACCGCAAGCCCTTAGCGACTCCAAACCACTTCTGCACTACCTCAACTGTGGACTCCTCCGGAGATCGCAAGGATTTTGGGCTCCATAGCTTTCAGCTGAGAAGCGATCCAACCCGCCGTGACAGGACACAGAGCTCAGCACGGGGGAAAATCGAGAAAAAAGCTGGCAGTGACGTGTTTTGGGAAGGGGGCGACCGAGGTGGGAGTTTGCGAGTTTGCGGCCGGGGGGTTTATGCATGGGCTGCGCGACTTTTAGGGGCTCAGTGCAAAGGCCCGAAAAAGAGTTCAACTGCAAGATACAAGTTCTTACTCAGTGGAACAGTGGCCCCTGCAGATCTACTGACAGACACATGATGGGAGGGTTTTTCAAACGGAGGGTTTCTTGAAGAGGACTCTAAAAGGGGTCGTTTCAAGAACCGCTTCCATGTTTCAACAAGGGTTGGCCCAACCCTGCTGTCCTCAAGTATATCCAGGTGAACTTCTTGCGGCCTTTTACAAGCTCGGGACATCTTGAAACAGAAAAAAGGCCTGGGTTTTGGTGGGCAGACTTACTGAGTTCCCACTTCATGCTCCAGGTTTCTCAGAGCAGTCTAACCCCTGGCCATTTGAAGGGGTTCTACCGATTGGTTTCATGGGGTTTTTGGCAAGGCCTGCATAGACAAATTGTAACGGTGGGTACTCGCTAAGGGTGACTTCCCTTTTGGTTTCCCAAACCAACCTCCACTCACAAGCTTCCCCGCAAAACAAATCGTTCTCATCGCAGAACCCAAAGTCCAAGTCGATCCGTTTCCTTCTTTGGGACTCAAGCTGTGGGGTGTCGAAGCTCCTTTTTGGCGCTCTTCTTGGCTTAGACCAAGACGTGGTCCGTTGGCTTGCGTTTCTTTAGGCTTAGGGAATGGGATCAACACATGATTGAACCGACTGAAAAAAGGGCCTCTCCCTGGTTTCAAACCATCTGTTTGGCTGAGGTTTGCTCCTGTATATACGGGCCCCCACGCGGGGAGAAACAAAAAACAACTCTTTGTGCCCCCGCAAAAGGCAAGCCTCAAGGATGCCCCTTTCCAAAAAAACCCTCACGGACCAAACCGAGTCTGAATGCGGTCCAAAGGGTCTTTTGCGAACAGGTTAAACCCAGGAGAGAGTGCCCCTTGTCAAGCCTTGGCCCGTCGAGCTTTCGGAGACTTGCGCTTGGGTTCGGATGTCTTGACCATACTTGGTTGAGACATGCCCAAAAAGCAACACGCAAAAAGACGCAGGGTGTGTGGGTTTCCCAGTTTCTCCCTGGCCAGCTGGCGACAAACTGAGAGTAGTCACTGGGCTGGGAAGCGGCTCCGCACGGTGCACGCTCCGGCAGCTGTTTTAGCTGAGCCAACGATTGGCCAGAGAGCCAGACTTTACAAAGCAACCGGGCTGCGATTGGCTGCGCAATGCAACGAGTTGGACTATTTTGGGAAAACTCCGAGCTTGGTTCTCAAGGGAACTATGAACAACGTCCCCATTTTGTTAGGCCTTTCAGGGGCCTCGTTCTGTTTTGACAAATCTCAAATAATGAGCGAGGAGTAACTTCGTGATGCCTATTTCGGATGAAGCAGAGCCCCTCCGGATGCATTCGCGGTGGGAACCCTCCCCCTTTCAGAGGAGAACATCTATCCCAGTCAACTGGGAAAGGAGGCCATCTTCGGAGGGTTCTCAAAGGGAACCATTTGCAGAGGTGAACCAGAAGAACGGAGCTCTCCAGTCTGATCACCCAAAATGGTGTCTTGGTCAATTCCTAACAAGTGACTATTGCCACGGTGAAAGAAGGTTGTTCATACTGGGGAAGTACGAAATCCTGCACCACCCAAGAAACCATGGAATGATGACTGCCCTGTGAATACCAACAAACAATGTTTTCCCATGATTTCAAGTTGGTGCGAAATGGATTTTGTTCATCCACAGTAATAACAAACATCCCCCTTTGGCCCAACCCGAAAAGACGAAAAAGCCCCGCGAAGTCATTCATTCGCGATCCAAGGCATGACTGCGGCGGTGAGCGCGTACGCGCCCTACGGCCAGCAGTTCGGCCAATTCGCCCAGCCCTACGGCCAGCCGGCGACTGGGCTGAAGGACATGGACGGTCATTTTCAGTCACCAAGCAACGAGCAAATGAGCAAATGGGCGGTTTTTCAAACTTGGTTCAGGTTTGTTATTGCCGTGCTTGATTGCGAACCACCCCCAAACCCTGCTTCCTCCGCGTCCTTGCTAGTTTGTTTTCCCGATTCGGAGAGCGCGCATGGAGGGCGGACTCCGCGAGCCGAGGCGTCGCCGGGCTTTGCCGGGAGCTCAGCTCCTTTGGGTGTGTCGGAGGTTCCCAATGCCCTGGTACCATGCGTGGGCGGGCAAAGCAGGTTCCGTGCGTGTTTTTTTTTTTTTTTTTTTTCTGCTGCTTTCCCCTTACCCCACGCATGGTACAGGGCTGGTTACAGGAAACCAAGAAGCAGCCTGGTTCCCCAGGCCATGGCCGTGTTTTGCCTGAAGAGGCCGTTGCGCGGGGAAAGGCCTGGGGAGGCCCTGGATTCGTGGGCAGGTTTTTGTGACCTGCTGGGGTTTGAAGTCCAAGCAAAACCGAAGCGTCGGCTTTCTCCAATGGTGCAGGCACTAGACAGGGGCCCAGGCGTTGCCCGAATCAAGAACACACGCGTTTTTTCTCCGCAACTCTTGGCTTGAAATGCGGGAAGGATGTTGGCGGATTGGTATTCCCCGTTTGAAAGGAACATACGCTTCGGGGCGGAGTTCTTTCCCTTCAGATGGGGATTCGGGTGAGAACCTGAGCTAACTCGGGGCGAGGGGGAGGGTTGAACCCTCGAAGATTCTAATGGTGACGCAGAAGCCGCCTGGTTGAGTAAGATGTAAGAAGGGGGTAGGTCCCAGTGCAGAGGGAACCCGTGGGTTAACACTTTGGGAACCAGGATCTCATCTTGATACAGATTTATCGCGGCTGATGAAGTACTCGGGTGCGCAAGATTTGGCACCTTTGTCGGTCTCGGTCTTTCCGATCTTTCGAGGGAGGGGGGGTTGTCATCCGTAAGGTTTGTTTCCACAAGGGAGACCCCTCAAACATGGGGCCCGGTTGCGCGTTGGCAGCCCTTCATAGCGATTCCAAAGAGGGTGCCCACTTTTTGACAATGGAGTAACAGGTTTTGGTGAGTCATTTGTTTGAGACTCCCACGGGATCTTCCCTGTCTCCCTATTGAACGTGCGCCAGTCACGGGGATGTCAGGTCCAGGTGACTACACGGGTTTGGACTAGGCATATCTCACACCTTCTCTAGCGGGTTCCTTAGTCTGGACTCTCTTGGAGTGATCAAATAATAATTCCGAAGAGCACGTTCCCAACGGATGTCTCTTAGTTTTCATGGTTTTGATTGGGATCTCTTGGAAAATGGGTGTGTTTCTTTTTGGACCCTCAAAATGTGTTAAGTGTTCCCCTGGTTTCCCTTTAAAACCACCAAACACGGGAGCTCTCTTCGGAAGCGCTTCTCATTCGAGAACCCGAGGCCAGCACCGATGGAGGCCGGGGCCTTGCCGGGCCGGTTTCGGGTACGGTTGGAGAGGCCCTCAGAGAGTTGCTTTTTGCCAGGGTAATTTTGAGGATGTCACTTACCCAGTGACCTCATCCAGGCCAAAAGGAAGACACCATTTTGAGGATGATGTTGCCACCGTTGGGCCCCCTTTTTAAAGGGGGCCCAACTTTGGTTAGTGTTAAAATTGGGCATCCTTCGGGAGAGGAAAAGGATGCCACAAGGAATTAGAAAAATCGGTCTCTGGTGTCTTTGGAGGTGGCTTCTTTTGGCCGCATTGAAAGGGAAACATATCACCATGTTGGAGTTTCCGAAATTTCTTTGCCCGGTTGCCGCTGTTCAAAGTGGATCAAATGCATAAGGCTGTCTTAAAACTGACGTGCTTCCTTCTGATAGTGTTTGAACATAGGAAATCCACAATTTCAGGGGTTGACCTTCATGATGGAGCGCAAAGAACCAACAATACAGTTAATGAATCATGACAATTAAGAAGAGCAGCCATAATTCCAAACAATTCAGTCTTACCCGCCATCAGTTCAACGTCAATTTCCAAAGAACGTTGAAAGAACCGCGCAAGAGAATCAGCTGTGAGAGTACTAGAAGAAAGCTACAGATGCGTAAGCAAGAGTAAACATGGTTGTACTGAATACTGCAGTTCCTTCAATTTCTTCACCCTGGCATTTCCCGCCACAAATTCTATTTTTGGTTTGGTTATGATCCTCGTTCAATCTACTTTTAGTTGGTTCATGACCGATATGTTGTAAATCGGAGATATGGAATTGCAGAAATAGAATCTGCAAGAATGAATCTCTGATATCCCTAGAAATAATCTTGAGAAGTATGATTCAGTACCATTATTCAGTATCAAAGTATTTGGAGTACAATCCCCACTGCTACTTTACAATCACTTTAGTTTTATGTAGCTTTGTATCGCGAAATTCCTCACTGTTTGTTGCTGCCTTTTCTGTGTAAATAGCTTCCTGTGCCTTCCTTTCCTTTTCACTATAACGTGGAGTCAATTGTTAGCAAGAATCGGTAGACTTTCAAGGCAGCTATCGTGAGGATTGATCAACGCACGGCGCGACCTCGAAACCTAGGTGACTTAGGTGCCATGTCTTTCTTGCATTTCCCAACCAAAGCAAAGAGAGACGCGCAACCGAAGGATGATCCTGGATTCCGAAAAGGGGCTGACCATAACGAATCCTTACTCAATACCGGCCTTGCCCCCAAAGTATACGAATCACGATTGTAAAGTAAGCTTGAACCAGATTGAACTGCGGATCGCACCTAAACATTTAATGACCAACACTAGAAAGCAAATTTGGCATTCCCCTGAAATCGTGCTAACAAGGCGAGCTCGTTCAAGTATGTCTCTAAATGAGGACGCACACCCCAAAAAACGAGCCGGGCTTTCTTTGGATCAGGGCGATCCTTGGCTACAAGGAGAGGGCATGTCTTTTGGCTTCTTTTCCACCCAAGGTATCACCATTGTTCTCGGAGTTTTCTCTACCCAGGTTTGTGTTCTCAATGTCCAGCTGAACTCCACCCCCTCCCACCTCCCTCCCACCTCCCTCCCACCTCCCCCCCCAACCCACCACCTCCCCCCCACCCCTCCCCCCCCCACTCCACGAGAGGCGTCTCAGTGGGCCAGCGCCTGCGGCGCATGCTGCTGGAGCTGAAGCCTTTGGAGCAGAAGCAGATGGAAGCGCAGAGTCTGGCGCCTTGGAGTTCACAGAAGGCCCAGAAGGAAGGTCTTTGGGTGGGGTGGGCGGAAAAAAATCCACAGGAAACCAAAGGAAGCCGCATGAAAACCAAAGGGAGCCAAGGCAAACCGCAAGGAAACCGAAGGGAACCGAAGGAAACCACATGGAACCAAAGGAAACCGGCATGGAACCAAAAAAACCCAAGGAATCCGAAGGGAGCCAAAGGGAACCAAAGGGAACCAAAGTGAACAGACCATCTTTCTGGGCCTTATGTTGAGAAACCCACGTGAGTTAGTCACAATCAAAACCCAAGGGAAGGTTCATGAAGGACAGCCGAAAATTTGCCGGGAGATCCAAAGGCACTCTTGATTTTCTCATTTTGGGTACTGTTCAGTACCAGGTAGGATCGTGACTGTGCTTTTGTGCTTTTGTGTGTATGTGGCCATGGGGCATAACCTATGGCGATCCCATTTTGGGGTGGATGAACATCCATGTACCACCTATTTTGATGTTCACCAGGAGTACAGCTTTGGTTTTGACCCACAACCATGTGTGTTCTCTTCGGGTACACTTTTCAGGTTGGTTAGGGATACCAAAAGGAGCAGAACTATGATTTGTTTGCCTTAGAGATTTCTGTTTATTTTTTCTTCGGGGGTGACCCTGGGGTTGGTAGCCATAGGCATGATGCTGCGCCGCGAATGACCTGCCTTCCAATGCACAAATTCAGGAGGAAGAAGGTGGAACCATCCCGTCCAGTTGTTCGTCGATGCCCCAAATAACGCAAGTAGGGGAACAGGGCCAGCCCTGCAAGTGAATCGGGGCAAATTAAACCTCGGACTGAGAATCCTGTAGATGCCCTGTTTTCAAGCTACTTGTGTTTGTGGCCTCCCCAAACACAACAATCGAGATGATCAGATCTTCATTCCGGAGCTGCTTGTCGCCTCTAAATAGAAAAGACTCTGTCCCACGTTGGCTTCCCTTTGCTGAAGTGGAGGTTTGCTATGCCTGCTATGTTTCACAGTGGGGTTGGTCGTGACTAGCATGTGCATTGTTTAGTGGCTCTCGGGAACCATTTGGAAAGCCAAGCGCAAGCCATTTGGATAGGTATTTGTTGTAAACAGTGGTAAAGTGCTCCCTTTGTTTCCCGTGGCTAGCATCACCTTTTGGGTTTTAAGGCGAGTTTGCTTTTGGGGTGACGTTTTTCGGGACATTTGGGCACCCCTGACAAGCGCGACTGGGAGTCCACGTACCAGCAAAGGGAACCGCGAAAAGACGAGATCACTGGCAAATACAATGGATGGACGAAATCCACTTCGCGGATGTGCAACCATCCACAGTTCTATTGTTCAGCACCAAAAACCGCCGGAGCTAGGTACAGCAGTGTCCTGCGCAGCAAGTGGGGGATTGCATGCGTGCCATTCTGGAGCAGCCAGTGCAGCTGCCCTGGATGCATACGCTGGGGGTGCAGATCCTGACAGAGCTTTTGCACCCTGGCTCTGATTCTGGGTCCCTGAAAGTGATATTCAAAACAAAAAACGCCGACTCATGGGTGCGCGGGGGAGGGAAGCCACCCTGACATGGTAGTTTTCAGACAACCACTTTACTGGAACCACTTCGTGTTTTTTGTGCATTGCTTGCCTTCGGTCATGTAGTTTGAGTTCAGCGGGAGTCCAACTCCACAGAACCATTTCTTTTTCTGCTGGTCACTTTATGGAGATTTAGAATCGAGGTGGCTTCCCAAATCACCACTTCAAACCAGCAAGGCACGCGTAAAGGAACGAGCCCAGGGCCCTTCCCGGCCGCAGGGCATCGGCGTTTTTCGGAGTCGGTGTCCTTTCTGGCTTCGGTTTGGTGGACAGATGGACCGGGTGGATGTTTTGTGGTTCGGATCGCTCGCCCGAATCCATCTATATAGTTTTCCACAAGGGCGCCTAGCGCTACGGTTCATGAATGACCGAGAAACTCGGAAGCTTTCCCCATATTGAGACCCCCTTCATGAGAGTACCCCCCCGTCTTCTGGGCACTGTGGCCAACGGGATCTGCGTTCTGATCCCTTGGGCAATTTGAGACGGCTCCCACGTCCCTCTGTTTACTCTGGCAACTTTTGTTCAAAACGTCACTGTTCCGCACCTCTTTCAGGTGCTGGGGCCAGAAATGCAAGGGTTAATGTTAGGCTCTGCCAGCTGCTGCTTTTTGCACATTGAAGCACATTTGCAAGCAACCCCAGCGCTTGTCGGGATTAGGTGGCATTGGGTTTGGCAGGTTTCCTGCCAACCTTGCCAAGTCACAATCAGCAATCAGCGGCTGAGACCCGATCCGTGATGGAGATTTCTTGTATAGCGTTCCTAATTGTGACATACTCACATAAGTTGCCCACCAAACGAGGTTTGTTGAGAAGCCCTCCGCTTTCGACGCCTCGGATGACAAGAGACGCCTCGAGATAGACTCTTCCACCCCCTCAGGCGGCTTTTCCCGCAGATCGTGGCGGGGCAGTTTCAGAAAGCCTACATCCCGCAGCTGTTCCCCGACAGTGCTGATGTAGCCGCCCGGACCCAAACGGCAATGCTTCTTATCTGGCCCCCACCACTCCTAAGGTGTACGGAAGGGGTCCACATCTATTGGGGGCCCTTGATACACGGTACACGATAGCTTCTCGCTGGAAGTTTCTGGGGCTGTCCGTTTAACATTCAGACGCCCAGGGTATCTACGGAGGGTGGCCAACTTGATTCTCACGAAACCGATCTCAAATGTCGGGTTTCGCCGGGCAAGGTTCTGCCAAAGACCACGCGAGGGGACGTGAGCCAAGATCATCCCGCCTTGCATGGAATCTGACGGGAGGTGCCTGGTTTGAGAAACATCGGTGGCACTGGTCAGAATCCATGCAGTGTCAACCAAAAGGAAAGGACATGGATTGTTGGATACTTGGGACTAAGTGCAGATGTATACATTTTTGGAGCATGTGCGTTCAACAGTTAGATACATGAAGAGTTCAATTGTAGGAAGTCTATGAATACATTGGATCACATCCCCACAAGCCGCGAAAAGGGGTTGCTGGTTGCAAGGACTTGGCGGCAGCTTTTCTGCACAGCTTGCTGCGGACAAAGGAGGCTGGAACGGCTGCGTTCAGAGAGGTCAAGGGAAATCAACTGGGTGGTGAATCAGGTTGCCCGCAGGTTTCCCGATTTGGTAAGCCCCCCCAGCTTGGGGGCTGTTTGCGTACTTCCTTTGGCGGTGTGACGTTTGGAGAACAAGGGGCCCTGTTCTTCGGAGCTCGCCTATAGGAAGCGGTCAGCAACTGCCCGTTTCAAGGGACCAGGAAGTCTTCCCGCCCTCCTCACCGAAAAAGCCCGTGGGCAAGGCTTGGCCAGGGAAGCCATGGAGGGGCAGCCAAGCGATGTGTTCTTGGCTGTGGCTCAAAACCAGTCAGATCCCATTTTGGCACAGGGGTCGGTGAATTCACCCCTCCATTTTAGGTTACCTATTTTGGTGCTTGGATTTTGTCCCGTTCACTGGGGGCCATGGCCACGCCGTGCGCTGCCGGAGGCCATGGGCCAGAGCTGCCAGGAGGAGGGCGGGAAGTTTCAGAGGCGGGGGGCGTTTCACGCGACCGCGGGCGGGGGGGGTGGGTTGGGTGACCGCGGCGACCGCAGAATCCGTGGAGGTGGTTGTTTTTTGATGGACCCGTCTTTCGCGTTGGTTGGGGGGGGGGTGGGTTGTGACCGCAGAAACGTGGAACCAACCCGTTTTTTCCATGGGTGAAGAACAAACTCGTCTCTGGTGCCCCGGCGAAGGGCACACCCCAATGAAAGAAGCGCAAAACATATTGCGCGATCCCTCTCAATATATCTATGCGCGAGCGTAGCCCCAACAAATGGGGGGCCGTTCCTTCCCGTTTTTCCTTTACGCCGAAAGCCACGGTTCCTATCGTTGAGCTGGGCATGCTGAAGTTCTTCGCAGCCAGGGCGTGGCTGACATGTGATGCGGCCCTGTCAGCATGCTTGTGAGTCTTTGAGCGGAGAGAGCAGGGGTGCGCTGAGACTGAAGGGCAACAACAAGAACAAGAGCAAGAATAGCAAAAACAAACACAGTAACAATAACAACAGAAGCAGCAAGAAGAAGAAGAAGGAAGCAGAAGAAGCAGAAGAAGAGGAAGAAGATTCAGAAGAAGATTCAGAAGAAGATTCAGAAGCAGATTCAGAAGAAGAAGAAGAAGAAGAAGAAGAAGAAGAAGAAGAAGAAGAAGAAGAAGAAGAAGAAGAAGACACAGAACGAAACAGCAGCAGCAGCAACAGCAGCAGCAGCAGCAACAACAACAACAACAGCTGGGGATGCTCTTCAAGGCTCTGGGAAACATAATCCTAGGAGGGCAAGTGGAGACCATTTCTGCGTATGATTCGATGACCTCCGGCCTGGAGAGCAACCCTGTGGGCTGCTACGTTCTTGGAGGACTCATCTTCCCTTCGAATTGGGTCCTATGTTCCAGTCGTTCAAGTTCCCATGTTTGTTTCTGCGAGGGTACTGAGTTGCTCTCTAGCGTGAGATGGCCAGGCTGCTTCTGAAGAAGACTCAGCTAGCTGACTTGCGCAAGGCTGGTGCACAGCTTTGTCGCATTTCATTTGAAGTCTGGTTGGAACTGCGCTAGCATAGTTGAATAGGGCGTCTGTCCCAACCCGAATCTTCTGCGGGCCGTCTTTGCCATCCCTGGTGTTTTTGAGCGCTTTTCGCTTTTCCCGTTTAGGATTGTTCAACAGATGTTATTTGCTGGATTGGCCGAGCGCGTTCATGAATACTGATGTTGCTTTTGCTCTCAACTTGCAGGGAGAAGCTGGAATGTGCGGTTGGACCGTCTTCCGCTTGTTGCTCAGCGTGTTTTTTGGTGACACTGTTCTTTGAACATCTGGGTGAACATCGAGTCCAGCATAAAGAAACAATAGGCGAGCCAAGTCTGATAGTGATGTTATAATATGTCCAAAACACAACTGGGCTTGTCAAATCCTGCGCAGCCCTACAGATTCATAGCTGGACGTGTTCATGAGTTTGTCATGTGGAGCCATTCCCCCCACTACCTGGAGTTTCCTTCGCTATTTTATATAGGGTCGACAAAATGCGGAACAGAATCAGATATGAATTTCTGTGCACGAGTTACCTTCTCGCAGCCAGCAACAGACTTTGAGAATGCTAGACTCTTCCCTCTAGTGTTTTTGTTTCCTGTTCAGGGCCTGCCTGTGAACTCAACCAGCCAGACAAGAGCAAGCCCTTTTGTGTATCGGGCAGGGTCCACTTCGGTGCAATCCGGAGGGTTTTGTGACAAAAACCTAAATCCACAATTGAAGGGATTCCAGAATTGGTGATGTCTTGCGGATTTTTAAGGGGACATACAGCAGATGGTCCAAAGATGGTCCAAACTCCTGAGGGGTTCGTGACCAGCCCTACGAAGTTGCAGGGTCTTTTGGCCCAAATGGTTAGGCAGAAGGGCACCCTCAAAAAGTGGACAGACACGCCCACAGATTTCTCAGGTCCCCCGCAACTGCTGGTGTGGATTGCTAGGCTATGATGTCCAAACCACTAGGAAGACGGTGAGTTTCGGGGTTGGGGAAAAGGGAGGGGGGGGGGGCAGAAAGGGTACCCACGAAGAAGAGAAACCATATGAACCCTTGGTGTGAAATCCTCATTCTCGTTCTGATTTTGATTCAACCGTGCTGAATTGCTTGTTCGATGCAGCGATTAATCGGGGGTCAGAAGGAGCAGGCCCCCAAAACCAAACAAGTCGCTGTGTGTCTGTACACGCACCGATGCCCCGTTCTTTTGTTGGCAGCTTAAGCTGCTCCCTTCGGGGAGAACGAGCCACTGCCAGGTCCCGGCGTGCTCGGCCCGTGCCTGGATGGTGCAGATCTGGCGGGACGTGACCAGCGCGCGCCCGAGGGCCGAGCTGCTGGTGGAGTGCTGCGCGAGGTACCTGGCGGACCCGCCCCGCGGCTGTTGGAGTCCACGGGATCACCAGAAGAAAGAAGCGCGGAAGGGAGGAGCTCAGGGTTGTGGGAAGGGGTTTTTCCAACCACTTCTGTGATACAAGTTGGAATCTCCCCCTTTATATGGGATTAGCCTTTGGGAAGCCTTTTTTGTTGTATCACAGACGTGGTCATTTCCCACAGCCCTGGAGGAGCTTGTTTTTGGGTCCTTCCGAGTCCTTGGTGTTTTTTTGGGGAGATGTTGGGATGAAAAGTTTCTAGGGGTACCTTCCCCATTCTTTCCAGGGATCCTTCTTTCTCGAAAACCTCTGGAAAACGGCCGGTTTTTGGAAAGAACGATGGTTGAAAAGAATGGACGAGGACACCCCTAGAAAGTTGGGGGTCTTTGATGTGCCAGAAGGCGGGTTCGCTGAGGAATGACTCGCCCATGGCGAAGATCCCGTGCCTAGAGATCCTGAAGCACCTTGTCCGCAAGAACAGAGGTGTCCTTTTTGGTGGTTTTGGTGGAAGCATAGATGGGTTTCCCTGGTATACCTGGTGGTTTAATCATCTACCAGGGCCATCTATTTGCCCTAAAAGGACACCTATGTGCAACAGCGTTCTGCAAAGGAGCGTCTTTTGAACGGGAGGCCCTCTTTGGCCATGGGTTTTGTCAAACGTCAACCGGTTTTATCTTTGGTTCGACCCATAGTTCAACCTTGTGGGCAACCTCGGTTTTGGTTTTCTTTGAGTTCTTGGTATTTAGTGTGTTGCTTCCAAACTCCCAAGTGGGGCTAGCTTTTTTTGCCGTTCTTCCGAATGGTCTGTTGTTCGTCCAGGATCAGACGAAGGGCCCACGCAAATTTCCATTCAGGAGCCAGGAGCTCAGGCCCCCCGATTTTCCCACGGGTCCCTCTCCATATGAGGGTTTGGTGATTTCCCTTGCATAAGCCCGCATTGCCAAATACACTAAACACTATGTTGGTGATCCAGTTGCTCCAAAGCAACCCAACAAGGTACCGAGCCCAGGAATCACACCGCAGAATCTGTGGCCTGCTGCTCCCCATTTCCTCAAGTTGATGTGTGTGCGTGTGTTCGTTTTTGAGAGTACCGTGTTCAGGTTTCTTAAAAGAGAAGCCAACCAGACGCCACCCATTTGGGAGCCTTTTCTTCCATTTGCTTGAGAATATGTTTTATTTTGCCCTGTTGGTTTTAAAGGGAATCTATCACTATTGGACATATTTGTATTTTTTGCGGGGGGCGAAGAAGCAACCTACCCCGGCATGGATCCATGAGATCGTCCGATGGTCGAGGCAGGAGTTCTCCATGAGGGGCCCCGCGGAAGCCGAGCCCTGGCTGCTCTCCACGCTCTTTGAGCAGGCGCACGAGAAAAAGTTTGGCCGCCGGCGTTGGTTTGGCCAAGAAGCGGCGGGCCCCAAAATTTGGGAAGGTTCAGGAGTAGGTGGCTGTGGGTCAAAACCAATGGTACGATGTTGGGGTAGGTGCACCACCCATTTTGGTCTATTTTAGTGGGGGTTGGGATGTTTACTGGGGGTACGGGCTTTTGACCCATGGCCAGCTGGCTGCTCATCTTGGTTCGTGCCAAGTTAAATTCGTGATGGCCAGTGAGCCCCTGAGCGCTCAGAAGGAGTTCCCTTCTGGCGTCCCTGAAAAAAGCTGCTCCATAAACGGCACCGAGGCTCAAGAAAATGACGAACACATGGGGCACGATTTGAAGTTCGGGTAGCTGAAGTGGGGGGTATGGTCCAAGCCATAGATAGCAAGACTTCCCCTTTTGGAGTGCTGAGTGCCCTTCTTGCATTTTTTATGAAGGAAGACATATCTTCCTCCCCTTCAGCACGCCGATTTGTAGATGTTGACAGTGCGAAGGTCAGGGGATCATGCAATCTTCTTGGGGATATGGCATGTATCTTATTTGGCATATGGCGAGTTACACTCAGTTGGCACAATGACCCTCAATTGCAGCTCACCCATTTCCTGACGAAAACACCAACGCGTGATAAGTGCACATATTGGGTACATTCAGTGGTTGTTTATAGAAAGTCACAGCTTCCCCCGAATTCGCAGCTGTTCCACGTCAGGTGTGCCGGGATCCGGCGAACCACTCCGCGGACCTTCAGCAGCTGCTCCTTGGCTGTGGACTGATGTGACAGGCGAGCCACGTCCTCAAAACCGATTCGGGTACATGAAGGTTAGTAAGGGGCAGTAGCCAGAAATTGTTGCGGATATCCGCCTTCTTTATTCTTGAATGAGGTCTGGCAGGCTTGGGTGTTCAAGGTATCATTACTTACTGCAGTTTCAACTATGCCAATTTTGGCTCAAGGTATTGATCCAAACTGGCTAGTTGAGTTTTCTGTCTCAGGAGTGACCTGAATGGCAGGTCCTTTCGCCTGCAGCTTTCATGGACTTTTGCTACGAGGTCAACCGGCTGCTGCGTGTTGGTGGAGAGACCACCCAGGCGTTGGGGATTGGGGCTGCGTGGTGGAGATTCGCCGTGCAGGGACACCAGCAGGGGCAGTTGAGAGTGGTAACTCCGGTTTTGCGCTGGGCTGCTTGCACGACGGTTGGATGCCTCAGGTGTTCTGAGCTGCGGGGAGGGTTCCAATTCCCTTGGTTGAGGACTTGGAGCCGCCGAGGAGTGGTTGCCAAGGCAAGCCGCTGCATGAGTTGCGGCCTCTCACGTCCACGTTGGAGCATGGGCAGATCTGCCCCGCGCCTTTTGGCAAGGCTGGGCAAAGCCAGGGATGGAGTTACCATGCTTGAGTCTTCCGGCTTTTCAAAGCCCACCAGGACCATCCGGTTCCTCTTGGCGGCAGTGGATGCGGACCTGGAGACATCCCACCCCTGTGTCCTTGGTGTCTGGTCCCCACGTTCTTCTCGTGCCCGTCCTTCGGTCTTGCCTGCTGCAACGAGTGCCCCTGATGCTGGGACCACTATTTGTACTTCGATTCAAGCTCTGGCTCAAGTTAGTTCTGTTGTGGCTGCACATGGCAGGGCAGTATCCGGGCAGGTATGTGGCCGAAGCCACGTACAGGGCATGGGGCGTTGAGCCCTGCTCGTGGGAGCCGCGCGTGCCAGGAGTGGCGTGAGCGCCATGGCCTCATCAGGGACGATGACCTGGCCTTCGTGTTCGAGAGCTTCGAGGAGGCCAGACTTTGGCAAGCTAATGGGTGGCTGGAGTTGCTCCCAACTGCAGCTTCCATGGTGGAGGCCGCTTCGAGCGCCCGACGCCCTTTTTTCCAAGGGCCTCGCGGCGCACGACTTCGCGCCCGAGAAGGTGGTGCGCCGAGTGATGGCGTTGGCTGCGTCTTTTGAGGAGAAGGGGTTGAACCGGCCCAGCAACATCAAGTCCGACCGCATCTACGCACACGTCTAGAGCGACAAGCCCAGCTGAAGCAAACAGTCACCATCCTGAGCAACCGAGCAGTGAGCGGGATCTCCGACTTTCCGATTTAGAGCGTTCAGGAGGTGATGGTGGCTGCTAGGGTGGGGTGCCTTTTATCTTTTCTTAAGCGACCCCGCTGCTTTGACTGACTGTGCTGGAGGCGACAGGTAGGCAGGTCAGGCAGTGGTTGCAGGAGCCACCATGCTGTGAAGCTTGTTTGGCATCATGCGTACCGTGCTGCATCACTGCCCTCCCTGCTTGCGTCTTTGTCTGCAGTCCGTCATTTCCCCCAACAGTGACTCCCGTATCCCCCCCCTTTCCCCCCCCGTGTGTGGGTGTCAGGTGGCGAGCGACGCCGCCCCCTCAAACCGGCGGGTGGCGTTGGAGGCGGAGGGTAGGGTGGGTCATCTGGAGGGACTGGGAGCTGTGTGTGTTGGGGGGGTTGGCGCGAAGAGTGACTTTGATGTCGACTGCCCTATTGTTGGTGCCCAGGGAGGGTTCTTCAGTGGAGGCATCGTTGAAGGCCCTGGGATCTTTTGAGTTGGATGAAGTTGTGGTGGAGGCCCTTCTAAACATCCGTAACGAGCCAAAGTCGCTGCAGGGGACTCCATCGTTGAAGATCAGGAGCTTAGGGCCACTAAGCTCCGGTTTTGGCAGCGATGCAAACTGAGGTTTTCAGCTGAGGTTGGTAATTTCCCGTGTGAGCAGGGAGATCAAGCGCATGCTGTGCATCTTTCCCATCTGGAAGGTGAAGAGCCTTCAGCACCAGCCATCCGTCACGCAGAAGAAGCGGAAGGTGAGCGAGTTGCTCTTCACCAAGAAGGCCGAGGAAGACGAGCCGTCTCAGAGGCGTATCTGGATCGCCTGCTAACCCTGCTGGTAGCCCACGCGATGGTAGCAGGTGTGGATGCCACCCCGGCGGTGGCGGCCAAGGAGGAGCAGGTTTTGGGAGCAGACTCCACGCTGTTTGCCATGGTGCCCCTTGATGTCGCGCTCCAGTACTTCTACAGGCCAAGCGCGCTGCGGGAGCTGTGCCAGCCGGGAAGCGTTTGGCATGGCTGCAAGCGCGGGACATGGAAGCTGAGTGGACTTCCCTTCCCGTTTTTGTGAGGGCGCTTGAAGGAGGTTTTCTTGGTCAGGGATGCCCACTGGCTCACCCCGGTTGGAGTCGACCAGCCGTTGACGCCTGTGAAGACGTCGCAGCAGAAAGGAGAAAGGTGGGTCGCAGCCGGCGGGCCTCTCAGTTCAAGTTGGGCAAGCAGGCAAATGGAAAGCAGGTGGCTTGGGTTATGAAGGACGGCGCGCAGCTGTGCCCCGAGCCAAAGCACCATGCCCTGCCGGAGCACACCGGTGTGGGGCAATTGGCTCAATGTATTGATCCAAACTGGCTAGTTGAGTTTTCTCCCACCCGGCCCACCCTGAGTCGACGGCCTCCGGTAGACTGTCCCCCGACTTTTGAAGGGCACGTAGTGCCGATCGGGCTGCACAGAAGGGTTTCTGTGCAGCCGGGATTTTAAGCAGGAAGCGATCCTGCATGGCCATGCAGGGAATGACCCGCATGGCCCACCCCCAGAGCAGGTGTGAACCTGCTTGGTGGGTGGGTCTAGCCAACGCATTGCCCTGTGGGTGACGCAGGCTGGACGCCGTCAGGGAATGAACTCATGAAGCATGTTTCTGCGTCAACCATTTTAATTCCGGGTTTTGATTGTGACTCAGTTGTGCAGATGGCACAAAGTTTTGCTCTCATTTTGGTCTAGCCATCCCCTTACAATTCCTTTTTGAACACCAAACGGAACCAACTGCGTTTTGGGTGAGGTTTGGTCTGCTTAGCTTGGTGCACTTTGCTCTGGACAGGCCCCTAGAACCCCGTGAGGCTCTGGTTCCTGGACAGACCCCCCAGTGTGCACGCGGTGCGTGCTCTGCTGGCGGGCCTGGCACAGGAGAAAGGCGGGAAGGGGGGTTGCGGGCCTGCGGCGTATAGGTACTAAGACTCTTCTCCTAACCCCACAACCCCAATTAAATTACTCGGGCCCGCGTAGTACGTACTTTTTGCATGGTCCCGGTAACTCTGGTCATAGACCCTTCATTAGGATGTTGGACAACACTCAGAAGGCTGCTACGAGAACCATGATGACTGACATATGGAGTTTTGTCCATGGATGTTGGGTGTTTGTCAAGAAAGGGCACCACACAAATAGTGATTGTCCTTTAACCCAAATTCAGCGAAGAGGTGTAGCTCCAGTGCGATTCACATTTTTAACTTTTTTGTTGGAGAGGGCTTCTCTTTAAGATCAAGTGCCAACAGGTGGTGTGTTTCTCATGACACTGTCTCAACTTGTGCCCTTTAACGCACCCTTCAGAAAGTATCCCCTTTCAGACATGTTCGAACGTTGCCTTAGGGTTTGGGGTTCCCAAATTCCTGCTTTGGCTACAGCTTTCCTTTGGTGGGGTGATGTTTCAAGACGCAGGAGCCCTAAACCAGTTGTTTGGATGCTTTGTTGATCCATTTGGGGCACAAGGGGCAACTTCTGGAGACAACCCCCGGTCCTCTTGCAAGGGAGCTGGAAGCTTGGGAAGATCAGGCAGCTTCAAGTAAGGTGGGGATCCATCCACCTAGGAGAGTTCAAGCTTGAAGGGTGAAGGGCATATATATACATATATATATATATTCTTTGGGCAAGAGAGGGGGAAGAATAAGTACAGAGATGTTGAGATGGGTGGCGGTTGATTGATTGATGCACCTCATTTTGGAAGATGACCCCCAGACACAGAAACGAATGCCTTTGGCACATGGCCATGAGGTGTTGCCATCTTTCTCTTGGCCAACACCGAAGCCATAGCCGCACCTCCCCCACATGAGAAGAACGCATAGCTACATGGCATGGATTCGCATTCCACATGTCTGAATTTTCCCAGGATCCTAGGATCAGGTTGATCCTTCATGTAAGTTGATACTCAGAACATCATTGGGGGGTCAGGCTCCTTGGTGCAGAATCAGTGACCAAAGAGCACGCGCCACTGTAATTGTGTTAGATCTACATCAAGATTCCCATGGGCCCTTTTACGCCAAACTCAAGGCCCATAGAACATGAGGCAAGGTAGAGCAAAGCATATGAAGCGCCGTTTGCTGTTGGGTTGGACATCCTCCCGCACCAGCTGGGTAGGCGGTTTACTTTAGAAATCGAAGAGGTTCATCCATCCCTGGTGCGAAGTTGAGTTTGATCCACAACACCGACGGTACCACTTTGGAGGCAAATCTTTAAATGGTCTTTCTTCAGGGACCCCCGCCCCCCGAAATGGATCTCAGTGTTCCTTTGAGTTTCCACTTGAAACAACAGAAAAGGGGCACCCTCCTCAAAAAAGGACAGACCCAACATGGATTTCGGTTGTCTATTTGGTTTCCCTTTAAGACCACAAAAAGGCGGTTACCCTCCAACAGAAAGGGACAGACCCTACATGGATTTCAGTTTTCCTTTTGGTTTCCACTTGAAACAACAGAAAAGGGGCACCCTCCAACAAAAAGGATCCCTTCAAGACCACAAAAAGGCGGTTACCCTCCAAAAAAAAGGGACAGACCCTACATGGATTTCAGTGTGCCTTTTGGTTTCCACTTGAAACAAAGCAAAAAACAAACAAACAAACAACGCGCACCCTCCAAAAAAAGGGACAGACCCAAATCGATCCAAGCAGCGCTTCTTTTGCAAGGCTCCTTCAAACATACATTTTGCCCATTTGAAACATGGCTTTTTCCACCAAAATAAAGGGACACCACCATTTACAAGGCAATGTTCAGGTGTATACTCTTAGCTAAGGATCTCTGCTGTGGGTGTGACTTTTCTTTTTGAAGGGGGGTGCCCACAGTGTTCCTTTTTATTATTATTGTATTTGTTCTTTCCGTAAAAGAATGCCGACAAGGATCCCTAAGTTTCCCCCGGTAAGGATCCCTGTTTTGCTTCGAGGGCGCCTGGCGACGCTTTGGGCGTGCCTTTGCCTCTGGGCACCGCAGCCCCCCCCGGACGCGCTGCGCTCCAACTGGCCCGCCGAGAGTCCCCCGATCCACGTGCTGCTGCGGGCCATGCTCCATGACACGAAAGCCGAACACGGGGGGGATTGTGTGCGGGAAGGTGTGATTTGCTTTAGCTTGGTGTTTTGTACTTTTTTTTTGAGCATTGTGCCTTTTAAAACGAGCTGTTTCCTTCGGGTGTTTGATGGTTTCCTCAAAAGAAGGATCCCTGGAAGGAAGTAAGAAGCTGCCCGTGGAATTGTGTTTATTGATTTGCGTGCTTGTACTTCCCCAGGTAGCTGAAAGCTATACCAGTTCTTACTTCTGCAGTTTCGGGCCAGGTTGCAGGTTTCTGCTTTGGGTGCTGGTCAGGGTGCTGTTTTAGGGTGCTGTTTTGGGTGCTGCTCAGGGTGCTTTTGGGCGCACTCATGGTGCTGTGGTGGATTGCTTGGTCAGGGTGCCCTTTGATGTGCTCAAGGTGTGGCGGCAGTTGTTGGAGGTGCTTGTTTGGCGTTGCAGGTCGGGATGCTGTTGTAGTCTCCCACGCGAGTTGGGGTCTATGCCGTTTTTGTTTCTTCTTCTTTTTTTTTGGGGGAGGAGGGGAAGGGGGGGATATGAGGGTCACGGCCTCGCGAGCGCACGTGGTTTTCGGCTCGCAGGCGCACGTAAATTTGGTCTCGCCCGCGCATGTCGAGGGCTGGATTTCGTGGTAGGTGCGGTACTTTGGGCAAGTTACGGCAAGTTTTTCGTGGGTCTCGCCGGCGCATGTGATACCGCGCGTGTCCCCCAAAAAGGCAAAGCGCGTGAGCCTCGCACGCGCATGTAAGCAAAACCGCACTGATCCCATCCAAGGGATGCACGGGGCGGTTGCGTCTTGCACTCGGCCTCGTGCTTCTTCTTCATGTCGCTGGCTTTTCTGCGTGCTTTGCAAAGGAAGCGGCCACAGGGACGCTCTACGTGCGTAGTGTCGCGCGCGCTTGGAAGTGAGCGGCTAGAGGGACGCTCTTCCAAGGTCAACACGAGGCGACCGCACGTTCTTACCACACGAGTCGCGACACGCAGGTGTAGCGCAGCTCAAGCAAACGGAAGTCGCGTGCTCTGCCTGCCATGATGAGTGACCTCAACACGGCGGCTCCGATCACGTCCGAGGACATCGCGCGTATGCAGGAGCTTAGGCGCGCGGCAGAAATCGCGCAGTCGATCCTCGCGGAGGCTGTGAGCACGCCTGCGATATCAGGCGGCGCGTCGATTCATGTCGCCGCGGCCGCATTAGAGGCAGCAGCTCGCTACTTGCGAGAAGCCGCTGACCCGCATGCGTGGATGCAGGTGCGCTTCCTCTTTCGCGTGCATGGATGCAGTGCCGAGCGGGTGCTCTTGAGCGGGTGTGCTTACCATCCAAAACCCCCCCCCCCCCACCCTTCCCCCCCACCCCCCGCACCCGCATGCGTGGATGCAGGTGCGCTTCCTCTTGCGCGTGTGTGGATGCAGTGCCGAGCGGGTGGGTGCACTTGAGCGGGTGTGCTTACCATCCCCCCCCCCCCCCCGCATGCGTGGACGCAGTGCTGAGCGGGTGCGCTTGAGCAGGTGCGGTTTTTTTTTGCGTGCGTGGATGGGCGGGTGCACTTGAGCGGGTGTGCTTACCATCCCCCCCCCAGCCCCGCCCCCCCCCCGCATGCGTGGATGCAGCGCTGATGCGCTTGAGCAAGTGCGCTTCCGCTTTCGCGTGCGTGGATGCAGTGCTGAGCGGGTGCACTTGAGTGGGTGTGCTTACCATCCCCCCCCACCCCCCCCCCCCCCGCATGCGTGGCTCTTTCGCGTGTGTGGATGCAGTGCTGAGCGGGTGCACTTGAGCGGGTGTGCTTACCATCCCTCCCCCCGCCCCCCCCCCTCCCGCACGCAAGGAAGCCAGTCCTTCCTGGAGCTAGATTTCGTGGCAGGCGCACTATTTTGAGTGACTTGGAGCGCTCACGTGCTCCTGTGAGACCCAAGCCGCTGCGTGCTCCGACGCTTGAAAAGCTGCGCCCGCGCGCGCATGCTTGTGAAGCGACCTGCATGAGTGCAGTTGAAGCCAGGTCCCGCGTGGGTTTTGCAGCTGGATTTCGTAGCAGGCACGCTGTTTTGAGTGGGTTGGAGCGCTCACGTGCTCCTGTGAGACCCGAGCCGCTGCGTGCTCCGACGCTTGAAAAGCTGCGCCCGCGCGCTAAATTAGCACGCGCACGCTTCTGAAGCAGCCTGCGAGAGTGCAGATGCGGGGCTGGACTTCGTGGCAGGCGCAGTACTTTGAGCGACCACATGCTCCTGTGAGACCAGAAACGGCTGGTGTGTCCACGTGTGCCGGTGAGACCGAAACCACGTGCTCCTGTGAGGCCCCCACCGACATGAGGGACTAAAAGCGAACGATATCTTTTCATGATCGTGACTTAAGTTGGTTTCATAGTACCCCACAAAACCATGTTGACTGTTGGAGCACTTGCAGGCACAAGTGTCCTTTTAGGTCAGTTTGATTGACGATGACAGATGTCTGGTGCAGTTTTGATCACTTAGCAGTGCACAGACACGGGTACCTTGAAAGAGAGAAAGGAGGTATTCCGAATATTCCTAAAATCAGGTCGTATTCCTAAAGCAGAGAGTATTCCTACGTTTTTGGTTGCGAACAGCAGGACCCATAAAACTGGGATGCTATGTTCAAAACCTGGCATCATTTTTCCCAGGTATTCGCTAAGCCCCCCAAATCTTGAGTTTCTTTTGGCGTCCCTGGTTACGCCAAAAGGGGTCTCCATTCTTGGACAAACATGGAGAGGCGCCCTTTGCTGGGTAACAAGCACGGCTTGTCTCCAAAAGAACATCAGAATGAGGCCCGGTTCCCTTGCGGCTTTCCTTTCAACCGACCAGCCCAAAGGAGAAGAAACCTCACAGTTCGACCCCCCCCCCCGGTAAACTGATTTTGGTTGCTTCTCACGTTGATAAGTTGCCCCTGCTCATGACAGACCATGCTGCTCGGCTACAACCGGCATAAACGACCAGACGCCCTGAAATTTCACACCTATCCGTGGTTTGTTTCCGGGTTTGAGTGTGCGTGCGTGAATCACAGAGCCAGCGCCAAACTGTAACATCCCGAGGGTAGCTCGAAGCCACCACTTCCACATCTTGACTCGGCTTCCCGACTTTGAACTGAGCCGCCGTTCCCCAATCTGACTCCGGGAACTCGACGGTTCCGAACTGACGGGCCTTGCCAGTTCCCTGGAACCCAAAGGGGAGCTTCCAAGGAGATTCCGCGGTTTCTTGGCTTCGAATCCCATCAGCGACTTGACATGCCAAAAGGAGCTGAGATTCCACTGGGCATAGGCGGCGCTGCAGGTCAGTTGATTCACAACAGATGGCACTGGTTTCAATATGGTTCTCGTCATTCATCAGTGCCATCTATTTTTCTAGCACGCTCCCCAGCACTCTCGTGCTAAACGAAGTGCAGACAAGCGCTGAAGCTCCCCTGATGCGAGAAGATACGGACGGCGTTTGAGGCCCCGCCTCTTCAGCTTTTTGCTTTTTTCCTCTTTTGTTTCTCCTTTTTTTTCTTCTATAAAAAAGAAAAAACAACATTTTCCTTGGGCTCGTCTCGAAGCGTTGTTCGGGTCGCCTCAGGCTGGTGGCCTATTCGCAGCTCCCGGACTCCAAGCTGCTGTGCCGGACCTGCCTGCTGTCCGTGGCGGCCATCGCCACTGGGCAAGGGCAGATTGCGCAGGCCCAGCCGGCGCTGCTGCTGATGCGCCTTGGATGCCTCAAAGGGTCTGCCTTTTTTTGTTTGTGCCTGAGTCTGGAGTTGATTCCCGGAAAAAAAACAAAACCGGAATGCAAAGCCATTTTTCTGGTTGGAAATGCGGGAACGGGACCCCTGACGAGTCAAAAGCCTGCACCAAAGTCACCGCACTCGATTTCCGAGTGACTTACCCAAATTTCCACCAACATGGAACCCACCAGAGGGTCCTGCTAAAAGGACACTGGTCTTCCAGGACCTTCCTGTGAGGTTCCACGTTTGTGGATGGGAGGCTACATTCTTGACTGCCATTGGGTGGGATCTTTAGACTTCAACTTTTTGGGAAATCAAGTTGGGTTTTCCAGTAACCCCCCCCCCAAAAAAAAAAGAAGAAGGTGGAACACTTTTTGCAGGGGGGTCGTTTCAGCAACCAAGGCATTTTAATTCCGTTGATCTTAGGCTGCACAAGGAGGGCCCGGTGCTGCCGGCGGACGTGTGGATGCCCTTGGCGCCCTTGCTGGACCACCTGGCCTCGCCGCAGGATGGATCCGAGAGACAAATTGCGCGTCGTCGCCTGCTGAAAGGTGCGTAGGTTTGAGCCAGGGTTTGTGCCTATATATGGGAAGCGCGCCCCCGCCCCAAAAAAAAAAGAAAACAAGGAGACAAGCAATAGAAAATGGTGGGGTTTCCGAAAAACAAATGGCTTTTCCCAAATTGTAGTGGGTTTCCCTGAAAGAAATGGGTTTAGGAGTGAAACCGCAGGCTTTTGAAGCTTTGGATGTCAGTTTTGGATTAAAAGGGGTGGACACAAGGAGGGTTTGACAAACAGTGTTTCCAACCAGCAAAGTTGCAAATGCCCGAAGGCTTCACAGACCAGGGGGACATTGTCCCATTGTCTCATGTTCTTTTGGGGAAGCAGGTGGTAATTGAAAGCCAACTTAAGTCGTGATCATAGGAGCAACAAGTTGGTGATTTCTTCAGCCCCTCATATGTTGTCAGAGCTAGGGTGTGTGTTTTTGTTGAGAGTACCATGACATAAAGGGTTGTGTCAATAACAGCCAGGGACATGCTTGTGGCAGCTTGGTCCAAGTCCGTGGCTCACATGGGTATCACTCCCACAGCCATGTCCCAAGTGCAGGCTTTTGAAGCTATGCCAAACTCCCAAGCATAGGTGTCCTTTTTGGTTGTTTTGCTCGAAAAATAGCTGGGTTTCGAGTCCAGGTTTACCTGGTGGATTTTGCTCATCTACCAGGGAAACATCTATTTCCCCTCAAAGGACACCTATGCTCCCAAGCGAAAGGTCCACCCTGCCACCTTTGACGCCGCCAGGCGGCCGAGCTCGCACACCGCCTGCGGGCGGCGGCGGGCTTCGCGTCGGCGCCGCCGCGGGTAGGCGGGAGATCGATTCTTTCGGGTGGGTGGGAGGGTGGGGGGGTGGGTAGAAGATTTGGCTTCAGCATCTGGCTCAATCTTGGGTGAAATCTTACGGATTTGCCTTTGAATAGAATCAGCAAAGGCAAGATTTCAATCCTAGGTTCAGTACTGATTTTTGCCCGGCCTTTTCTGGATTGCGCCATTTGCAGAAGATGACGATGCCACAAGTTGAGTGAGGCCTTCAATTGGGTTTCACGATACTTTTACTTGGTTTTACTTGGTGTTCATGGTGGTGGACATCTGCGGGTTGGGATTGACGCTTTCGGAGGGGAACTAAAGTGCTAAGCTGGTCATGGCAATGGGAATCCCACTGGTCTCACGAAAAAGGTTGTGGAACAGACTTTTGAGGTGTCGAGGTATACTCGAAGGGTGGGTTAAACTGCGGACCCGGGGAACGACTTCCATAGCCTCCGAACCATTTCCGAAACAGTTCTATTTGGCAGCACCGAACCCTGAAACCCAATGCCCTAAAGACACTGGGGGCAAAATGTGGGTTGCGCGCCAGAGAAGTTGGGGCTGCGGGCAAATGAAACGACCACCTCGCGAACTTGTTTCGCACCCTTGTTTTGAGTCAGATTTCTGAATCTCACTCAAGTGTCGTGACTCAACAGCTTCACAACCAATGCCAGACATAGATTTTCATAGTTGGATGCCCTGGGTGATGCTGCAAGGCAACAGCCGCTCGAGTGTCTTGGTTCCATGGCAACGTAGAGCGTTACTTGGACAAGGCTACAGCTGTGTGTTTGTGGTTTTCGAGTTTTCATTGTTTGGGCAGTTTAAAGGAAAGCCAAAGACCAAAGGGACACCACTATTTTTCATCTAGAAGGCTTCTTCATTTGGAGACAAACTCGATTGGAGTCGTCTGGTTTTGGAGTCCTCAATGTGTGGTTCCTGTTTCGAACCATGTCCAAGCGACCTTTGCTCTTCGGTTCGCGCATTCAATTTGATAGGGACATTACAGGGATTCACAGATGTCCCGGAAGCAGAATATGAGAGAGACCGATTTTGATTGTCTGCCGTTTCGGGTACCTATGTTGGCCGGTGAGGCAGTGCGACGGGCCCCTTCTGCCCCCTGTGCTTCAGGCCAGCCGCCGATGTATGCCGCGGCACCCCAGGAATTTCACTCGCATCAACCGCCACACCAGATGGCCTTTGCGCATCAGATGCCACAGATGCCACAGATGCCGCAAGCGCCACAGCTGCCACAAGCCTCGCAGCTGCCACCAGCGCCGTCTTCAACGGCTTTCTTGCCACTGCCCGCGGAAAGCTCGCTGGTGGTGGTCAATGATCATCCAAAGGTGGGCCTGCAGAACACCAATAACACTTGCTACATGAACAGCTTCTCAGTTGCAATGTGTGATCTTTGCAACCTTTTGGAAAAGTACAATTCCCCCCCCCACTCGGTAGCAAGGAACACAACTAAGTTGTTGTAAAGGAATTTCCCACACTAAGCAGCAAACACAGTGCAATGGGTCAGTTCGACGAACCCAGGCTTTATTCAAGCGCTCTTCCTGACGGATGCCTTCATTTGGCGGATTTTCAGCTTCCAACTCCAGCTGAAGCCAAACGCGTCCAAGATTGACAAGGAGGAGCGCTTTGTGAATGTCTGATTACCTCCCACCAAAAGTCATGGGAAGTGCGCACACCCTCCAAGGCTGCTTTCCCTTGGAGGCCTATTCGAAGAATACGAACACACGCGCCCATTTGGTGGCAGGGTGATTTCTGAATGAATCCGGACGCTTAAAACCCAGCTGCGTTCAAAACTCCTGGAACAAAGGAATCCAACCACAGGCACCCTTGAGCAAAGATATTGATTTGTAGGAATCCGGAGTCAACCTTGAGGTGGATTGCATTGCCAGTTTTTCTCCAACGCCTCCAACGCCTAACAGGAAAGACGCCGTCATTTGCCTGGATGTAAAAAACTGGGTTTTGGGACCCGTTTCAAGCCATAAAGCAGTCATAGGGATGCCCCTCCTTGGAAAGCTTGAGTTTGCGCAATCATGAACACGGGCCTGCGCACCATGTTTCTGGCACATCGAATCCCGACTTGCGCTTGCATGGCAAGCGACCTGTTTGGGTCGCTTGGATGGAGGGACAGGTTGCCAAGATTTGAACCTTCCCACCACAACCCCGCGGCAAATTGAGACTTTTTGTTCTCCTACATCCCCCTTGCAACAAATTCAGGTCATACCTTCCGATTGGGCAGGGATTCCCGCAAGCTATCACCTGAGACAGCCAACCTGGTCAGCTTTTGTGGCTTGACGCCCAGCCTCGTTGCCGTCATGTACAAGCACTGTTGGGCTTTCAATTAGACACGTTCCTAGATTTGGGTCCCTTCAAGTGAACATGTGAGGCGTTCTCCAAAAAAATATGGGGGGTGGTTTCACTTCTAAGCCGGTCAAATTGAGGATGTGTCTTGAGTGGACCCGGTAGCTTCGTGGGGCTTCGAATTTCGAGGACTTTGAGTTCGGCAAGAAGGTGGTGGACCTGCTGCAGCACCAGTTTGCCAAAATGGCCCTCACCAAGCACAAGCACACCGACGCCTTGGTATGTTGAAATTCATTTGGGGACCCCCAGAAAATAGGCATCTTCTATTTGCAAAAAATCACGCATATCTTCTATAATAGCGTCACGGAATACATGGATTTGGGGGTGGTTTCAAAGCGAGGCCAAGGAGAAACCATCGACGTTGGGTGGGGACAAGAACGAAGAATAAGGTTCCCTTGCATAAACCAACGATGGCAGGGAATGAACATGGAACCTCAAAAAACCCGTTTTTTGTGGAGGCGCCCGGAGGAACCTCCTTGTTGGGTTCTATGCCTATTTGGGGGTATCTTTTCTTCTTTTCGGGACCCTCCAAAATGGTGGTTTTGGTTTCCCTTTCAAACCCACCAAGCAAAAAAGGGCATCCTCGAAAGTTTGCGCGGGAGTGCCTGCAATGACAATCTTGGGGAATGGAGACAAACTCAGCGGGAGCTGTTTCTCTGGCAGACCCCTCGGAAAAAGGCTGGGGAAGGGAGCAACAACCCAGTTGCCACTTTGACATGTCCTTTTTGTGGGGCGATAAGGGTGTCATAATGTTGATGGACCAAATCTTACACCACCTAAAAAACCCTGGGGTGATGCTTCCCCTATAAGTACCAAAAAACAATGGTTTGCTATGGTTCAATCTGGTGCAGGATTTCGTCCACGCACAGTATGAGGACCTAAAGTGGCAGCGAACCATTGGAGTCCGCCATTGAGCTGATAAGCGTTTGATTTGTGGGAATTCACTTGAGATGCCGAGCGGCTCGTGGATGTCCTGCAGAGTAGGGTTCCTTCCCCGGAAGATGGACATGATGCGCTAAGGTATGGGGAACACTTGTGCTTGCTTATTCGCACTTTTGCGCGGAGTCAACCTGCGGAGAATCTTGGGGGGGAGGGGGGTTAGCAAACTGGCACACTTTGTCCAAAAGGCAAACTGTCAAAGCTGCGTTCCTTCTTTGGCCCGTTTGACCAGACGCCTGCATAAAGCTTGGGTGCAGGAGTCCAAGTTTGCGGGCTCCGGAGGCCCAAAGGCAATGAACATTTGACCGCTTTTGGGGGTTTAGGTTAAAACTAAATGGCCCCTCTCTGGAGGGACGCCCGGACCTGTTGGCCAATTTAGTAGGTTCTGCCTGGTTTCGTCAAGGTTGTTGCGTGTGGCCTGTAGAATCGTTTCGAACTCTGCTGGTAGAACCTCAACGTCGGGAAAAAAAACCTGCCAGCGTCTCGAGGACATTTGGGACATCCTGCAGGCCTTCCCTGACGCTTACCGATCCGGGGAGCAGCAGGATGTCACGGAGACCATCCGCTTCGTCTTCGACAAGCGGCCTCGATGAATCGGTCGGTTGCAATGGAGGGAAACTCGAACAGCCGCTGCAGGCCTGGGTGGCTAGGCACCATCTACATAATGTTGACCCCGGATTAATAAACCCCTGGTTGATTTTGATTGGGGGGTGTCCCCTTTTAGTGGGGATTCAGACCACTTTTGGAGGGAACACCCCCCTAATAATGGGACGGGTTTATTAATCCTGGGTGAACATTAAATCCCTTTTGGTTTGGTGGGGTGAAACCCTCACTAACAGTGCGACACCACAAGTACAGGGCTCTCTTGTCCCACCGAACAGGGCACTGAGCAACCGGGCTTGACCGGAATTTTCAGGTAGGGAGGCCCACTTTTTCGTATCCTGTTGGCCTGCAAGCTTGGATCATCGACATGCCGAAAGGAGGCGGCCCCCCACTCCAGGAAGGTTCCTAGACGGATTTTGAGAACCATTCTGGTGGGCAGAAGGGTGTTCTGATGTCGGAACTCCTGACATTAGGGCCGCACACGGCTTTGAATTATGCCAGCAGTGCGCAGCGTAGTGTTCACCTCTGATTAAGCCCGATGCGAAGCGCAAAGAATTAGACAGGTCAACATCATGAGTTCTGTTTGCGTTTGCCTCAAAATGCGGACCCCCCTTTTTACCTTTGAATGCGTTTCAAAACAGCCAAAGCAAAAGCCCGTCCCCCCAGCGCCATGTCCATTATCCCTTTGGAAGGTTTAAGCACAGCGGTTTCATGGCCAGTTGAAAGGACTTCCCCTTGAATTGTGCAATCCTTGGGAAATGTGATGCCCCTGGCCTCAAATTCAAGACGGGGCTGCCAAAATCTTGGAACATGCGATGACGCTTGTAGCCTCAAATGCCAAAATAGGGATCCCTTTTCGGATGTGGCTTGCCAAAACACGCCAACCGGAACCATTTGATTTGGAGCCAACGGAAGCCACCCGGAACCAATTTTTACCCTCAAAATTCTGTTGCAGAGCCGCGGGCGAGGCTGGGCGGCAGCGACCAGCCGCTGATACGAGAAGTCTTTGCAGGGAATCTGCAGGAGAAGCTCCAGTGTAAGGCTGCGCAGCGAGTGGACAGACGAAATTGCTGTGTGTGTATGTGTGTGTGTGTGTGTGTGTGTGTTTGCTTGTCTATGTGTTTGCGTCTCTCTCTCTCTCTCTCTCTCTCTCTGTGTTTTGGAGGGTACACTTTTAGAGGTTGATTTACAGGGAAACCAAAAGGAACACCAACATTGGTTGGGTATCCCCAATTTTGACAGATACCCAAAGGTCAAAATGAGCGTGTTCAACGTGGTGAACCCCTTTTTGGTTCATCTCCAATGGGAAACCAGAAGGAAACCGGTTCTCAAACCCCAAATGGTATGTCACCCTTTGGCTTTTCTTGAACCGCTCTCAACCGGGTGTGGTCCCTTTTTTGGCGGCTAAGTTTTGGGGCTGACTTGTGTGATGTTTAAAGGGGAAGTACTGAAAACCTAAGGCCCGGTACCCGGTGCCCTGTTCGGCCGGTTGTTTTGGAGCGCCGGCAAAGGGACACCGGGCCGTCTGTGGGTTCCAAGTTCCCGGATAATTTTTATGGCATGATCTTGGCTGCTATTGGGTTGGATCTTTAGACTTGAACTTTCGGGGAAATAAAGGTGTTTTCTACCAACCCCCCCCCAAAAAGTGGGAAACTTTTTTCAGGGGGGTCGTTACAGCAACCAAGCGATTTGCTCGACGAAAAAGCTCAAGCTTGTGTTGCAGGCAGTCTAGACAGGAGAAAGCTGCTCACCCGATCGAAACCCCCAAGCCGTTTTTCCAGAACCTTTGCTTGGCAGGGGGCCTTTGGGCCTTTGCTTTCCCCCTGTTCCGGCAGGGGGACAGTTTTTGGTTTCTGGAGCGACTTTTTGCAGCGACTTTGCCAGGTGTGTGGCACTGTGAAAGAGCGTGAGGAAACCTTCATGGTGCCTCAGCGGGGAGAAGACGTTGCGGCTGCGTGTTGGTCGCCTGCGCAAGGGAACCCCTTAGTTGTCATGATGTTGATCTCTGCTTGAATAAAAAACTGCCTGCTTTGTGCTGCATGACAGGGTCACATGTTCTCTGAAACAGCTTTTGAGTCCAAGTCTGCCTGATGTGGTGATTGGATGTATTTGGAGGGCTGTGCTTTTCATTTTTTGGCTCACGGAAAGGGGCTTTAGTGTCATGAGTTTCTTTCCCGCAGGTCCTAATGTCATTTTGTGTCGTTTTTTGGGTCATTGGCCTTTGTCGTTTTTTGTCATTCTGTTTGGCGTTACGGGCAATTGTTTTAGAGCCTAGGAGAGCATGCAGGTTTCTAGAAAGGTTCTTCCCCCTTTCTAGGGTCTGAAAGTCTGCAGGGATGAGCGGGGGGTGAAACGGTTGAAAAACCAAAGGTTATGCGCCTGTTCAATTAAGGTTTCGTTTGCTGTTGTTTCCCCCAAAAGCATTGGAAAGAGCTGGAGAGGACGCGAGTAGAGTCGGCGTAGAGATATTATTTCGCAGTTTGAAGCTACGCAAAACCACAAGCAAAACGACAAAGCATGCAATAAGCGTGAGAGCCTCCCAGACAAGGACGAGAACTACAAAAATGACAAAACTGACAAACAAAAGGCAAGTCTCCCAGACAAGGACAACAAAAATGACAAACACATGACAAACAAATGACAAACAAATGACAAACAAATGACAAACAAATGACAAACAAACAAATGACAAACAAATGACAAATAATGACAAAATCCATGCAGAAACACATTTTCAAGCCCCCGGCTCCTTTCCAGTCCGTTCCCCCCCCCGATCTCCCCCAGTCCCCCCTCGGTCTCCCCCGGCCGCCCCCACCGCGCAGTTCCCCCCCTCAACGTGTGGAAAAAAACCTTGGTGGCTACGATGCTCAGCTCAGCTGCTCAGGCCGGAGACGTTGATCTTTCCCTGGCGCCGACTCTTGCCTAGAGATTCTTCCTTTGGCCGAAAGGACTCAAAGAACTCAAAGCGCGGGCGTGGTCACTTTGACACACTTCGAAACGTGGCAAACAGCATCGAAGAAAAGCGCCTTGTGGACCATGACGCAGTGCAAAACGGTGGCGACTGCCATTCGTTTTTGGAGCGTGATGCGCGCGCAGCTACAGAGTAAAGCACCCACCCCGTGTACACCCAGTAGAAAACAATTGCAAACAAGCAACAAGCGCCAATGAGACAATGTTGGCACAGAGAAAACGGCAAAACAACGACAAACACGACAAACACGACAAAATCGACAAACCCAAATGACACAAAAACGACAACAAACACAGCAACCATTTCAGGATTTTCAGCTTTTTTTTTGCAGGGCAAAGTAAGTCATAACTTTAGTGACTTCTGCTCGCTTTGTGGATTATTTTTCAAGTTGGCTTTTTTGGCGGCGTCTATGGCTTTCGTGGTTTGTGTGGTCTTTGTCTTTGTATTATGGAGTTCTTAAGAGGGGGGGGGGGTGTAAGGGGGGGGGTAATTTGAAAGCCCCAAGGCTCCCTAGCACTTCCTAGAGCTCCTTAGCAAACCCTAGCGCTCCCTCCCCAAGGAGCCCTAAAGGCCCCTAAAAAATTCTTAGCCTCCCTTAAGCTCCCCAGCCTTCCAAGATTTAAGGTCGTTGGCCCCAGGGCTTTTCGGAACCCCTCAAAGTGAGTTCCCCAAAGTGAGCCCCAAGTACAGGGTTCACCGGGGTTTTTTGGAACACCTCAAAACCCTATTCCCTAAGCTTCCCTAAGGCTCCCCCTTCCCTAGGCTTCCCTAAGCTTCCCTAAGCTTCCCTAAGCTTCCCTAAGCTTCCCTAAGCTTCCGTAAGGCCCCCTACACCTCCCTAGTTTGCGTGCGCGTTCGTGTTAGTGTGTGTGTGTGTGTGACTCTGTGTGTGTTTGTGTTTGTGTGTGCGTTTGAGTGTTTGGCGAAGAGCTTTGGGTGGGCAAGCGGCTAAGCCGGATGAGGGCTGAGCCGGATTCAGTATTTGAACCCTAGGCCTCCCTAGGGCTCCCTAGTCCACGCCATTTACTCAAATTTACCCCCCCCCCCCCCCTTACACCCCCCCCCTCTTAAGAACTCCATAATTGTATTCTTTGCGGCTTTGGTCTTGAGAAAATAAGCCCAGGTTCCATCCACAGCAGCCAACCCCAGAAGCACTCGGAAACCCTTCGGAACCCCATGCAACAAGCGCTCCATGCCCTGGAACCAAGCCCCGCAAGTCTCCTGGCACCCCCGGAGCATGTCGCTTTGCCATCGAGTCGTTCTACCCGCGAACTCTCCAGAACCCTCCGGAACTCTCCGGAACCCATCGAGAACCCTCAGAATCGGAGCCTCAAGCCCTCCGGAGCCTTCCCTCGTTTCTCCGGACTCCGGGGCTTTGGGCGGAGACCCATAGAACTCTGCTCGGAAAAAAAAAACACCAAAAAAAAACAAAAAACCGCTGGTTTCTTGGGAGCTGGGCAAAACCTCCCCGGGTTTGCCCCAAGGACCTGGTGCTCTCCGTGCCCACGGAGCAGCAGGCGGGCTCCTTTGACCCTGAAGGGAATGGTTGTGAAGCTCAATGGCGCAACTCAGAAGTGGGCGTGGCTCAAAATTCAGCGATCGGAGGGGCAAACCGCAGGTCTTGGTACCCATGCTTCCACTTGCCAGGGCAAGCCATTTTGGGATTCCGGGTTTTGTGAGCCACAGCCAAGTGATTGGCGGACTTGAAGTGCATGTTGATGTCCCAAGTCATTTTTCTCCACCAACAAAGGTCCTCTTGCAACTCATGCCAAAATCCAGGCAAATGACATGGAGGGTAATTCTGCCGCCTCTTTCCAGAAATCCCAACAAAGGCATGAAACGTTCGAAAGCTCCTGGGCCTGCTGGGTGTTTTGTGCACATCCCTCGATTTTATGGCGAGCTCACCATGATGTAGGTTCTTTCGGGGATCCAATTCACATTTCAGGTTTGAACTATTGTATCATTTGCACACATGTGTGTATATATAAATATATGTACATATGGAATATATATGTATATATATATATATATGTATGTATGAACACCAAGGTGAGTTGGGTCGGCGTGGCGGGCTTGTGGATTTGGCATTGGAGTTCCTGTCACATGCAAAACATCTCTGAAGTCATGTCCCCCGCGGCCCCGCGGTCAGCTTCTCTTGGCAGGTGACGGCCAGCGGTGTGGTGCCCACTACGCAGATGTTGCTGAACGAGCGCCTGAAATTCGAGGAGCCATTCGGATGGCTTGGTATGCGGCCGTTTGGGGCGGGGGGCCAGAAGACGTACTCTATAAAAGGGGGGCTATGTTGGAGTCTGGGGAGTAGCCTTTTGAGCCTTTTGTGGGAAACAACCAACCAAACTAGGTACACGGCGTGTAGACGGCCGTGGTGGTTTCAAGGGATTTTTCATTGGGCATGCATGCAGCGTGCGTCGGCGTTACAGTGTGGTTCGCAGCACGCACTGCTTTCTCTTGCGCAACGCACGTTTTTGAAGTCCAACATTTTGCGCCAAACTACTTTCTACAACAGCTTTTCCAGCTCATATTGGAATCGGACTGCTGACATCTGCGGCATCTGAATACGAAAGCACCTCTGTCGGCATTGGAGTCGCGGGGAATTGGCGCAGACCCAGCAAACGTCTAGACAAAACAAAGGCAGAAGCAGTCAAAGCAGGGGCAAGGCAGACGCCAACCGTGCAAACGTACCGAGACCAGGCGGACGCAAGCGAAGGAAGATGTTCAGTCAAAGAAGTGAAGCAAATCGGACCACGGTGGGAATGAATGGAGGCAAGAAGTACGAATTCAAGCACCACGCGAAATTGTGCAGAAAACTCAAGATGATGGTCCAAATACCACAGACAAGCAGACCAAATCCGCAAGAGAACCTCAGACCGGTTTGCGGGTGGAACGCAAGCCAAACGCAAAAGCAGAACAAACGCAAGAGACAAAGACACTACAAAAGCATACGCATCCACGGCGATCACATTGAGCCGAAACAATGGAATGTCCTGCCTAAAAAAAGTATTGACATCAGTGTCCTACCCCCCCCCCCACACACCCAGCATGACATTTACGTTTGCAATGCGCCGAAGCAAGAAACGACCCGACTCGGCAGCCACCGCAAAACAAGCCAGGGTGTTCCAAAAACTTGCGCAAAAAAAACAGCTCAACAGCCGAACCTTGACCTCAATCCCCCCCCACCCCACCTCATAAGCCACGCAAACAGCAGCTAAATTAGACAAAATGTTCCACACCAACACAAAAAGACGCGCGGGCCAAAAGACAAAACAATGCAAAGCAAACATAAAATAAATAAGGAGCTCAAAACACCACGGCCGTCTACACGCCGTGCACCAACTACCTGGTCGAAACAAAACAGCAGACCCACCTTTTCACCCCTTCTGAAAAAAAAAACCAAATGTACTTTGAACCCCTTTTGGAATAAACGGCCCAGCTAATCTTGGAACGACCGAATGGACCTGTTAAACGGACCCCCTATTGAAAAATCCCGGCTCAGTTATCAACCCCTTTCTTTAAGAAACAAATCTTCAAACCTCTTACCAGCAAAAAGGAGACCAAACTAGCCTTTCAACTTTCAACCACGATAAGCAACAGCATGTTTTCCCCGCGAACCAGCAACAACGCAAGCCGAAAACCCACGAAGGTTCCGGTTGGTGCAGGGTTCCAATTCACCCATTCGTCTAGGGGTTGATTCCCCATTCTTTGCTCTTCAACCATCGTTCTTTTCTGAATAGAAGGATCCCTGGAAAGAATGGTGGCAAGTGAGCCCTGTCCTTCAGCTGAGGCTCGATGACGACTGCTTGGTGACCTGTGAGAGGTGCCAGGAGAAGAGAAAGATGGGGAAGTGGTGTGAGATTGTATCTCCGCCCGCCCATTTGTGTATATGTCTCTTGCCAGCATATTTTTCTGGACCCTGTGCCTGGTGACGGCTTGCCACTTGGGGAAGACCCTAAATTGGTTGGGGGTGGACACAGACCTGCCCAGAGAATGTCCACCAAATTGAAATTCCTGCCAGTTGGGGAAGACCCTAGATTAGGGTTGGTGGACACAGACCTGCCCAGAGAATGTCCACCAAAAAATCCCCACTTGAAATTCCATAAGTTGCTTCTTGCCGCGATGGTTACGGCGTGCGCCATGCTTAGTGACAGCCCTGAAAAAGCTGCCGAGCTGACTGCCCAGGGCAACTGGCAACCCCGAATGCCAATCTCCACAAGCCCAGACTTATCCTCCGAGCGCTGTGCAAAAGGAGAGCAGTCCAAGAAAGGTCTGTGTACTTCTATGTTTCTTGTTTGTGGAAGGGTAACCAATCCTTTCAGATTCCTTGGTCTCCGCATTTGCATCAATTGCCCGTTTTAAACATGTTTTGGGCCATGTTAGTGGTGGTTTGATCTGACTTTCTCCACTTTGCGACTGGTGCCGTGAATTCACATCAGGTCTGAATCGCTTCACCTTCAACATGGAGAAAATGGATTTCACCAAGGAGAAGACACCCATCAAGGTGGATGAGGGCCTTCGAATAGGCCGAAAGAGGGACTGTCGGAGGGACAAGAAGGGATGATGGCCGACTTTGCCGCACTTTCAGACCAACCTTGTGCACTTGTTGCGCTGGCTTGCGCCAGAGTGCTTTTGAGACAGGGGTGAAGGGACACCAAAGGAGAACCCCGCCCCCATTGCGAGGTGCTTACGAGTATGAGCTGTACCACGTCATCCTACACACTGGCAAGGATGCGTCCAGTGGGCACTATTATGCCATCGGCAGGCGCTCGGAGCCAGTGCCCAGTGGTGACAACAATTGGCATCTCGGATGAAATCCCACCTGAAAAATGGAGGGAGGAATTCCGTGTAGAGCTCGTTTTTCACTTTTGTGGGGAACTGGACAAACGGAATTGGGAGCTCACAGTAGACAAAGCGCGATTGCCAGACTTCCTGCAGAGTGCGCCGAAGCGACGTGCTGAGCGCAGCGTTTCGAGGGCGCCCTTCCGCTGTTTCCGGGTGGTTTGAGGCTGTAATGTGCCTGAAAGGTAGGACAACTCAGCATGGAAACCAGCGGATTTTCCGCACCCCCTTTGGGCTTCAAGCAAAATGACCAGCCTCGGGAATTTCCTTGCCACGGGTGTAGCATAGCCGTTTGGGCTTTTCAAGGGGCTGGGATTAGGGTTCGGCATTTCTGGTTGAGAAACAGAGCCTGGCCTCCTTATGGACTCTAACACGTTTTGTCTACGTAATTCTAGTATCAACTTGTGAGGCTCGGTCACCATTTCCAGTAGCTTATGGTGCATGTGAGAGGGACAGGACTCACTATGAGGGAACATGACATAAACGTCCCATGTCTTGGCGAAAGAAGTATCGGGGCTCATCTGGGTAGTGTCAAAATCGCACCCCCCAACTTGGATTTGTTTTTTCCGGTTTTCTCTTTTGGTTTCCCTTTAAAAGAAGCCGCCTCCAGGGAGCTTTTCGGGGCGGAAGGCACAAATCCGCGCCGAGAGTCAGCTCAGGTACACCATGGACGACTCCCAGCTGAAGCCCGCAGACCTCGGCCTGCTGGCGGGCCGCCCCAGCGAGAAGCTCAAGGACGACAACCCGTGCGACATCCCCCCGCCGAATTTTTAGCCGCCGCTGCGGTCCCTTCGAAGTCGGCCCAGGTGGTTTTGATTCGCGGGGGCGGTGTTTGGCCCCTGTATTTTTTTTTTCCGGCTCTTTCGGAGGTCGGCGCTTTGGAAAACGGTGCTCCCAAAAGCGGCTCTGAAAGGCACCCTTTTGAGGTTTGAAGGGAGTTTTCAGATGAAAGGAATCCTTTGGGGGTTGCTTGAAGGGAGTTTCCCGCACCAGCGACAGCCACACAAGGGCGAAAGTAGCTGGCACAATTCCCCGACCACGAAAGTATACCAACGTGACATTGCCCAACTATACGGGGTCGGTCAAAAGGCAATGCTGGGTTCGCCTCTGAAAGTGGTTGATTTGTGCAGTGTGCTTGAGCTGGTGTGTTGATGCATTTTGTCGCGGGGGATTTTTTTGAAGTCCATTCCACAGGTTTGTGTTTAAACGGTTCCTTTGAGCACAGTATTTTGAGACATGCCCAAAGGGAGGACCCCTGAAAATGAATGGTCTCCTTTCCAGAGTTCAGCATACTTGACAAATGTATTTTTGTGTAGAGGGTGTATCAATTAGAGTTCGTTGGTTTCTCACAGTGTCACGTCACATGCCCATTTGGTGTTGGTAGCCTCATTCCAGGAGGGTGGTGTCAAACATTGCCTTGTGCTGTTGTAAGTGAGTTTCCTTTTGGTGGGGACGCAAGGAAACATGTGGGTGTGCATTTTGTTTTGGCCCCCCCCAAAAAAAAAGAAAGAAAAAGAGAGGTGGTTTCCCTGTTGGTTTCCCTGTTAATTTCCATGTTGGACCCCCCCTCCCCTCCCCCTAAGTGAGTTTCCCAGTTGGTTTCTCTTTAGAACCCAAAAAGCGGGTTCCCCCAAATAAAAGACACGCGCATGCGTCGTGGCGCCCGGCTCTTGTGTAGGTACGTCCTCTTCTTCCGTTGCAAGCAGGCGCCGAGGACACCGGAGTTCAGAGTGCCCAAGAGCATGAAGGACTTCGTGAAGAAGGAGGGGGGGAGCAGTGTGTGAGGGTACCCAGGTACCATGGTTTTGGTTGGTTCAATCGGGAACCTGGGCCCCTTTGACTCGCCATTTCTGCCGGCTGACTTCCTCGAGGCGTGGAAAATGACTTCCCCAAGCGAAAGCGGATGGGATGATGGAAGCCCAGGGTCCCATTTCAGGGATCCGGGTCACTGCGGGGTAAACGGCCCCTAGTGCAACAAGTCGAGTCATCCGGGGTCGACAGTGTCCCAGTAGTTCAGACGGTTCCCTCTTTGCTTGGTGGATCACCAGGGCTTGGGGCCTTGGGCCTTGGGGCTTTGGACAGCTTCGACAGGAGGACAAGAAGCAAGATTGAAGCCGCCCGGGCCGGCCCGGCTCACCGCCCATCGCCACTGACCGGAGTAACGGATGGCTTGGGCTGCTGGACCGTCTGAGCGCGAAACCGTTTCACACGGCAATTCCCGTGCCAAGCACGGGCTTTTTCGATTTGCAGGCTTACCAGGCCATGCCGTTAAGAGCGCCTGGCTGCCCGCTCCACCTGGGAAAAACAAGCAAGAGGCAGGGATATGTGCCAAAATGGGAACCACCCAAATGGGGTGGTTGTCTTCTTGATTTTTCTTTCGAACCAACCTCAAAAGCTTACCCTGAAAGAAGCACACACCCACAATACAAAAGCAACAACAAGCAGGCGGCCACAGGTTGTTGCCCCAAACCGATGGAAGACTTTTGCCTCCTGATGTTGACCCCAGATCGTGCCAGGCAAGTGGACAGAGCGGCTCTCGGATAGATTCCTCCGCGCGTGGTCGCAGTGCCGCGTGGGAGATGAGAAAAGTGGCGGGGGCTGAGCAGAGCCGTCAGTGTGGGCATGTGGGTGTGGCTCAAAATTAAACAGGAGGGGTTACACAGGTTTCGGTCCCTGTTTCCACTTACCAGGTTTTTTGAGCCACAGCCATGTGTCATAGGTATCTTTACCTGAAGAGATTCAACCCCAAAAGCTGTGAGGGTGGAACTACAAACAATGGGGCTGCATTCCCATTTGACCAAGTGGCCCTTGTGTTAGCTGCGATGTGATTTCACAACATACTGTACCATTCGCCTCAGGTCAATCAACCGCCATCCCATCCGTTTTTGGTGCCTTAAACGTTCGTTTGCGATGGAGTTCTTTCCCATGAGACAAATTCCCGCGACGCATTTTTGTGCTTTGCAGGTGACCACCACATGTGCAGATACTGATGATACTGTGGATGAACGAAATCCAATTCGCACCAGCTAAGCAACCCTTGAATGATGGGTTGCCCTGTAAATACCGACAAACGATGGCTTCCCATGGTCCCAACGTGGTGCGAAATGGATTTCGTCCATCCACAGTCTGGTTGCACAGTTGCCGTGCGCCTCTCGTATGTCGTGCGCCTCTCGCTCGCCTTTTGATGGCTCAAAGGCACGACCCGATACCGAACCCACGCCAGCGAGGCTCGTCCTGGGCCCAGAAGCCAGGGCAAGGCAAGGTGAGGCCGAGTGAGCTGACCAAATGTGCAGCGCCGAACACCCACACGGACCAGTTTTGATGGCTCTACTACAGTACCTGGTGAATGAAGCTTATACTAACGGCTGTATGTGTATATTTATATATATATATATATGTATTATAAACCTTTGGAGGGTAGAACCAAGCCCCCATAGGTTTAGGGCGCAGCTCAAATTCAAGGGCCGCCCTGTGCCACCTCTCCTTAGTGCTAAGCATCACGCAATTTTCTCAAGCAAGCCTCGATACCACTGTTGGAATCCTAGATTACATGATTTTAATCATCAAACCCACATTTTGGCTCTAGATTGCTTCAAATTCTAGCCTCCTGCCAAAATATCGGCCAACTTCTGCCCAGCCTTTTATAGTGGAATTTAACAGTGGCATGGAGGGCCGTTCTTCTAACAGGTGTGGGTCAGATTAGTCTACAGAGCAGCACAACATCTACTTTAGTCAACTGAAAATAATGGTGATGAATATTTTGTCAAGCCTCCCCCAGGGTGGACTCAAGCCCCAGATATCCAAAAACCCACTTCCCCAATGGACTAAAGCAGTGCAGACACCGCGTAACCAGATTCTGTGTACGCTAAAACTGAATAAAGCTATGACAAGCGGCGTCAAGCTGAAAAGCGAAAGACTAAAGCTAAATAAAGATGAAGAGGCACCATCCAAGAAACACAGAGCCTGTCCCAGATGGTAGGTGTGGAGGAGTTTGGGCTATTTGTGCGTGTTCTACATGTTCCCGCTTCCCAGAAGCCTTCCCTTTTGGGAAGAAGGGGTCGGCGGAAAGTTGGCTGGCCTTTTCACTGGAAACGCCAATACCCATGCCGCTTGGGAAGCAGGGCATATTGTCCGCCCATCAAGCTGCCATACGCTGGATTCCCCCAAACAATTGTCAGCGAACCAACCGCATGTGACCACACACTAAAAGGTTTTCCCAGTTGCCTCAATGCTTTTTGTTGTGCACCCACCTTATTCAGCGTTTTATCCCACGCCCCTTGATTAAGTCGAGCCTACCAACCCCTTGCGGCGCATGGAGATGTGGCTATCCGTTTGCATTTTATTTCTGGTTGCCATTTATTGGGTGACCCTTTCTGACAAATGGTTGTTCTAGGAGGCTACAAGCATGATTTTCCTTTGGTGCAAGGTGGAACCCACTCAGTGGAACCCGGTCACCAACCGCTGGGGTGACGCCCACCTGGCCATGCATTTTATTTCGGACGCCCTCCGTTCCATGCTGGGTGGACATGAGAAGGTCCTCGACCAAGATTGATACTCATATCATCACTCACCCCTGGGTGTGTTGAGTTCATCGGGCGCACACTTGTAATGGACCCATTTTGATTCTGGGAACCGGGAGGGAGACATCGGGAACCGGGTCGCAGTCGGGTCCATGCCAGAGTGCATGGTCTGGCCCCATCGCCACGTTAGTTTCCAATGGTTCGTTCACATCAAGCCGGGAAAAAGACAATCAAAGCGCCACAACCTGCCACGGCTCTGTTTTGGAGCAGACTTTGTTAGCTTACCAACTAGGTTAGATGGGAGCCAGGGATGTGAACCTCTACTTCCTTTTGCAAACCAAATGGCAGGTAGATAACGCCTCAACACCTTTGGGCCCCATTTTCTGTTGGCGGTCTGGCTATGCCTCCAAGGCTTGTTCGAAGCCATGGCAAGGACAGGGAAGGAGGGACGAGATGGGGTGGACAAAACATTTGAATGAGCAACGGAGGATTCCCAGGACATGATCTGCAGAAGAGTGTCTTCTCATGGAGGTCCCAGAATGATGGCTTCCCCTTTGTTTCCTTTTTACAACCATCTCGCAAAGGCTACCCTCGAAAAAGAACACACTCATATTGGTGACAACTGCCTACCGGACGACAAAGAAAGGTCTCTTGATGTTTGTTGCCTTTTTTCCAAGAGCAGCAGCTCTGCTGTCTTAGCCAAGGGAGTCAAGTTCCTGGGAATGTTGTGGGGGAGTTGCCTGTCCATGCTGATCCTTGTGCCGTGTTTTGACACTCGCGGGGATGTTGCAGAACTGATCCCCGCTCCCTTGAAAGTCCATTCATACGCGGACGAGAGTGGAACTGGACCACAGCTCCCCCATCCCCGTGTGCCACTTAGCCAACCTTCTCCCTTGGAGGGAGCTTGGCAGTTCAAAACTCGCCTGGTTTTGGCGGGTGCTCACTCCCCAAAGATTTTTCTGGAGCCCCCCCCCCCACCTTGGTGTTTGTGCGCCGCCGTCATTGCCAGACTTGGCCTCCCACCAAACATGGCTGCACAGCACGGGAAGATTGTCCCTGGCTCGTGGAAGCCTTCCTGGGCCAAACGAGCCCTCGCTGAGCATGGACAGTTCGCCCCAGGAGTATCTTATGGTGCTGTCTGCGCGGCAGCTCAGAACAGAAGTGAACTGTTGCAAAGTCATCTCCGCTAGCCCTTTGCAAGCGCCGCCAGCGTTTGAATGCCACCGGACTTTGTCGTCACGTTTGGCCTTTGTCATCACTTGTCTTTGTGATTTTGGCGGTTGTGTGTGTGTCCTCGAACAGAGGCGGGACGGCGGAACCCACAGAAAAGACCAAGCCAAGCCGGGGATTCCCGTGAGATGTTGGCCACGCCTAGAGGAAGCCAAAAGGAAACAAGAAATCTCGGGGCTCCAAGCCGTTTGGAGACAAACCATAGCTTCACAACTGAGCTCACTTCATTGGAGCTTCCCCATGAAGAGTTGCCGGGGGATTGCTGATTTCCATCTGGTGAGTTTGGGCAAGCTGCACAAAAATATGTACACATATGTGTGTATGTATGTATACAGATATTTCGCTCAGGGAGGCTTTTCAGGTTGGTTTGCAGGACCATTTTGGTTGTCGCTCTATGTTTTTATCGTAGCCATAGACTCTGCGAGGCTTTTCCTCGCGGACGCGGCCCAGTTGGACGCCACCCTCTCGCGGAAGAAGGGCGGCGAGCCGTACCTCATGAGGCTTCGGCTTCGGCTTTGGCTTCGTGAGGAGTGACCTCGTCGTCCCAGCATTTGGTGCAACCTTTCTCACCGTTTTTTTTTGGTTGGGAGCTCTCTACTGGAGGACCTAGGTGAGCAAGTGACCATCGTAGTCTCCCACATGGAGTGCAAGTTGGGGTCCTTTTACTCCTACGCGGGAACCCTGGATTTCAATTCCCTTGGGTTTCAACCAAAGAAAAAGGACAAAAACGGATGGGAAGCTGGCTAGGTCCTTTAGCTAAGGGCCCAACCAACAGGGCCCTTTGGATGAAGCTGCCGTTTTTTTGGGGACACGATGACACGGCCAAATGCCACATCTTGTTGGGGATTTTGTGGGCGGGTTCAAGCATTGGAGATGCGCCTTTTCGTTGTGTTTGTAGGGAAGCCACAAGGAGACTAGCCCATGTTTAGGGGTGCCCTAAGCGCAAGCCACCAAATATGGGTGTGTCTTTCTTTGAGGCTGTCATTTTCGTGCGTTTTTGTTTGCGGGGCAACTGAAAAGAACACCATGTTGGGGGCGTCCCCTAAAAAGGGACACACCTTTTTCTGTTCTTTTTTACAACCGCAAAGAACACCTAAAGAACACCTAAAGAACACCCTTAAAATTCCGACGGGCCGCTTTCATCTGCCTCCAAACAAGTCGAAGCCTTTCGGCCGCCAAAGGGCGTCGCTAGGCCCGCCGAGGGCAGGACGCAGATCCACACGGCGCGGCTGCCACAAGTTGGGCCATGGGTTTGGCTCGAAGGGAAACCCCCGGAATTGGGTGGTTTCCCGTTTTGTTTTTCCCCTTAAACCAACCCAAAAGGTGTTGCCCCCCCCTCACCAACCAGTCTTGTTTCCCTGTTAAACCCACTGAAAAGGGGTACCCCCCCAAAGAAACAGATGGCCGGAGGGGGTTGTTAACATGCCCCGCTTCCCCCCCACTTCTGTCCCTTCGCTGGGTTTGAACCAGGCGGCTTCCTTTTTCGAGCCAGTTCTGCGGCCTCTGTTCGAGGACGCAAGGGAGACCGTGGCTGTTCCCCAGGCCTTGGGAGACCCCAGCAAGGAATTTCCAGTCGAACCTGGTTACCCCAGCTGTCAAGCAACTTGTCCTTGTCACCCCATTTGTGGGTTACACGTTTACAGTTGTTTTTTATCCTGCTGGTGCTTTGTGGGAACTCCGGGCGGCAACTGCAACAGGCCACTTTCCCCAGGCCGAGCTTTGAAGTTTCGGCGTCCAATTTATTCTCGGTTTGTTGTCGGGCAAAACTCACTTCTTCAGTGGCACCCTTTTTCCCTTCTTTTTTTTGGGGGGTGGCTGCCCCACTATATACAAAAGGTCTTCCCCAAGAAGGGTTCCCTTTTCCTCCAGGGTCACCGAACAACTGAGAAGCGGCCCTCCAACGGGCGCGCACCGTGCACGGGCCACCCGCGCAGCGGCGCCAGGTGAAGATCGACTTCTCCAAGGCGCCGCCCCCGTTCGCGGTGGACCAGACGTTGGCCCAGCCGCCCCACGCGGATGGGGACCCCTACAGCCACCCAGCGGGGGGGCCGAGGGGATTGGTTTCTGGCGGCAAGCGGATCCTCTTTTTTTTTAAAGTAAATCCCAGAAGGGAGACCAAGGGATATCCCTGAAAAGTCTAAAGTAGGGGTGCCCAACAGAAGGAATGGCTTTGGATGATGGTTGCGAGGAAGCGAACCGGGGAGGATCCTTTTCGGCTGGTGTGCGGGAAATCCGCGGGAGCCACCCAAATTTGCAGCTCGAGACCGATCAAGGCACCTAAACCCATGGTCACAATGAATAAAGGACCCCCCCGAAGACATGTGAGCCACAATCAAAACCCGGGTAGATGAAGGTTAGTAAGGGGCAGTCCCAGCCAGAAATAGTTGCGGCCGCCTTCTTAATTCTTTACATTTTAATACCGGGTTTTGATTGTGACTCATGTGGGGTGGTTTCCTCGCAGTTGCGGTGCACAGTGGTATTGTGGGTGCTCTTTTCTTGGGCTTAGTCCGCCCAAAGCGCCATCTCTTTTTGGTAGCGAGTCCATTTTTGGGGACCCAAAATTCAAAATTCCATGATACACCAGGATACGCCAATCCATTGTGGGAGGGTGCGATTAAACCAACCCGAGGGGATGGTGCCATTTTCAGCTTGTAAAAATGGCGGCCGCGCGTCCGTTGCAAGCGGCCCCGAGGTCTGGGTCTCCGGAGAAAGCGAAGTCTTGGGCAACTTGGCTTGGGTTCTGGGGGCGGAGGGCCGCGTTTGGGGCCTGGGCGGTGCCCAAAAAAGGCTTGGGTGGAACGGTTGAACAAGGCCCCCGATTTGCGGTGCTCCGCCAAGGCCTGAGGAACGCATTGGGTGGAAATGGGTGCCACAGCTACTGCCGGATTTCTCCCCTTGCGCCCTTGTCAGCTGGTTCTTTGGAGAGTAAAGGGATGACATGGGGAACAATATCCTTTGGACCGCTCCTTGTTTTGCTTCGCCAGGCCAGCCAGCGGCGCCTGCGGCTCCGGCAGTCTCCGCGCAGGCAGCGCCAGCCGCGGCAGCGCCAGCCGCGGCAGCGCCAGCCGCGGCAGCGCCAGCCGCGGCAGCGCCAGCGCCGGCCGCAGCAGCGCCGGCGGCGGCGGCGGCTCTGGACCAAAGAGGCGAGGAACAAAGATCCGAAAGGGTGCCCCACTTGGAAAAACAAACGCATGCCGCATGCCATTCATCTCTCTCATTCTTTGTTCCACATCCTAAAGTAATTTCAAGATGATAGGATGTGGAAGGGACAGTTAGTAGAGGGAAAAGGTTTCTACCGCAGTGGGTCTTATCTCTCCGTAACTGTCTTTCCCGTCCTATAGAAATCCCAAGACGAAGTGAGATAGGAAGGGAATTGGAGGCCGGTTAACTCCTACAAATATTTATTGCTTACTTGGACCCGCCAAGATTGTAGGTGAGAAAGTCTCTGAGCTGTTGGCCGTGGAATAATTTTTGGTACGGCCGTCTTCGGTTTCACAGAGTGTCCGATGCATCTTAATGGTCCATTTTGGTGTTAACGTCATATGCTTAAATTCAAGTGGAACCATACATACACGTAACATTTCCAAGACACCAAAAAGGGATGGACGAGTTGTCAAACTTGTCCGGAACCTCCAGTTGACACCCGCATACTTTGCATTTGGCCGGAACCTCCAGTTGACACCCGCATACTTTGCCCTTTGCTCAAGTGGTGATACTATATGTCGTGTCTCAGGTTTGTGGGGGCGGAAGGTTGACCAATGGTCAAATGCCCAGACTTGGCACAGCCATGACGATGGTTAGGTTTTTTTTTTTTTTTTTTTTTTTTTTTTTTTTTTTTTATGTTTTGTACCTGTCCTTACGACGAGAATGTTTGGGGCTCGAAATCTCCTTGCAGATGGACGTTCCAAGTTGGGTTGAAAAAGGGGACAGTCCCTTGCCGGTGCGGCAAGTTCGCATATTCGAACCCCATGGGTTTGGGTAGACTCCTCAAATACTCCTGTCAAACCAAGCTTTGCTGCTTGAAAAACCAGTGTCCCCTACAGTTCCCCTTAAATATTCAGTTTCTGAGTTCCTGAACTTAAACTTTTTGGGAAGACTATGTTAGTGGTAAACAAATAGTTTGGACTTGCTTTGGGCCATTTACTCAAACACTTTTTTAAATGGACCTTTCTTTTTCTTCTTTTTTTTTTTGGGGGGGGGGTTAAGGTGGTTTTGCTCGCAGGTGCCAGCGCGACATCTCGCTGAGCGGAGAAATTTAGCCATGGGACAGAACAGATTGGCGCACGGGGACGTGCTGATTTGGCTGCGGGTCAAAACCAATGGCATCCTATTTGGGGTAGGTGTAGTTAGAACCTATTTTAGTGGTGATTGGGATGTTCACTGGGGGTACGGGATTTTGACCCATGGCCCGTTTGGGTGTTGTCTCAAAATCGGGGTCCTCCAAAATGCTTGGTTTCCTTCTGGTTTCCCTCAAATTTCTCAACTCAGAAGAGGGTTTTTTGCAACTAGATGGCATGTGGCATGTTGCTCCCGTTTCAAAAAAAGTGCCCAAAAGGATCCCGTACTTTTTGCAACGGCCCCTAGTTCGCTAGAACTGGCACTTCTTGCCCGGCAATTGGCACTGGACTGATTGCTGGGCAGCCAGGATTTCCGCCGTTCAGCATTTGGGGTGGTGGGTTTTTGTCCAGGACGAGGCAGGTGTAGTATTTTGCTCAAAAGGTCGATCCCACATTCTGTTCATCCGTTGAGCAAGCGCAAGATTCCCTTGGGTGGAACAGTTTCCTTACTGGAACTGTACGACCGGAAGGTGTGGGAGGACGTGCGAAGAAACCTCCCTGTACTCTTCCATATTGGAAAGAGAGCTCGTTGCGTCAGCTTCACTCCCGTTGAGTCACGTCGACCCGCGCGTTGCTTGGCTCCTCTCGGCTTCGAGTGAGCCTGGCGTATGGATGCTTTTGGCAACAGCGTTGACTCGATTCCTACGTTTTAGAGTGTACACTTTTAGGGAGGATCAGTTCGGTTTAGCCAACTCACAACAAGAGGCGTTGCAACCGAAAACCCATCAAGCATGTCTGGGCTACTTTGGGCTGCTTTGGGCAAATCTCAGCAAGTGAGGTTTCTTTCTTCATGACAAATCCAGCCATGGGCTATGGATTGTTTGGGCCCACAGACTTGACGATTCAGACATTCAAGGTGCCAAACCTTTTTGTTCAACTGTGGACATACCTCAACGCTCAGACCAATCTTGTCACTCTGCCAGAGCTCCCGCTGCGAGACCATCCCAGCTTCGCGCCAGTAGAGCAGCCCCAGGCGAACCAACCACCCCTTGCAGCCACACGTCGTTTGTCAGGAGGACACATGGACGACAACTGCAAATCACTCGCGTGGCTTGTCACCGCGATACCAAGTCTAGTATAAACTTCTTACCAGTGCTGCAGTTGCTGGCACGGAACCCCATGTGGCTGTGGGTCAAGATTAAACCACCAACAAAAACCGCAGGTTCTCGTCCATGTTTCCTTTTACCAGGGTTCCATTTTGGGTACAAGTTTTTTTGAGCCACAGCCATGTTCATCCAGAAGGAAGCTTGACGTTGCAGTTGGCACGAGCTTATGTTCGCCTAGCACCTGACTGCGCGCCGGCCGACGCCATGTCGGAGAAGGCGCTGAAAGGCTTGCACGCCTCCATCGACCTGATCTGGAAGGCGGGGCCAAGCATGGGAGACGAGTTCCAAAGCATTCGGAGGCCGGTTCCCAACAACAGAGTGGTCTGAGATTGCGGAATTGCACCTGCTTTTGGTCTTTATAAAGCCCCAATGGTTTGGTGGGAAGTGAAGTTAAACATGACACAATGACATAAGGTTCCTTGCCTTACCTTGATTGCGCTCAACAATGCTTTCCATTCAATTGACCCCCCCGGAGAAGCTCCCAACAATCCAGGATGGCGTTTGGTCATGGTTTGGTGGGACGTGGGGCTAAGCATGGCCCAAGGTTGCTGGCCTGACCTTGATGCCATGAAGCGGCGTAAGCTCCCAGGACCCTGCGCGGAAGGACTATGCGCTGAAGGCGCTGGCAGTGTCCGGGGACCCGAGGGGACCACGGTTGGAGCAATTGGAAGGATCGGGCGTTCTCTGGGTCAACGTTTGGCCACAACTTAGACAGGGCTCCTTAAAAGATACATTTTGCCCAGTTGAAACATGGCTTTTTCCACCGAAATAAACAAAAAACCACCATTGACAAGGCAATGTTCAGGTGTATAATGCAAGGATCCCTGTTAGATCTTTTCCCTTCTCAAGATGATGCTAGAACAGATTTAAGTCCTGGGTTTGGGGTACATTGACCAAGTCCTCGTGGTTGGTTGAGAATCAACATATGGTGCTTTTGAAAGGCTAGCATCATCTTGTCTTAGAAACGCCTCCTTGTCACTTCCAAACTTTTTTGAATGAAGAAGCAATGGCCCTCCCCCTAAAGGAAACCAACAGGGAGACGGTTTGTTTGATTTTATGATTTCGCCACGCACCTGTTAAGCACCCGCATTCCCTGGAAATGCAAAAGGATGTCCGGCGTGTTTGAACAGGAACTGGACCCTCCAAAACGGCTTGGAACGGCTAATTGGCTTTTCTTCACCTGCGTCACGACGTGAGTGACCCGAACTTTCAAGAGCTGCATCACAAGTAGCAGTTCAGGCGTGTAATCTTAAGCACGAAAAGCTTTAAAAGCTTTTCGTGCCCGTGAAATGCCGCGAGTGTTTGCGGACGGCAATGTAGGAATGTATGACCACTATATGGGCGTATATAACTACTGTGCCAATGAGAGAAGAAAAACAACTCCCGTTTATGGTTTCAACCAAAAGGGTTTCAAAAACAGCGCAAGGTCGCCGTTTCCGAGATAAGCTTGTCTCATGAGATATGGACAGCCTGAAGTAGGCATCAGTTTCCTTTGGTTTCCCTTAAACCCCCCCCAAAAAAACATGCTGAGCAGAATGGGGAGGTTTTCCTGGAATAATCTGAGTATGTCACAATAGTGTGTGTGTGTGTGTCACAATAGGGGGACCCCAATACTGGTTTGATTTTGCTTCCCCTTAAACCAGCAACTTGAAAAGGGGTCGGGGGGAAAAGAACGACAAACAACGCAACACAGCCCAGGCACGGCCGGGCGCTGCAGTTTGCGTCCCCAGAGCTGCGGGCCGACAAGGAGGTCGGGGAGTCGAGGTTGCGTTTGAGTCCGAAAAGAAAACCCGTTCGTTTGTCCAAAGGTGATCTATTATTTGAGATTTTCCCAATCCGAGCCGCCTGGAAAGCAAGCAAGCAAGCAAGCAAGCAAGCAAGCAAGCAAGCAAGCAAGCAAGCAAGCAAGCAAGCAAGCAAGCAAGCAGGCAGGCAGGCAGGCAGGCAGGCAGGCAGGCAGGCAGGCAGGCAGGCAGGCAGGCAGGCAGGCAAGCAAGCAAGCAAGCAAGCAAGCAAGCAGCCCTAAGCCAACTCCAAGTCAGCCCCAAACCCACATACCCAAGCCTACCCTAAACCTACACGAGCAGACAGCGTGATCATTTCAAGGCCGAAACAGTTTGCACTTGTTTGGGAAAATTGTCAATAGGTCTTGGCAAAATGTAGCGAGCTCAGCCGAGAGAAGGTTTTTTATGCTTAGGGCTCCATACTTCAGGCTGCTGAATGATGCCAGTTCACCTCACCCATAGAGATTTGGTGGGTGGGCAGGACTACTCTCCTGCAAGATAACATGGACTCCCCAAACCAGTCGTTGTTTGTTTATGTTTCTTTTTTGTCGAAAGGACACTATTTTTGTGTCCACGTAAGATTGCAGGGAAGCAGGTGAAAACAAACTCAGAGTTACGAAGCCCATTATCCAGTGCACGTTCAGGTATGGGTATTGGAGGTTGCAGGCGCTTGTACAACCCAAATAAGCTTGTAAGGCAGTATATGCCTGTTACAGAAGTGGTAAATAATCGCCATTTCGCCGGAAACCATACCTTAAAATGCCAATGAACTTGTTTCCTTGCGCGAATGAATAGGTTTGCAAAAGGCGCCACTTACAAATCTCCATAAAACAGATACAGTTTGGCCATCTAAAAAACATTCCCCTTTCCACTGGAGCAAAGTAAAAACGCTAGTTAGCTATGAATTTTAACGGGGAACCCCCTCAAAAGTGGTTGGTGGACATAACTCCCCACCTAAATGATGTCCACCAAGGGGAAACAACATACCCATTTTGGCACAGTGTTCGGGGGGAGGATGTCAGAAGCAGCGCTGCTCAGGTGGTTCAGAAGGCGCTGAAGAGTGATGGCTGGGCCTTGCAGTGGGCCTCGCAGGAGTCTCTGGGGCGGGTCTCGATCGGCCTACGTCAGGAGTTCCCTTGGCTTAGCCAGAGCCTCGGCGCCTTGAAAGAGAAAACAACTACACAAAGGCGGCGGAAGCATTTTTGACAGGGTTAGATGTAGAACGGTCAAAGTTTAACTGAGTTTTGTCTTGCGGTGGTGTTTAAAGGGGACTAACGAGGGACCTTGGACGTGGTATTCTAAAATTGGGTAACACCATGTTGGATGGGTGAAAGGAACCAGCCAGTTTGTATTCTGGCTTCAATATTTCTGAAAAACACTGTTTTTGACGGGGAATCAATAAGCCTGCTCAAGAATTAGAAATCATTTGAAGGGGTTGTTGATCTCGAGTTCCTAAGGAGATGTGTTTCAGTTCGGGCACATCCTGTTTTTTGTTCCTTCATTTGCCGTTTTTTGTTGGGGGTGGGAGGGGGCGGGTCAGCTGGTCCCTTTCACTGTTACGTCTTTTGGATGATGTTGAGGACGAATTGAAATTACGTGGCCAGTCAATCTCCAGCGTATAGTTTGAGAACACCACCTCCGTTTTCTTGGCTTATTTGCCCTTGGACAAACACAGCTTGGAGCTGTGCTTGCTGGCATCTCGAAGCCAAGCATCATTGCACCCGTGATGGGTAGGTTTACCAGCATCTAGTGCACCGTTTAATCTGTTCCTTACAAATCCCGCCTTTGTCCCCGAATAATTAGTTCGAATTCTTTGTGGGGATGCATATTGGTTGATGGGGTAATTACCAGGGGTCTCCTTGTTCCCTTGTTTCCCCACAGGCGAATGCGCAAATGCACTCCCGTCCACTGGAGCGGAAGACATGCTTCAGTGAAATCGCCTCGAGCCTTTTGCCTGGGCAGTTGGACAAGGGAAGTGCTGACAGCGCCTCTAACAGTGGCTGTCAGCAGTTTAGTTTAGAACTGGCTTTGTACTGGGTGAGTTACACATAAAATTAAGGGGCCGGTTTTGCTTTTTGCATGGGAACCATTGTTCATGCATGGGGGTGGGTCGAATGGGGGTGGAGATTTTGGAGCTCGTGGCCCTCTGAATGATCAAACGCTTTTAGAACTCTTTCAAGCGCATCCAGCCCGTGGCTCACGCGGAGCCAGACTTCTGATAGGCCATCTTGCCCAAAAAGGGGACCCTCTAATGGATTCTATGTGGGTGTGTGTCTTTTGTTGAGGAGCATGAGGAGCCTCTTTTTGGGTTCGTTTAAAGGGAAACAAGAAAGACAGAACAACACAATTTTGGGTGGGTCCCCTATTTTTCTGAGACACCCATGTTCAAAAGGGTCCATTTTTAGACAGGAGTGCCGCAAAGACCGGGAGCTGGTGCTGAAGGCGGAAACGTCTCGCTTCTTCGTCTTCCGGTTTCAGAGGTTCTCCCAGACTGGGGTGGCTCGTCCCTTTTTAGGGTACTCCCAAGATTATAGTTTTCCTCTTGGTTTTGCCTTTAAAACCACAAAAACAAGGGGGGTTCCCTCAAAAAGGCTCACCCGACTGATCACACCTCACGGATAGCAAAACAAATGTTTGGCATCCTGCGAGAGTGTCTCGGGCCCGAACTGCAACACAAGGTGCAGAGGACATATTGTTCGGTGCTCAGCCCCGCTTCCCTTCGTCACAGCCGTGCAAGCTATGTTTGCGCGAGAGGGCTGGGACGGAGAAGCGCTCTTCGCCGGCTTCTGACGTGGCGTGGATGGAAGCGCCTGCAACCAGACTGAAGGTTCAGCCTCAGGACACACACGTGCGGCCGGCCACGATACCCATTTTCTGTGCGGGCAATCCATCTATGCGCAAATCTAGCATGAAGAAGTTTGTCTCTGCAGAGGTCTTTGATGTCGACGGGTTCCCGGAGGAGATTCGCTCCAGCATTTGCACTGCAAGCGAATTTACGATCAAAGGCGTCCGCAACAGCTTGCAGGGCTCCACTTGTAAGTGGTTTGAGGTTGCCGCTTTCTGGTGGCTGCGATTGAGCGATGCAGTGGTAGGGAGTCCTATCTTGGTCAAGGGCCCATTTTCCTCCAGCCATGCTTGACCTCCTTTTGGAAAGTTAAAGGGACCTGCAAGAAGATTTGAACATCTCCTAATGGGGCTCTTCTATGTTCTTCACATGTGGAGGGTGTGAGGCAGACCCAGTTTCAGCGTGGATGCCGAGTTGGCTTTCCTTCAACCCACCTTTTTGCGTCAGCAAGATCGCTTGCGCGATGTCTTAGGGTTTAGGTATTTTTGTTTGAGGCTCCGTTCGGTGCCCTATTTTGGGTCGTCGCAAAGCCGCGCAAGAGGACACCGAACCGGATTTTCCCTTTGATGACAACATGAGCCAAGTCACGGCCGTGAACTTGGGGGAGAGTCCATCAAGGCTTGAACGACTCCAGTCTCAAAAGGGTGGGGTGGGGTGGGGTGGGGTGGGGTGGGGTGGGGTGGGGTGGGGTGGGGTGGGGTGGGGTGGGGTTTGTACCCGATGCGATGTTCTTCGACAGCCTTGTGGAAGCGGGAAGCGATCGACTCCTTAGGTCCTTTTTGGCCTTGAGGGACGAAACAATCAAACAGCAGTCTTGTGATATCTGGGGATCAGCTTTCTTTTGGTGGGTCATGTTTGTCCATCGAGGTTTGGTTGACCTCTCCACAGGGCAGTAATGGTTTCCACTTGAAGGTAGGGATCCAAACCCTAGCCAAAACCAAGTGGTAGACAGACCGCCCACATTTTCCTCTGCAAGGAGCATTCCGGTGGGTTCCATATCGAACACGACTTAGCCGGGCAGGCAATGAAGAAGGATGTGGGCGCGCTGAAGTTTGCGGCACAGGACTGCAGAGTTCTCCTGAGATCTGTCAAGCCTTTTCAAGGCTTGATCCCACTTGTGTGTATCTTCCAAAGAAAGTGTTTGACAGACCTTACCCGAACCCGTTTTCATTGGGCTAGGCTAAATGTCTCGACAGCTTGTTGGTTCGACCGAAATAACTTACCATTAGCTTTTGAGAAAATGACGGTCACCATGTGGCATGGAACATGGCTTTGTCACCAGTTCAGTAAGGTGAGCGTTCAACATCGTTGCTTGAAAGGACGTTGCCTAGGGGAGGTTGAAGAAGCGTTGGTCCCGGGGCCGTTCCGGTTCACCTTCCGTCTTGAAAGCAACAGCTGCACCCAAGGTCGGGGAGGCTTGGAATTGTCCCATTGGAGTCAGCAATCCATTGTCCCCAGGGCAACCATGAAAAAAGGCTACCTGAGAAAGCCGATATGTTGACAGTCGAGATCAGCTTTGGATACCTGCCCCAATGAAGGGCAAAACCAAACCCTCTCTAAGGGCTCAACCACATGCCCCTTTTTGCAGGTACCCCAGTACCAACCAAAGCCTCACCCCCCGACTCTCCTTCCCTTCGAGGTGAAGGGGGATCCCTCAAAGTTGGAAGGAACGCCCTCAAGACTGTTGTCGGTTGCATATGTCCCACCCATGTTTTCACGTCCACCAAAGAGCCCATGTCGGATTCACTATCTTGCTCACATTGCGACACACCCTGAACTCCAATCGCGGGGCCCTTCGGATGGGCGGGGGCCCCCGATCGGGGTGTTGGCGTGCCGTTTTTTTCCCCGGTGACTCAGAAAAAGGGACCACCCTCGAAAGGGTGCAAGCAAAATGATCCAGGTGACCTTGGGATCGTTCCTTGCGGTTCTTCCCTTTTTGTGAGAAGGTCCTCAACCCGACCTTTCAACCTTTCAGCTTTCCCCTTTTGGTCTCTGTATAAAGTCCCAAAAGGTGGGGGGGAAACCCCGGGTTTCCCACGGAATGGAAACCCAGGGAAGCACAAAGAAACTCAGGGACACCCGGAAAAAAGCAAAAAACAACTCAGGGAAACCCAAAGAAACTCAGGGAAACTCAAAGAGTCCCAGAAAAACCCAAAGTAACCCAGGGAAACCCAGAAAAAAACCTCAGGGAACCCCAAAGAAACTCAGGAAAAGCCCAAGAAACTCAGGGAAACTCAAAGAATCCCGGCAAAAAACCAAACAAATTAGGGAAACCCAAGGAAACCCAGGGAAACTCAGGACAACTCAACGAATCCCAGAAAAAGCTAAAGTAACTCAGGGAAGCCCAGAAAAGAAGCTCAGGGAAACTCCACGACTCCCGGCAAAAGCACCCAACCAACTCAGGGAAATGTAGAGACACCCAGGAAAACTCGAGGCAAAAGGACGCGTGGTCCCCTTTCCTTTTCCGGGCGTTTGAGTGAGGAGCTGCTGGCGGACAAGGACTTCGCGCTGGAGCTCCTGGCGCTGAACGGGCGCGATCGGGGGGGCGCCATCGGGGTCCGTGGGATCGGGGTCCGTGGGACCGGGCGGGAAAGCGGAAGAGGGGGGTTTGAAGGGGGGAGAATTGTTAGACTGAGGGGTTTTGAAGGGGTGAAGGGGTTTTGAAGGGGTTGTGAGGGGGTGTTGAAGGGGTGAAGGGGTTTTGAAGGGGTTTTGAAGGGGTTTTGAAAGGGTTTTGAAGGGGTTTTGAAGGGGTTTGGAAGGGGTTTTGAAGGGGTGAAGGGGTTTTGAAGGGGTTTTGAAGGGGTGAAGGGGTTTTGAAGGGGTTTTGAAGGGGTGAAGGGGTTTTGAAAGGGTTTTGAAGGGGGGGTTTGGAACGGGTTTTGAAGGGGTTTTGAAGGGGTGAAGGGGTTTTGAAGGGGTTGTGAGGGGGTGTTGAAGGGGTGAAGGGGTGAAGGGGTTTTGAAGGGGTTTTGAAGGGGTGAAGGGGTTTTGAAAGGGTTTTGAAGGGGGGTGAAGGGGTTTTGAAGGGGTTTGGAAGGGGTTTTGAAGGGGTGAAGGGGTTTTGAAGGTTTTGAAGGGGTGAAGGGGTTTTGAAGGGGTTGTGAGGGGGGGTGAAGGGGTTTTGAAGGGGTGAAGGGGTTTTGAAGGGGTTGTGAGGGGGGGTGAAGGGGTTTTGAAGGTGAAGGGGTTTTGAAGGGGTTTGGAAGGGGTTTTGAAGGGGTTTTGAAGGGGTGAAGAGATTTTGAAGGGGTTTTGAAGGGGTGGTTTTGAAGGGGTGAAGGGGTTTTGAAGGGGTTGTGAGGGGGGGTGAAGGGGTTTTGAAGGGGTGAAGGGGTTTTGAAGGGGTTGTGAGGGGGGGTGAATGGGTTTTGAAGGGGTTTGGAAGGGGTGTTGAAGGGGTTTTGAAGGGGTTTGGAAGGGGTTTGGAAGGGGTTTTGAAGGGGTTTGGGTGAAGGGGTTTTGAAGGGGTTTGGAAGGGGTTTTGAAGGGGTTTTGAATGCGTTTTGAAGGGTTTTGAAGGGGTTTTGAAGGGGTGAAGTAGTTTTGAAGGGGTTGTGAGGGGGGGTGAAGGGGTTTTGAAGGGGTTTGGAAGGGGTTTTGAAGGGGTGAAGGTGTGGTTTTGAAGGGGTTTGGAAGGGGTTTTGAAGGGGTTTTGAAGGGGTTTTGAAGGGGTGAAGGGGTTTTGAAGGGGTTGTGAGGGGGGGTGAAGGGGTTTTGAATGGGTTTGAAGGGGTGAAGGGGTTTTGAAGGAGGGGGGGTGAAGGGGTTTTGAAGGGGTTTGGAAGGGGTTTTGAAGTGGTTTTGAAGAGGTGAAGTGGTTTTGAAGGAGGGGGGGGGGGGGTGAAGGGGTTTTGAAGGGGTTTTGAATGGGCTTTGAAGGGGTGAATGGGTTTTGAAGGGGTTTTGAAGGGGTTTTGAAGGGGTTTTGAAGGGGTTTTGAAGGGGTGAAGTGGTTTTGAAGGGGTTGTGAGGGGGGGGTGAAGGGGTTTTGAAGGGGTTTGGAAGGGGTTTTGAAGGGGTTTTGAAGTGGTTTTGAAGGGGTTTTGAAGGGGTTGTGAGGAAGGGGTTTTGAAGGGGTTTGGAAGGGGCTTTGAAGGGGTTTTGAAGGGGTTTTGAAGGGGTGAAGGGGTTTTGAAGGGGTTGTGAGGGGGGGTGAAGGTTTTGAAGGGGTTTTTGGGGTTTTGAAGGGGTGAAAGGGGTTTTGAAGGTTTTGAAGGGGTTTGAAGGGTGAAGGGGTTTTTTGAAGGGGTTTTGAAGGGGTTTTGAAGGGGTGAAGGGGTTTTGAAGGGGTTGTGAGGGGGGGTGAAGGGGTTTTGAAGGGGTTTTGAAAGGGTTTTGAAGGGGTTTTGAAGGGGTGAAGAGGTTTTGAAGGGGTTTTGAAGGGTTTTGAGGGGGTGTTGAATTGAAGGGGTTTTGAGGGGGTGTTGAAGGGGTGAAGGGGTTTTGAAGGGGTTGTGAAGGGGTTTTGAGGGGGTGTTGAAGGGGTGAATGGGTTTTGAAGGGGTTTTGAGGGGGTTTTGAAGGGGTGAAGGGGTTTTGAAGGGGTTTTGAGGGGGTTTTGAGGGGGTGTTTGAAGGGGTGTTGAAGGGGGTTTGAAGGGGTTTTGAGGGGGTAAGAAGGGGGTTTAAACGAAGAGGGGGTGAGAACTTTCTGAGAAAGGGGGGTTTGAACTTGACTGCTATTGGGTTGGATCTTTAGACTTTCACTTTTTTGTTGAAATGAAGTTGGGTTTTCCACTAAACCCCCCAAAAGTCAAACTTTTTGCAGGGGGTCAACAGCAACCAAGTGAAGGGTTCTTCGAAACAAGGAGTGTTGGGTAAAGGGAGCCCTTATTTGAGAACACTTTCTTGTTTTTGCTCACGGCGTCCTTCACGACCCCGTGGAGTTCTTTGTTTTTTGGACGTTCATCCCTGCGTTCATGCATCATGGTTCGGGGGCGGGGGGGGAGGGGGGGTGGGTGGGGGGGTATGATAAGCACACCCGCTCAACGCTCAACTGCTGCAGACCAGCCTGCTCTGTTACCGGATTACAAAATAACATGGTTCTGGGGGGGGGGGGTTGGGGGGGGCATGATAAGCACACCCGCTCAACTGCTGCAGATGCGTCTTTCACCCCTGAGGCATTCACTGGCCCAACCTTTGGCTCCAGGACCATGGGTCATCATTTTGTTCTCGCCCTTTGTGTTGCCTACGTTCTGCTGCTGCGTGTCGCGTGTGCGCCCTGCCCCATTGACTCGTGGTTCCAGGCATTTTGGACGTGTGATCCGTTCTTGTTGGACGCTCACTTTGAAGTTTTCGCTGGTTCGTCTGATCCTTTCGCGCATTTTGCGGCATCTGTTGGTGCGATATCTGCTCGAAGCCCTTTGTCCTGGTGTCGGCAGCCTCAAGAAACGCACGTGTGTTGGCCAGCGGGACGAAGTGCTGCTATTTTTGAGCGAGGCCACAATGTCCGGCTATGTATGACTTGGAAACAGATGAAGGCGGCTCGCTCGCGAGCTTTGAGAAGTTGCCTTGAAAAAAAGAGAGGCCGGCAGCCTCAAGAAACGCGCGTGTGTTGGCCAGCAGCGCGAAGTGCTGCTATTCTCAGGCGATTTGGCCCTTTCTTGTCAAAGCCATGGTAAAAATGGAACAAAATAAACATGGTGCGTGTCAACGATGCAACGAAATGTTCATAACACGCAGGAATTTTGGTAAACGTGCTTGGTCGCCATGGTCAAAAGCAGCGTGGTCATTAGCAACGCCGTGACCTTGTTTTTGTTTCCTTGCTTGGCTTGGCTTTGCTTTGCTTTGCTTTGCTTTGCTTTGCTGTTGCATGCCGCCGCTTTCCATCCGACGGCTTCAACCGCTCGCCGCAGGCTGGCCTACGAGTTCTTGAGCGCGGAGCTGAAGGCCGATCGCCAGGCGCCATTCGTCATGATGCGGCCGTGGCTCAAATTAAACGGGAGGGGTTACGCAGGTTTTGGTCCATGTTTCCACTTAGCAGGGTTCCATTTTGGTACCATGTTGGGGTAGGTGAAATTCACCAGCTTTGTTTTAGTGGTTGGGTTGGTTGATGTTCACTGGGGGTACGATTTTGATTTTGACCCATGGCCATGTGTCCAAAAACCTTGGGATCCTGGGTTCCCTAGTTGGACCCAAGGTATCAAGTTTTCTTCATGCACATGACACACCCATGTGTTTGTATGTTTCGCAGAATTTCGGCAAATGGTGTTCCAACGGGCCGATGGCTTCAGGGTGCATCTACGTGGTTGAGCTCTTCGGGCTTTGATACAGAGCTTGGTTTGTTTGTCATGGGCAATTGACCAACAAGAATCTGGCCCAAATCAAGTCCTCAAGGACTGAGTTGGAACCCGTGATCGTTTGTCTTCTCCCCAAACCAAAAGGAACGAGACAAAGTGGACGCTTCACCGCAACTCAAAGGATCTTTATCCACAACTATGATAAAAAAAGACATCCGCTAAATGCCAAGACAAAATCTGACTTCAGAACAGCCACACCTGGCTTTGATTCCGGCTTGTTTTGGAGACGTGGATCCACCTCACAGCTCCGAAAAATAAATGTATAACTGGAATGAGAGCCACGGACTTCGGGGTCCAATGATCGCCAACCTGCCGACTTTTGGTCAAGAAGTCTTCATCACTTTCCAGCGACGCAAATGTTTGGCTTCACCTAGAGTCCGGTGAGGCTACCGGCTAGCAGAACCTTCTGACACGGTCCGCAAAGACAGGGCTGCGTTCCTTTGCCCACGGTTTTGGTGTTTAGGCCCTCTTTTTCAGCTTAAATGCCACTACCCGAAAGCTCGGCGATGCTTTCACGCGCATTCGGAGAAACGACGGACCACATCATTTCCCCTTTGCCTTCATCTGAGAGCTCAGTTGCCCAGAGCGAATCGACCTTTTAGCCTTTTGGTTTTCCAATCTTGGTCTATTTTTAGTCCAGGCCCCAAGGTGATCACTGGACTAGGTTAATTTTTAGTGACCAGAGCTAGGTTGATCACCGCTTATGTCTGGGTCCCGTTTTGGGCGACCGGCTCCTCCAGGCCTCCAGGCGTCATAGCGGGGGTTCATCCAGGGAGGGGCTGGGGATGCGACGGATGGGTTGATCTAGGTCCAGGATGGGGCCGTTCCTTTCTCTTACCGTTCCTTTTTTGCGGGATGGGACACCCCTCTGCTAAAATAGACTACTGAAAAAAGAATCGGCGCCCTGATTCTAACCTCTTTTCACTGGAGGAGTTATTCATGGGTACAGTTGTCGCAGCGGTAGGATGGACCCACGCGTAAGAAAGTAAAAAAAGGCCTGCCCCACCGGTTTGCGGTAAGCCTCTAGAGGATGCCCGAACCATGAGGGTAGATAACAGCTCTGGATTTCCATTCGTTTCTCCTTTATATATGTAATATATATATATATATATCTGTAGAAACCTTTTTTGGGGCCATTTTAAGTGAGCTTCCTTTAAGTGGTGTGGCTCCAACGGGACACATACTCTGCCCGGTGCCCATTTTCTATGTGACCACGGATCCCCGGAGCGCTTTGGACCTGCTCGGCGCTCGCCAGGTGGCCAAAGCTGCAGTCACCCAGGCCGATCGGCCCAGCTGGTACTCCTTGCCCGTGGGATTTCGGTGCTGGGATCTGAACTTCGGGGTCCTACATGATCCACCCCGGAATTCCTTCAGCCCGCGTATGGAATTCCTATTTCCGACTTGGAGTTCGAATCTCAAGATGGCTGGGCAGATTTATATACTTCCCCTCGCCCCTTTGAGGGGCCAAGCTTGGCAATGGGGTCTGGTTGTAAGCTGTTGTTCCTCGGATGGAGCCTTTCGAGCGAGCTCCCGGTGGCAAGATTTCGAACCTGTTCGTGCAGAGGGCTGCAAGCAGAGGCGTCCTTTCTATTATGATTTGGCTAGAAATAGATGGCACGGGTTCGGATTGGTGTTAATTCCATTTACCATGTATTTTTCCAAAAGGCCGCCCCTGCATGTGCAGGGTATGCTCCATGCCAGTGTTTCACAGAAAGCGGCGAACCAATATGTTTTTCTACCCGTGGCCTCACAAGTAGATTCCTACATTGAACTTGGGAAGATCAGGGCGAGGTGCAGTGCTCCGAACTTCAAGACTGTCAACACCCAAGGGTTTGGATTGCTTTGTTTTCTCTTTGCTATGAGCCAGATGGGTATGCTGTCCTGCAGGGGAACCCAACATGATATTTCCTTTGGGTTTCCCTTTAAAACCCCCAAAGAAGGGGTACCCTCCAAAGAACACCACACAAAGTTCTGCCCCTTTGCCAAATGCTTTCCTTGTGGCACACATGATACTTTAAAGGGGAACCGAAACCGAGCGCCACCAAAGAAGGGGAGTCGGCTGAAAAAAGGCGCAGCTAATTGGCTTGGAATCCTAGGGACTAGTTTTTCCACCTTTGTGACGATCGGGTCTTAGCATCGATTTGAACCTCTAGTTCTTCATGGGGGCTGGGGGGGAGGGAGGGGGGGGGGGGGGAGCCCAAATAAGCCCCAAATAAGGCCTTATTATATAAGGGGTTAACAAGGGCTTATTTGGGCTCCCTCCCCCTCCCCCCCAGCTTTCATGAGTTCTTGTTGAGGGCAAATGGGAAACAACCACCTCCTAACCACCAAGGCTCTGAATCAGTGGATCAGGCCTCCACTCATGTTGAGTGAACCTTGGGGTATCTTAACATAGTGCCCTCACCGAATAGGACTTTTCATCGTTCTCTAGGAACGGTTTGTAAAAGTAAGAGTCCAAGCAAACCCGGCCGTTTTGGGAAGCAGCATCCTCAGCCCAGAGTTGCCGACTCCGCGGATCTCGCGGGGCTTTGTCGCGCGTTTTGTGGCAGTCCAGTTCTGTGGCCAAACACATCCTGAGCATAGGTGTCCTTGTTGGTTGTTGTCGAAAAATCGATGGGTTTCCCTGGTCACCAGTCAGCAAATCTGCCATCCCGCGGGCGTACCGTATGCTTTCCCCTTGATCCCCCGGACTTAGGAGTTACCCTCAGGCCCCGGTTTACCTGGTGGTTTTGTCTCATCTACCAGATGGAAACCCATCGATTTCCCCCCAGAAAAGGGACACCTATGTTCACACGAAGTTTCATTCATCCCAGCTGATGCGAAGTGGATTTGGTCCGTCAGCCAGATGGATTCCCATCGATTTCCCCCAGAGAAAGGGACGCCCGTGCTCCTCTGGCCGAGGGAATTTCCTTCCGCGGCTTTCCCCCGCGGAGTTTGTGTGAGGATGGCCGGGCCTTGGAGCTGATGGAGTTCCAGGGCGATCGGGAGCTCGCCAGGTGCCCCAGGTCCGCGAGCCGGCCGAGCCGGGAAGTGCCATGGGTACCCTGAGAGAGCCCAGCTTAGGGGTAGCCTCAGGCAAAAAGACATAGACCCATATGAGCCCGTCTTTGAAGACCGCCCAACCTGCAAGATGTTAGCCTCAAGAAGAAAACACAGACCCATGTGTATGCCTGAAACCAGATGGCGATTTGTTGGGAGAAGCAAGATCAAGGGGCTGGCGCCCAAATGGTGCAACGCTTGGATGGAAAGAGAGTGACCGCGGCGCACAGGCATTAATGATTTTGACTGCTCCTTGGGGTTCTCAAAGTCAGACGCCGTGGTTCTTTGCATGTATGCTATCAATTCCGGATGACTTCAAACTCAGGGCCTAAATGTGGGAATGAACCTGGGGACTCCCTTCAAGGAAATCACCAGTTGGATGGTTTCATAGGCTTCGTTCCATTTCTCGTTCCCTGCATCTCTTGCGCCAGCAAGTTGACTAGGTCCTCCAGTAGAGAGCTTAGAATAAGGGTACCGACATTTTTCGGTTAGTAGGGGGGATTCCCTTCCCAACCAAAAAAGGGGTGAGAGGTCGGGCACCAATCGCTGGGGACCTATAGAAAAGACCCAGCACCGGGAACCCGTTTTAGCTCAGGGCGCCCGTTGGTTTCTCCCCCAGCTGAAAGCTTTGGGGTCGATAGGCCCAGGCTCGGGGTGGTCCGGGGCGGCCCTGAGGTAAGGTTCCACGAGTGTTCTACCAGGGTTCCGCCAGGGTTCCACCAGGGTTCTGCGCGGGCTGCGGGCTGGTGCCAGCACTAAAAAGAGCACCGCATGCCGTCGGGGATATCCAAAAAGAAGGCGGAAAATGGCACCACTGGGCCACTGGGGGACCCAGCAGTTGCTCCTTCCAGAACCCTCGCGTTTTCCGAGGCTCCCTGAAGCCGAGCCGGGGATCTCGCCCGAGGAAAAAAAGAATTCTCCGCCTCGCCGAGGTTCACAAGGCGGTGCAGCAGAATGGGGCGGCCATCGAGTTCGCGGCGCCAGAGCTCAAGGACTGGACGAGACGAAACCTGCTTGGGCGGCTCGTCTTTTTTTTCAAAAAAAAAAAACCTCCAAAAGGGTGGTGGCCATGGTGGACCTTTAAGACCTAGCAACAAATAAGGTTTTTTTTTTGGCAAACCATGGGGTACTTTGGGCATCCTCAACAACACTGTTGCCGCCCGTTTTGCTGAAAAGAATCTCAACATAGAGACCCGTAGAGTTGCGGGGTTTTCTGCTTTCCTGGTGTAAATGGTGGACGCATTCGGGGGTCGGCATGGTGAACTTCGGAAATGTAGAAGTTGTTTCGTTGTTTGGTAGATATGGCTATGGTAAATATGATAGATTTAGCATGTATGATTGGTATCACGATTCTTTGGCAACTGAAGCCGCGACCTGTCACAGGGCGTTGTTTGCAACCGCAAATCTAGTGGTGTTGGTACGTATGGTAATTCTTGTAGACGGTACACTCGAAACAAAGCAGAGGTCAACAAGGTGAACATCGATAGTTCAAGTGCACAAATTGCAGGCAGCACTCTCCTGAGGGTTGGATCTTCTCGAGATTTCTCTTTTGAAGAGAGCCCAAATAGTAAGCAAGTAAGCTAGATACCAGGGGAATCATTGTCACTTCCAGGGTTCTCAACCTGATCCCCAAAATCCAAGCGTGGGGGCAGCGACTTCCGCAAAAAAGGTCACATGGGATCAATGATCTCAAAATGGTTAACAGCCGGTTGCCCTTTGGCATCCCTTCAACGCAACCAAACGAAATGTGGATGCCCACAAACACGAAGTGTGGCAACACATTGGCTGGCCATATGGGGGCAGAGCTAAGGAGGGGACAATAAACATTTACTTTGTTAAACTCCCTTGTGAATTGGGAGCTAAAGAGCCCCCCCCCTCCGGCCGCAAAACAAAAAGCAGGGCAGGGTTGCTTCCCTCATTTATCGAGTTACTCTTGCCCTTGACCCCGGAGTGATCGACCTGACAAGTTAGCACCCAAAGTGCTGAAGGTTTTGAGTGTCTTTGCCACAGGTTCGGGGAGGGTGTGCCCTCCTTGCCAGCGATCGGTTCACTAGGTTGCCCTAAAAATACCCTTACCATGATTTCAAGATCCTGCGTGACTAGCCTTACCACTGTTTGACAATGAAGATATGTGACCATTGGTACGGGGCATCCAGGCCTCTGTACCGTTTCACTCAGTGAAACCAAGATGCTGCGTTATTCGACCCAGCCCGCATTCATCGCAACGCAGCGCGCTGAGGAGGATAAGCTGCTCGCCCGGTAGCCCAGGCGCCCTCCTTCTATGCGGGTTCCTGACATCGCGTGCAACGAAAAGGCACTTTGGTTGGATGGCTTCAGCAACATACACAACCAACCGACCACAGCCAAAAACCCTGAACCAACAAACACATCACCAGCCATACCATACAGCTGAAATCAGAACCAACCTGCGACATGGCCAAAATCACGCCTCGGGTGAGGGTCCTTTTGCGGGCAGAGGGTTGCTGAGGTGACCTCCGCCCTCAAGAACGACACCAGTGCCTACCACTGGGCCTCCCAGGACTGGGTGAGGGGCTCGAGCGACTCACTGCCATTTCTCACGAAAAACGGCCACAGAGCCGGGGCGGACATTTCTAAAAAATTCCCATGGCCATGACGGGAACTGCAGATGTCGATCGCTCACAGGACCAATTGAAATTGCTGAAATAATGTTGGCTTCGAACCAATGCAAAAACAGAGAATACTCAGAGACCCCCAAACATTACAAAGTCGCCGCCAAAAGAGGCGCGATGAATTAGCACGGTCGGATTAACCTGGAGTTGGCTTGAGGTGGTGTGGAACTGTGGCGCCAACTTGTTGCTCGTCGGTTGCGTCGCAGCCGGCGAAGGGTTTACACGGGGGTGTCTTTTCGCATAGAATCCGTTTTGGGGGTCTTGAGTCTTGAGGCAGAAAGCAGCATGTTTGGGAGGTTCCTCCATTTAGACCAACAAGACATCGAGTTGAAGTCGCCAATAAACATGTAAGCTGCCTTGTTTTTTTTTGGGGGGGGTTCCTCCACTCAGAGAGAAACCAGGAAATCCATGGACCTTTGCATGCTGAACGTGGGGTCAGGAGCTGCGGGACGACCGGGAGCTGTGGCTGCAGGCCGCCGGTCCGGGGGCCGGCAGTCATCTCGAAATGCATCTGACTGTTGGAGGGGGGAAGGGGGGGAGCTTTGCTTGTTGTTGTTTTGTTTGCAGTGTTTCTTCTTTTTTTCCGCGCGCGAATCACATTCTCCACCAGCTTCTCCGGATCACGTCTCGTTTTTCTTCATTTGTTTTGTTCAAGTCATTTTTTCCCCCAAGGTTGTTTCAAAGGGACACCAAGAAACACCGCCCACTGATTTCGTTTTTTTTCTTCTTCTTCTTCTTTATTTTTCTCCCCCGCTGTTTTGGGAGCATGAGACCTGAGCTTGCAGCTCGATGCCCCTGAAGGTCCCTCTATCCACGTGTTTAGGTCCGATCCAAAGCGATGTTTGGGCGCCTTTGGACGCCCAGATCTGCCCGGAGCGGTCGGAGCGCTGGCGCAGCGTGCGCCAAGTCATGGAGGAGGTGTCCAAAGAGGCGCGCGCGCTCGATCGATCGATCGATCGCGCGAGCGCGGTGCGCGGTGTGGACCTGGGTGGCGGCTTCGTTTTGGGTGTCCCTCGATATTTTTTTTCTGGAAGGGATGCCTTTTATGGGAGTCCAGAGCCAAGTCTCTTACGGAACTTGCGCGAAATCGCCCGAAGAGCGGTTGGGAGAGTGTGTACACAGCCGTGGAGGCGGGATTGTGCGAAATGGAATCCGTTTCTGGGTTTGGTTTGGGACCCTCCACCAGCAATCTGCACATTTGGAACTTTCCAATCGACGCCCCGCTGACCTGTGGAAGAAACATGAAGCCTTCACAAGTGGTGTCCTCCAATCATGGAAGCTGACGATCGGAAGGTTCTGTCCACTTCCATATTAGAAAGAGGGTAGGTGCTTCCTTTTTGGAGGTATGCAGTGTATGTGGTTGCTGTTGCTAGGGCGCCTTGCTGCCGATGGTGGGCGACATCCTCGCGAAGGATCCGGAAGCCGGGGCTCTCATGGTGCTGTTCCTTATTCCCGTGTTGGACATCGGAGGGCACGCGTTCTTCTTCGGACAGAGCCCAAAGAAGCACACGGCTTTTTTTCTTGTCACCCTTTGTCCCAATGACCCAACCACAAATGGTGCTTCCTTGTGGGGTGATCGAAACGGGAAGATCGAGAATCCTGTGCACTGTTCTTAGTACGCCGTTTGATCTTTGACTTTGCCCATGTGTTCGAACCTGAAGGCCCAAACAAAGTCGCGGCCCAAGCCTCGGCCCTCGACTTCCCCTTACGCATAGCCCAAAGGGGAACATCGCCGAGTCCAGAAGTCCATGTGTAAACGGGGTGTAGGGCGCAACGCCAATCATCCCTTTGTCCAGAGTGTCATGGCAACCCATGTCATTTGTAACTATATGGGCTTTGCCATGTAACAAAACCACGGACACCTTGCAAACGGATACTCCTGGGTCTGTCACTGAGAAGTTTGTTCCAAAATCAACCTCATCACCCTGTGGTTACACGCGATCCGACACCGCGCCTCGTTAAATTGCATTCGGGCACCTTAGATTAAACGTGATCTCGCCTCGTCGAATGGCTTCTTGGAAAGGGCAAGCTTTGGCTGGTTGATTCGTCCCGCCTGTTTTTGCTTGTCTGCTTGTTTGCTTGTCTGCTGGTACCGTTCAATCCGCAACCGATGGGAGCCCGATGGGAGCCCGAAGCTGGGGAAGTGCCCCAAAAGGGCCTTGTGGCCTGCCCACTTCCTGGTGTGAAAGTAAAATCGAGTCTTTGCAGGCGCAACCCAAAAATCGTGCTTCACTTCGCATGTCCGCCTTTGGCTTGGCTTGAACCCATGCACCCGTTTGGGGTCATATGACGGCCTGACAATACTAGGAGTCTATTGTTAACCTGGGGAGTACACGGGCCGGCCCAATCTCCAGACGACAATCACGACGCACGCAACCTAGTTGCCACACGCTGTCGAATTACACAGAGCATTCCTTGCAAGCCATCATTCAATGCAATGAGTGTGGCAGGGGATGTATGCCATTTGTTCCCGAAACAAAGGCATCATGTCGTCCGGCGTTTTTTTTGGAGACTGCTGCTGGGGTGTACCATTTTCATATTCCTATTGCAGGTCTATATTTGACTGCGCTGTTTTACAGCTTCTGGAGTGGGGATGCCGGCACGTGCAAGAAGAACACCCCCCCTCCCCGCCACGGTTCTGCCTGAAGCAAGAAGGTCTTGTGAACCGCACTCAGTGACCACCCGATCAGGGTATCTCCTATCTACGTTGTGCGCGTGTGTCTGTGTGTGTGTGTCAATGGAAACTGATGAAACTCTGGCCAGTGGATCAAAGCATGAGAAATGAGAATTTGTGAAATGCAACCTCCTCTCCACTGAACCCACCACTCCAGGATGCGGTTTTTGTGGATCCACCCTTGTAGGATAGCAAAAGAGTACTAAAAGAGTATTAAAAGAGGAACAACTAGCCAAACAACATGGGGAAACCACAGAAAGCGCATCCAATCCGTTTGCTGGAACCACAGGGTACATTTTGAAGAGAAATGGGCTTCCAGGACCCCTGAGTCAGGTTCCATGCTCGCGTATACGAGAGGGTATTTGTTGGTTGACTGGTGCAGACTTCTTCCAACGCATTGGTTGTCATGCAGCCGGCTATCACACGAGGAAGGCATTCCTCCTCTTTGAAATGGCTAACACATTTAATCGGGAACGCCCTCAACAACGGTTTGACATAAACACCCATGCAAGCATTCGAACCCCCATTGTGGGTTTGTGTTTTTGAGACCAGGCACATCTCTTGTGGGTTGGTTTAAGGGCAACATGGCATAATTCCATACCCAATGTCCATGTTGAACCCGAGCCTATCCTTCCTTGCTGCCTCGAGGTTGTTTTCCGGGCGGCTGTGCTGGCCTGAGGTTAATCAGCAGCGAGGGCAGCCAAACTTTATGTCCCAGGGCTCCTGGGGGTCGACGAAATTTCTAGCTGGGTGAGTCAAACATTATCTTTGCGGCCTGTGGAGTTGATTCGTTCTGGCGGGGTGATTTTTCAAAGGGACCATATGGGTGGCCGGCTAGAGACACGTTTCTCTACATCGCCTTTTCGGGACTCATTTCAAGACCAGGACACAAACGTCGGCCTGTACAAGCGAGGTGATACACCCAACGCGAGATGATGGCCATTGGTTTCTCGATTTGTTGCTTGCGGCACCTTGAAGTTCAGTTTCAGTCTGAACCTGATTGTCAGCCTCGCTTAAGCAGCCAAAAGCAATTCTTGCGGTTGGCCTTTGCCCAGAACCCCCCCCCCCCCACCACCACCCCGGTTTGGTACCCAGACTCGGCAGCACTGAAAAGCCCTTGGTTGAACAGACTAGCGCGCGTGGACATTTGAGGAAGAGTTTGGCAAAATTGCCCAGGCGTGCTGGGAATGTCTCCATCTTCAATCTTTAATCAAGACACGATTTAAACAGCCTTAGACGGTGCTTTAGGCTGCAGAGAATTGAAGATTTGACAACCAGCATCCTTAGGATCTTGAACTGTTCATTTCAAAAGCGCGCTACAGCGCTTTAAGCCTTTTGGCTTGCGCAGATGCACGGATGGCAAAATGCTCAAGTTTCGGAGATCTGGAAAAAAGGTGGACATGACTAAAAACATGCTGTGAGTTCTACAGTAAGCATTTCCTGCTGATTGGAGCAAGGCGCAGTCATTGCATCATAGCAAGCCCTTGAATCATTGCAACACGTGTTCCAAGTTTGCGGACAATTTTGGAAATTCCACGCATTATCTACAAATGTGTACTTTATTACTCTCAGAACTTCCTGATAATATTCACTCGGGATTCCATAAGACAGAGTCCAAAGCCGAAACAACCGACAAGAACGGAACAAAACAAGAAAACCGACACAACTGGCAAACACCTGCTTTCTTCTGGGAGCAAGGTCGTTTCTCTTGATTTGCTCGGTTTTCTCAGTGTTTTCAGTTTTGGACTCAAAGGGAAGATGTCAGACTGCCTTTTGGACAGTTGACTTCTCAGAGGGAAGTTGCCATTCTTTGGTAGGTGTTCTGGCGGCTGGGGGTTTTGGAGGGGGTCGCATATGTACATATTAATTATACACACATGTATATATATATATATATATACATGTGTATATAAGCATAAATACATGTGCACATGAACCCCTGGCATGACACTCTTGCTTTTTGTTTCCTTGATTACTCAAGTATTGGCCCATGGGGTTCACAAAGCTAAAGTTGAAGAATTCGGCTTATTTCCGGGGATTTGGTTCAGTCAGTGGGCCGGACGAACTTCAAGCGCCACTCGACATGGAGCTGAAACAGACCTTTCGAGAGATAACAAGTTTGACGCCTGCCCATCCAAGGGCAACGGGCCCATCCGGTTGAGGTGCTGCAAAGATTGTTAGAGTCCGTGAGTTGACGCCGAAGTTCCTTTCACGCAGCAAAAAGGTGTCCTTTTTGAACAGTAAGCAGCAGAGACCTTTGCACAACAAATGCCTTTCCGCAATTCTGGAGGTCCTGCGCGTCCACAGTGATTGCCGCCGCATTTGTCAGGAGAAAACACATCAGGACACTTCTCCCGCCGCTTTGAGGTGCAAAACCCTTCGGTGCTGCGCGACGCCCCAGAGCTGCGGAACGACACCGAGTTCGTCTTGCGGGTGGCTCAGCAGGCGCGAAAGGGCTGCCAGGCGCCGCGAAAGGGCAGCTTCCCACCGTTCTTTCCGGGGGTCCTTCTTTTCAGGAAACCATCAACAACCCAGAAGAAACAGCCGGTTTTTGAAAAGAAGGATGGTTGAAAATGACCGCACATCCACCTCAAGAATAGGTACAGGTTTACTAGGGATGGTCCAAAACCAATCTTTCTGCGATGTTTGGCGTGTTGCACCACACCTTGTTTCTTTTCTTCTTTTTGTGGGGCGGCTAGTTCGTGCTGATGCTTGACTCAGATCTTGCCATCGTGCCTCTGGAAGCGGAATTGGCATGATGATTGAGCGGTTCTCGACAAACACCGTGTATGTGTACACATGCATATATGAACCCAGTTTCGGGGATAAAGATAAAGCCTAGCTGTCTGCTGCAGCTCGTCTAGTTTAGCTCTGTTCTCCGGAGCCCCCGTGCCCCCTTTGTGGTGGGAGGTTCGGGAATCAGAAGTGGTGTGGTGTCTGCCTGAGCCTTGAGGCCAGCCCGGCTGTGACAGCCTCCTCAAGGCTTCTTACTTTTGGAGTATTTATCTGACGCTTCTCATATCTTGCGCTGAGAGCCAAGGTGCCTTAATTTTGCAACGAACTGTTTCGTTCCCAAGGCCGTTCTTGTCAGTGACAAGGGCAGGGGCTGGCATGGCTTTTCTCTTACCGCCTGGTAAGCTTAGGGAAGCCTCTGAAAAGCACCCCATGTAAAGGGAAAGCCTTAAGGGGCAAGGGGGCATTTCCTGACGTGCGGGCTTGGCGGAAGTAGTAAATGTCGGGCCCCTTTTCCTTCGGCCTGGAAGCATCCTAGGGAAGGGTCCCATGAACCGAAATGCGAAAAAGAGATAGTTTCCCTTCTTGAGGGATACAATTTAATTGGCAAAATTCCGACATGCTGTGCGCAGAAAAGGAAAGGCGGCCATTTATACATATACTATATATGTATATAGACACACATGTTACATTGTAATATATTTGTTGCTCTGTATACACAAAAATATACATATATATATATATATAAAGATATCATATACACGCGCCATGTACGTTGCTTCCCTTCAGCTTCTCATTGGTTCCCCTTTGGTTTCTCCATGTTTTTTCAGCCAAGCCTTCGCCAGGACTTGAGAGCGCTGGCCTTTGCGCCGGAGTTGTCACGTGAAGCCGGGGCCCAAAAGGCGACCGGCTCGCGGTTCGTCTGGCTGCGGTGGGCCCTCCAATTTTTTGGTGTAACCCGTAGAGGAGAGCGCCTTCAGTTTTGGTGTTACCCCTCAGCTTGTTTTGGTTCCCGTGCCAGCTTGGAGAAAGGCCGCTTTGGATATGGAACTCCTGCAAGCGTGATGGTTGTGTGTGAGCGTCTTGATGTCAAAAATGCATCTTGATGCACATCAGGTGTTCAGACTGGATCGGACTGGACCAGGTCATGATGGAGAACTGTCAACTTGAAGTAAACCTTGTGACTGCAGTACTGAGAGGAATTAGTTGACATGAATCTGCACTCATCATGGCAAGCTCACCTTGGGGTCAACACAAGCCCACCGAAGGAGGTTCCTTCAAAGCAACGTATATCTATATACATTCACATATATAATTTTATATTAAAACAGGTGGCGCAGATGTGAATTGCACTGGGGGGACCATCTTAGCTTCAGGGCTTGAACCTAAAGGGCAGAGGTGCAGGGTGCCAGCCTTTTGGCGTTCACAAGTCTGCCAAGTCGTGGGATGCCAAGCGCCGCAAGGGAACCCTGTCGACCCATGGTCCATTCGTAGTGCCAAAAGATGATGCTGTGTTATTTTGTTGGTCTTTTGGATGCAGAACTCATGGCTTCACAAGATGCAGCAAGCAGATTCATTTTACTATCGCTGCACATTGCACTAGCGAGATCAAGTTGGGTTCACTCCAAACCGCATGGATTCTTCCAACAACGGGGGCCAAAGAGGGCCGCGTCAGTGAGTCAGTGAGTCAGTGAGTCAGTGAGTCAGTGAGTGAGTCAGTGAGTCAGTGAGTCAGTGAGTCAGTCAGTCAGTCAGTCAGTCAGTCAGTCAGTCAGTCGGTCAGTCCGGCTTGCAAGCCCGTAGGCGGCCCATTTAGAGAGCAGCTTGCAAATGCATTCGTATCGAAGTATAGGAGACATGAGCACATCGTTTCTTTCACTTCTTGCTCAATAGCTGTTTGGCTTATAGTATGTCCACGAGCTCTACGCCGTGCACCAAGTGCAGGAGCACGGGTGCTGGCGAAGGAGACTCGTGGTGCCTGGGGTGCCAGGCACTTGAAGCTGGACAAGGGGTCCTCCGCCAGCTTCTTTTCAGGAGCCCATCGGCGCCTTGCTGAGGAGATCTTACTGCAAGCGGTCCGTCAGGTCAAGGCTACCAAGGAGTTGGACACCTCCTTGAGTGGGCTCAACCAGGCTTGGAACGCAAAGCTGAAGAGCGCTGGCCAACACAGACCTCCTCTACCTCGTGGTGCTCCACTTCATCGTGGATTTGAAGGAGTAAAGGAGGAAGTGGTAGAGGGTCCAACTACGCCTCCCCGGGCTGAACGGGACCAATCGCAGGCCTCAGGGCCACAGGAAGAAGAAGAGGAGTCAGGTGAGTCTGAGGCCACTTCAAGTCCTCGAAGGATTTCAGTGTCGCAGTGCCTGGCTGCCAAGTCTCGGGCAGCCTCTCCGAAAGACTCCAAGGAGGTGGAAGAAGAGCGTGGCAGAGACTGTCGGAGAAGGCGTGAGTCCAGTCAGTCTTTGGAGCGAAGGCGGCCTGTCAAAAAGAAGCGTCTTGGACATCGTGGTGGTTCAAAGCACCAGCGTCACTACAGGGCCTTGGCAGACCCGAGTGTTCTTACTCATCGGCCCCTGAAGGCAGAAAGCTTACGTCTTGCTCCTCGTGGCGAAGGGCGGCGAGAGGCAGACCGGGCGGCAAGACGCCTGGCAGAGCAGGTGAGGAGGAAGGATGGATGCCCTCTCCGAGCCCTTTGGAAGAGGCTGGGGAGGGAGAATCCGCATCGGATGGACGAGGAGTGAAGCGGAAAGCGCCGCCAGACTCAGGAGAAGGGGCTTTTCCTATCGAGGCGGAAGAGATGGACAGCCATCTCGTTACTTTCTGGAGAAGGGGTTTGCTCCCTTTGGGAAGTGTCCTCACTTTTCAACTGGAATCGGGCCTGGATCGTCCCTCAGAGTCGCCGTGCATCGTTGCGGTGCTGGTGACGGATGTGGAGGAGGAGATGGCTGGTTTCCTGATAACCCCCCGTTTTTTGGGGTCAACAGAAAAGTGGGGAAAAGATTGGGCCGTTCAAACTTTCAGCAGAAGAAAGAAGTTGGTGGTGGTCAGCAGAGGGCAAAAATTTGCAGGCGAGGATCCCCGTTTCGGTTTTGTAGGAAGCCAGTTTGTCTACTGGCCCCCGGGGCATTTCGCGGAAGGCTATGCGGAAAAACGCAACATGAAGGAGTCGGTACAGTTCCTCAACGACCTGAAAAAGAGCGCGACAGGACCTGCGGCAGAGGCCAGGCCCGCTCGGCCAGGAGCAGCGCACCCCGAGGAGGGTGCCGAGGAGGCACTGGCCTCTTTGAGAAGAAGGCTAATGGAAGGCAAGGTGAAAAACATTGCTGCGCCTGGGAGGTCCGTTACCTTCGATCCCAACTTGGAGGACGTCCCCAGGAGGAGTGCTCTGAGAAAAACTCCTCAAGTGAAGGTCGAACCAGTGGACCTGCTTTGCGTGAGCTCTGGAAGCGAATCCCGGACAAGGGGTCGCAGCCGACGGCCCCGTTCGGCTGGCCGCCGTCAGTCAGTGGGGAGTGCCCTGGTTTTAGCAGCCGAACGTTTCCAGCGGACCGGGGCGGGTCGGTTGAGCGATCCCATTCTCTCCCAGTCCGCACCTCAATACACGAGAAAAAGACCAACACCTCCGAGGAGAAAGAGGCAAAAGAAGAAGAAGAGAAAGAGGTCCAAGCAGATTTCGTCTGGGTCATCCTCACAATCCAGCAGTGGCAGCTCCAGCCCGTCAGAGGTGAAGCCGCCTTTGCAGAAAAGGTCAGATCGCAAACCGGGCTCCATCTTGAAGATGCTGATGGGGCACGTCTAAGCCTCCCTCTCCGAGTCCGCTTTGGGAAGCGCTGGAGTCGGGGGCGACGGATCGGTGGTGTCCTCTTCAGCACGGGTCCAATCCTACTTCCAAGTGATGCTCAGGCCGAGCCTTGCCAATCGCGGCCGGGACGAGAAAGAGCTCTACACGCTGGCTGTCGCTCTCGACACCTTGCGTTGTGGGAACTTGGAAAGGCTGTCCGACATTTTGGCCAGCAGGTTCTTAGCGGTCGAGACGGCAGCTCTGGAGGGGGATTGGAGCGTGGCGAAGTACCTCGAAGTGAGTCGGCTGCCTGGGAAGGGGGCGGTGTCAGACGGACTCCTGCTGGAAGCGAGGAAGCATCGTCGCTTCGTAGACCGTGCCTCAGGGAGAGGAAGCTACCCCGCGTTTGGCGATGGCTCCTGGAGCCAGAGAAATCACGGTGGTACCGAGTCTTGGAAAGGAGATCCAGGAGGAGGTTTCAGAAATCGCCAGCAGAAAGGAAAGAAAGGCCACGGAAAAGGAGTTGGAGGAAAGAAAGGCAAGCAAGGCTGGAAGAAAGAGGAGGGCGCAAAAGGAGGAGACAAGCCCCTTCAACCCGTCAGAGGAGAAGAAGTAGGATCTCTTGAGGATGGTCGCCTTCCGGGCATCTCTGAAGAGGTGCTGGAGGATGTGGACTCCTTAATTAAAGGTGCAAAGGTGTCAGCTGGCCAGGCTGTTTTTGAAGGCGGTTTTTGGGCCCTCAGCCCCCTTTGCTGGCTGATGACCGGGAGGAGTTTTCCTTGCCAAGGAGAGCAAATCATCCTCCTGAGCCTCCACGTGCCGACCCTGAGCTTTCTTGCGAAACCAGGGGCACGGCTGTGGTGGTTTTTGAGGAGCAGTGGATAGCTTGGCTGGAATCATGTACAGACTTGAAGCAGCTGGGGCCAGGCCTGGTGTGGGGAATGGTCAGAGGTTATTTCTGGAAGGGTATGGAAAGCTTTATCAAAAAAGCCGAGCTCTTTGCAACTTTCGTTGCCTCTCAAAAGACCTCAGACCTTTTCCCTCTGCCGATTAACTATAGTTTTTCAAAACTTTGCAATGGCCGTCTCAGGAATTTCCCCTGGCATGTTCACAAGGTGCCTGGGAAATCTTGGCGAGGGTTGCTTTGAATCAGCTCTACGGCTGTGCTGGGCCCTATCCTTCTGACAGGCGTGGCCGAGCCGTTCAAAAAAGCTTAGACCTGATTGCAGATAGGGCTCCTCGTTTTTTGGAGCAGGATGTATCTTCACAAGAGTGCTTATCAAAGGTTTGGGAAGATGTCAAACAGAAAACAGTCAACTATACCGGAGAAGAGGTGGCTGTTGCGCAAAAACTAACTCTGGACCAAATCGAGAAATCTATGCCACCACCTGGCCATGGGGGGAGCGTGGAGTTGGCTCCGCTTTTGGAAGGGCGCACCAGGTTCTTGATTGAGCACCCAGAGGAAGTCCTGCTCTCAACCCCCCCGGACCTCTGCTACCCCCGCACAGCCAAGGTACATCTCCAGAAGGGAGAAGAAGTTAGCATCTTCAAGCTCATGGCCGAGAGGGGAATCATCGCCTACGTGGACGAGGGCGAGGCCTATGCAGATCAAGGGGGAGCTTATTTGTCTGGGCTTTTTGGAGTCCCCAAACCAAACAAGCTCAGTGCCCTCAACCGCGTGGTTTTGCGGGTCATAATGAACCTTATTCCTGTGAACAGGGCCATGGATGTTGTCCTGGGAGACATCCAGGCACTCCCAAGTGCATCGGCCTGGATGCGTTTGGTGCTGGATGGCTCATCCCAAATTTCCATTTCTCAAGCTGACATGAGTGCAGCCTTTTATCTTTTTCGTTTGCCCTCAAGCTGGTGTAAGTATCTCTGCTTCAACTATAAGATTAGGAGGAGTGACCTGGGATTGAGCGTCGGCGCTGGGGAATCTGACTTTGTCTTCCCCGCGTACCGCGTCCTCCCAACGGGTTGGTCGTCTTCCGTTGGGCTCATGCAACAAGCTAGCAGGGAATTGGTGAAACGTGCCCGTCCAAATCTGGGGCATGAACTTCGTGGCAACTCACTGGTCCCGGATTGGTTCATCAGGGCACCCCAAAATTTCCGCACCTCGGAGTCCTGGTGGCAAGTGTACCTTGATAACTTCATGGCAGCTGAAGTAGGAACAGCTTCAACAATGAGAGGACAAGACATGGATTTACACCGGCTTGCTGTTTCTGCCTGCGCTGAAGATAAGCATGTCCGCGGTGCTTCGCAAGCGGTGGAGCTGGGCGTGCTGATTGACGGGCGTCGCAACCTCATGGGAGCCTCTGGAAGCCGGCTTGCAAGGACCGTACTGGCATCTCTAGCTCTGATTCGGCGAAGGCAAGGAACCGTGAAACAGGTCCAGATCATCTTGGGGAGGTGGATTTTTATCCTTCAGTTCAGGAGGGCAGCAATGAGCGCCTTGAGCCGAAGCTGGGACTTCATCACCTCTGCTCAGCGCTGGCAGCATTGGCCTCGTGTCTGAGTTTGCTTATCTGGCTGACCCCACTTCTGCAGTTTGACCTTGCCATCCCCTTTTCGGACATGGTGACCTGCTCAGATGCTTCAGAATCTGGGGGCGCTATGGCTGTGGGGCGTTCCCGCAGCTTGAGTGGGCAAGACTTGGCCTCACGGCTAGAAGATGAGTCGCGTGCACCCCTCATGGGGGAGGTGCTCGTGATCTCTGCCTTCAACGGGATCGCAGGCGCCTTTCGGGCCTACGATCTTTTGGGCCTTCAACCTGCAGCCATGATTAGCATCGAAATCGACCCGGCGGCCTGCCGGGTGGTCGCAAGTGGTGGCCGCACGCTATTGCAGTCTGGACCTAGCTTTGGTCAAACACTGGGCAAACCTTTTCTCTCGAGTTACCCACGTCGTGGTTTGGGGGGGCTTTCCCTGTGTGCATCTGTCGTCCGCCCGCTATAGTCGCCTAAATTTGGAAGGAGAAGGCAGCAATTTGTTTTACCAGCTGGAGCAGGTAATCAAAGATGTGGAGAACGTGTTCAGCCAGCAGGCCAGAGTAGACTTTGTGGTGGAAAACGTCTTTTCCATGGATGTGGATGCAAGGCACCAGATCAGCTCTTACTTGGGGGTCAAACCGCTTAAGCTCGACCCGGCAGATTTTACCCCCATGTCGCGTCCCCGTCTGACTTGGGTGTCCTTCGAAGTTCAGGCCATGGAAGGCGTCACACTCGAGGACATGGGAGATTATGTCCAGGTTAGCATGGATGGTTTCCAAACTGGAAATCATGGGTCCAAAGTGGCTGGCGGCCCACTGAGGAAGGGATAACCTATCCCACGTTTATGAAATCTATCCCCCGGAAAAGAGCTCCGCCGAAACCTGCTGGCGTTGCAAGGTGCGATGCTGTGACTCTGGAGCGGTGGGAATCAGACGAATTCCGAATGCCGCCCTACCAGTACCAGTACCAATTTTTATTGGAAAATTCAGAAGGTGATCTGCGACTCCTGGGGCCACATGAGCGTGAGCAGCTGCTCGGACTGGGCCTCGGGGCCACGAAATTTTGCTTCAGTGCCAGTGCTATAAAGCAACATCCTCGGCTGTATTTTGACAAACGCCTTTCCCTCCTTGGCGATGGCTTTTCCATGCTATCCTTCGCTTGGGTTGCTGGGCAAGCACATCGTCATTGGCAAAACCTCTCTCCCCTCAGGAAATCGTGGACCGCTTCGGCCTGGCACCGGGTGCAACCGCAGGTGCTGGCATTAAGGTTCCACTTGGTCCGCACCTCCAATACGGCGGGACTGGAGTGTGTGAGCCGGGATCCCTGGTAAGGCAGCTTAGCCGACACGTGGCGACAAATGGTTCAGACGTTTCCCTGACGCTGGGGGCCCCTTTCTCAAAGAAGCTCCCAAACCATTCGTCTGTTCGCGCAGCTTGGTGGCACTGGCAGGTGTTGTTCACTACGAAATGGAAATTTGCCAACCACATTAACGCTTTGGAAATGAGAATGATTTTCCAATCTCTTCTGTGGAGAGCCCGCAACCCTGCCAACTTTCATAAAAGATGGATGCATCTCACTGACAGCATGGTTTGCCTCTACATTCTCTCAAAAGGGAGGACCAGTAGCCGTCTCCTACAGCCCCTGGTTCAGCAGCTGGGTGCTTTGCAACTTGCCATGAATGGGCTCCAATTGCTCGCCCACGTGGACTCTCAGGAAAACCCCACGGATGCCGGGAGCAGAACATAGGGCCATCATTGGTGGGCGCACCCGCGCACAGCGCCAAAGAGCGCGGGCTGGGATCTGCCTGCGCGATGCCGGCATCACAACGCAAACCCGTCAACGATATTGGGCGGGCGTGAAACTTTTGCTGCCCATTATCAAAGACGCAAGTTGTCTTGAGCAGTTGGGAAGTATTACCGAAGAGTGGGTCGAGTTACAATGGCACAATGGCTCCACTTTGGGGAGTACTGGTGACTGCCTTTGTGGCTTGCAGTATTGCTGGGCAGAAACAAAGCCCTGCCTGAAGGCGGCTTGGCGACTCTACAAAATTTGGCGTAAATTGGAGGTGCCTTGTCGTGCGCCACCTTTGTCTGCCACTATTGTCCAGGCCATGGTGGCCGTGTTGGTTTCTGCAACAGAAACTGCGGCTGCATTTCTTATAGCTCTAGGTTTTCACGCCTATCTTCGCACCGGCGAACTCCTGAAACTCCAATTCCGTGACGTTTGGTCTCTTAGGTGACGCTGGAGTGGTTACGGTGCGCGCTGGGAAGACTGGTCGTCGCCATGACGTTAATGAGGCAGTGGCAATCTATGACCCTTTGGTTCGGGAGCTGGGTCATCTTACCCGCTTGCTTCCGCATGCCAATTTGAAATCAAACCGGGTTTGGCCTGGTTCTGCCCACTCTTTTAGACGCCTCTTCCTCAATACCATCAAACAATTGCACATCACTGACCTTGGCTATAAGCCTTACAGTCTCCGTCGTGGAGGGGCAACGCACGACTTTATGACAAAAGTTTTAGAGCCGAGGTCGGTGGCACAGCTTGGCTGTGGCCCGACTGTATATTGAAGACGGTTTGGCCCAGGTTCCTGCGTTGCAATTGTCACCTGCCACCACTAAACGCATTCAAATGTTAGCCCACCCTTTCCGCGCCCTGTTTTCTTGACAACATCGGTGTGCTTGGAAACGTGGAAGGGCTGGAAGGGACGTGCTGACAGCAAGGACATGCCTCGTGTCCTTTTGTTTGCAAACAGTGACATGCCTGGTGTCACTTTTAAGAGGCAGGGCGTGCCTGCGCCCTAGCTTGTGCAAACTTGAAAAAAGGCGTTGAATCGCCTCTGGCCTTGGTAGCCAATCAAAGTGGTGGCTGTTTCACAGCATTACAAAAGCCCACAGGGCTCGGCTGAAGAAAAGGATGCCGCTGCGTGGATCCTATGCATTCGTATCGAAGTATAGGAGACATGAGCACATCGTTTCTTTCACTTCTTGCTCAATAGCTGTTTGGCTTACCCGGCCCGGCCCACCCGTGCACCGCATTGCTGTGCTGGAAGGGCTGGAAGGGACGTGCTGACAGCAAGGACATGCCTCGTGTCCTTTTGTTTGCAAACAGTGACATGCCTGGTGTCACTTTTAAGAGGCAGGGCGTGCCTGCGCCCTAGCTTGTGCAAACTTGAAAAAAGGCGTTGAATCGCCTCTGGCCTTGGTAGCCAATCAAAGTGGTGGCTGTTTCACAGCATTACAAAAGCCCACAAGGCTCGGCTGAAGAAAAGGATGCCGCTGCGTGGATCCTAATACAATCACGAATGTACACTTCACAACCTAGAGCAAAGGCCGGAGAAAAGCGTTTTGCCAGCTGGCCTATCCATGGCCTCCCCCGAGCCCTTGGGCCGTCAAGATTGCACACCAGGATCCACTTGACCCAGCTCGCAGCCCAAACGTGGCTCCCCCAGTTGAAATACAGGGACCAGTGAACTTCAGCGGATTTTCGGGCGGAAAGAGCCTTTTGTAAAGAGGAGAGTAGTTTGCTAGGTCAGGAGCAACCCCTCGATCTTTCAAGAAACTTTGGTAAAAACCCTGCTTGGCAGGTCCTGAAACTTGACAGACCAGGCAGACCTGACTTCAAGGGGTTCTGACACCCGGGGATAGAGGTCATGGGTTGATTTCCAGATAGCACTTTGCTCTGTTGGACCAGGGTGAAATCTCAGGGTTGCAAACATCCTCGGAACGTGACCTGGTCCACCCGCGAAACTACCAGGGTGTCCTTTGTCTATCCCAAAATGGTGATGTCGTTTTCGGGCAGCTTTTGTTGTAACTCCCCTTCAATTGGCACGGGCCTGGGCATGTCTGAGCCTGTTTGCCCTTTTGCGCATTTGCTTCCTTGGTGGCTCCCAGCCATCCCCGTAGCCTTTTAGCCTTTCGTGTTTAGTGGTAGTTTCCATTTAACCCACAAGTTATTCACTTTTAGCGGGGCATCTGAGGGCAGCCCAGTTTCGGTTTCCATTGCTAAATTCTATCCAGCAAGTTCCCTCTTTCTTTGCCGGGCTTTTCTCATCTGGCTGAATCCGAGGTCGCCCTGCAGGCGCTGCAGATCAGCGGCAATGCTCTGGAGTACCTGCCGCAGGACTGGCTCCAGACCGATTTGTGACATGGCCATGCGGGAACACCAATGGTACCATTTTGGGGTAGGTGCACCACCCATGTTAGAACCTATTTTAGTGGGGATTGGGATGCTCACTGGGTGTATGGGGTTTTGACCCATAGCCACATGAGTGAATGGGTGTCCTTTGTGGGGACACGGTTTTGGGTGGTGTTGAAGGGACAATCAAGGGAAGCCCAGCTTTCTGGATGGCCCATCTTGAGACAAAGCTGACTAGTAACTCACCCCAAACGACCAGAGTTTTGTGTGGTTGAACGTGGCTGGTCGACGTGCTACACATTTGGAGAATCTACTGACGGACATGACATGACTCCGGAAACAACTGATACGTTTCAGAAATCAATCCTCCGACTGTCTGGGTGCTTCATGGCTTATATTTGTTGATTTCCCCACAAGGAAACGAGACTGGGGGGGGGGGGGGGGGGGGGGGGTATTTGTTTTTCACCCCCAGACTCTGTATGTGTATATATATATATATGCATTCATGTGTATCTATATATATATATATACAAATACAGCACGAAGGAGTTCTCGGTTTTGATGCCCCGCATCTACCTCGATTCCACAAACCTGGCTGGGGAGCGCATAGGAGCTGCGGGAGGACAAAGCCCTGGCCCGGGCCCGAGCGAGCGTTGCGGTGATGTTCTCCACTCAACCCCTCCCACTGGGGGTTTGGTAACCACTGTCATCCCTTTTTGTTGGGTTCCCGGGCAACCCAAGGCTGTTTAGTTTTTGGCTGCGTGACAGGGGGAATGGTCCGAACTCAAGCCTCGCAAGGTCTCGAGCCTTCGTGTTAAGGGTGGATCTCTTCCCAAGTTTCATCAACAGCCTAAGTCATGGACAGGTAATATGGCGGAAACTGGTAGTGGGTAATTCTCAAAATAGGGTCTCCGTTGCTGGATTATTGTCAAGGGGAGACCAAAAGCACTGAATTTTGAGAAACACCCCATACATTGCAAACTCAAGAGTTTCGTGGATATGTGTGTGGGGTTCGGGGGCTGAATAACTTTCAATTGTTCATGGGTTCCTTTCCGCCCAACTAAAGACATCTTAAAAGCTGTGGTTTCCCGAAAGAAGCACCGACAAAAACAACCTTCACAAGATCGATGAATTCCAGGCAGGCCCACTGCAGTTTGTTTGGTTTCTGGGGGAGCCTACCCTGGAACCCACCAGAAGGTCTTATACCATGAGGGCCTATAACTAGATGGGGCTATGGTCGTTCAACCAAATGAGTCAGCCCCTTACACCACTCCCCTCTTTGTCTGATTCGAGTTTGAACATCGCCTTTTGCAAAGGTCATTTTGCTTCCTGCTGGTTTCTGATGCTTAGAAGGGGCAACTGTGAGGACCCCAGAGTGAGCCTTTGTCAAATCCATGGGTTGCCTAGTGCTTGCAAGCATGGGCTTGGGCATATCGTCTACACAAGTAGCCTTCCAGAGAATCCTCCAATTACCAAACCTGAGCCACAATCACAACCGCTTCGGGTCGGGGAAGATCAGCAGGACTTCCGTTTCTGGTCTTCGTTGGAACTGCCACATCGTCCACAACATCCTCAAGGACTTGCTGAACTACTGCGGCGCATACCTCTTCGAACCGACTACTGGGAGAATCACACCGTTTTGATCAACTACGTGATGACCCACAATTGTGCATCCCGGCTATGAGGCAATCGAGCACTACCTCTCCTACTATCAACACACTATTGATTATTTACATGCTTTTCGGTAGCTAGTCTAGACCGCTTTAGTACCGGGTTCTCGGTTGTGACTCACATAGGTGACAGTTTATGGTGCACCATATGAGGTTCACTTTTCCCCCAATCTGCATAATTCACAAGCTGGAAGCAAACATGCCTCGGACAGCCTTTTCTGGCAAAAGCAACATTTCGTTTAGCACTCCTCAGGTAATCCTTAGTTGGTGGTTTGGATTGGTAGTTGCAAAATAGACCCTAAGTGTCCATCATACCACCCCACCCTACCCCCCTCTACCTCCCTACCCCCCCTGCCCCCCTGCCCCCCTACCCCCCTACCCCCCTACCCCCCTACGCCCCCCTACGCCCCCTACGCCCCTACGCCCCACCCCCTACCTGCCCCACCTCCTACCCTCCCCCCCTCCCTTTTCCAAGACGCGCCATGCGGGTCTACCGTAGACGAGTCCTGGCGAGCCTCGCGAGGTGCTCGGAGCAGTGCAGACCACCGGCACGGCGCTTGCCTTCGCCGGGGAAGACTTGAGAGCCGACCCGGAGGCGAGAGCCAAGGGAGAGAGCCCCAGTTTCTCAGTCTGTCAGTAAGTATGTAAATAAGCAAGTTAGTTGGTTAGTTTGTTGGTTGGTTAGTTAGTTACTTGGTTAGTTAGTTACTTGGTTGGTTAGTTAGTTACTTGGTTGGTTAGTTAGTTAGTTAGTTGGTTGGTTGGTTGGTTGGTTGGTTGGTTGGTTGGTTCGTTCGTTCGTTCGTTCGTTCGTTCGTTCGTTCGTTCGTTCTTTCGCTCGTTAGTTAGGCTGTCAGTTAGTTAGTTAGTTAGTTAGTGAGTGAGTGAGTGAGTGAGTGAGTGAGTGAGTGAGTTAGTTACTTAGTTAGGTTGTCAGTTAGTTAGCTAGTAAGTTAGTTAGTTAGTCAGTCAGCTAGTTAGTTAGTTAGTTAGTTAGTTAGTTAGTTAGTTAGTTGGTTCGTTATTTCGTTCGTTCGTTCGTTCGTTAGTTAGTTAGTTAGTTGGTTCGTTCGTTTGTTCGTTCGTTAGTTAACTAGTTAGTTAGTTGGGTTGTCAGTTAGTCAGTCAGTCAGTCAGTTAGTTAGTTAGTTAGTTAGTTAGTTAGTTACTTGCTTACTTACTAACTAACTTGATTAGTTAAGTATTTAATTAGTAAGTTAGTCAGATAGTTAGTTAGTTAGTTAGTTGGTTATTTTTGTTTGAAGGAACACACTGTTTGTTTGCCTGTTTGGCTATTTGTTTGTTTGTCTGTTTGTCTGTCTGTCTGTCTGTCTGTCTGCCTGCCTGTCTGTCTGTCTGCCTGTCGTCCTTTTTGGCATGTACCCCTGAGGGTGTAGCCCTTGATAGTTTCACTCCATTCCCTTGAACGTAGACGAATTCGGCCGGTGAATCAGTTTGGTTCTCATCATTTACTAGTGCCATGTATACTCCCAAACGATTTAAACGACACCTAGCTTGGCTGCCCTTCAATCAGATTCCCTTTGAACTGTTTTTTTTGAAACTTTCCTTGAGGGGTGCCTTTGCTTTCCTTTTAACCAGTGAAATTTTGGGACAGTCTCAACCAGAAATTGATACGGCTCAATGGTTTTGGGTAGGCCCCCTTGCCAGGTGTTGGCTATGACCCTGTTCCACATTCTGGGTCGCTTGAAAGCCATTTTGGAACATATCGGAAACATGCTTTCACTATCCGGGAAGGCTCTTCTTTTGAAACACATTGTTCATGTCAATCAAAAGGGGCACATCATGTTTGATTGTTTTTCAAAGGGACCCCAACTTAAAGATACCATGTCTGGCTTCTCTTAGATCATCAACCCCACGCTTTGGACATGCACAAGTCACCAGGCGGGACGGTCCTTTGTTGACAACCTTCGATTGGCCCAGAAAAGGTGCCCCCAAATTGCCAAGATGCTGCAGACATTGGACAAATCCAACGTTTGTTTGGATGGTGGCGCAAGAAAGGCGCCGGGGCGCGGGGGGGGGGGGTCTTTTTTAGCCACCATGTCAAGAAACACCTTCACCTTAGTTTTGAAATGGGGGGTTCTCAACCTCTGGTGGATGATTTTCTTTTGGGTTTCCTTTTTACAACCAGTCAAAAGTGGTGCCTCGGTTTTAAAATACACTTCACTTTTGGAGGGCGCAACCCTAACAGAACGGGTTTATTAAGGTTGTTTTTCCAAAACAAATACCCAGTCAAACCAACGGGATCACAAAGTGTCCACAACTCCGGAGCCACGACGGAGCAACCCGAGGAAGGTTCGCCAAAGGAAGGTTTGAACTGGCTGCAACATGTTCTCAACGTTCTAGGTTAAACCGGACCCTTTGGCAAATGTACCAACCCATCAACGCTAGATTTACTAGGATTTTGCAAGGGAGACCCGCAAGAGCATCAGTAAGCCCCAACTTAAGGTGTGCACCGGCCCCTCCCCCCCCCCCTATCCACCCCTCAACCCCCAACCCCCCGAACCCCTCACCCCTACCCCAACCTACCCACCCCACTACCCCCACCCCCCACCCCGCCCCCTTGGAGGTGGTCCTCGCGGCCTGCGCCGCGGACCGCACGGCGCTGCTCTACGCGGCGCCGGAGCTTCGCCGGGACAAGGCGCCTCGAGGGGGGCAGGGGGTCCTGGACCACCTCTCCCGCGGGGAAAATGCGACCGGAGGTGGATGATTCGTTTGTTGGTTCAAGGGCAAACGCTGTTTTTGTTTAAATATATTTTTTCCAGAAGAGGTGTGGAATGAGTTGTTGGTTGAAGTTTCGGAGGCGACCGTGGGAAGGTCAACGACGTTTGCTTTGTTTTGCCGCAACTCTAGTTTCATAGGGACCCACAAAAATGAGATGGTGCTGAACAAGTCGGAGTGACTGGGACCTCTCCAATGCCATCATTTTGCAGTGGTGCGCCTTTGCACTAGGCGCTCTTCTTGGGGTGGTTTGACGTGATTGGAAGGCAGCATGAATTCGATCGACTTTTTTTTAAAGAAACAATAACCTTCAGTGACTTATTGAATCATGGGGGGCCGCATGGCTCGGTTTCAATCCAAGTTGGATGCATTTAGTTTCCGCTATCGGAACTGAGGGAGGGCATGGATGCTGGAGGTGGGGCTCTTGGATTTTTTGCCTTTTCAAAGGCGCAGTTTTTTTTTTATTTAAATTATTTTTTCGTTCCCTTCGGCGGCTTTACAACATCCTTTTGGGCCCCCTGTACGGTGAGTTTTTTCTGTTGGTGAGATGATAATTTTTCAGTGGGACAATCGGACTGTGAAAGCCGAGACCGGCGAATCAGTAGGGCACAAAACTGTGGCAGGAGGAAAAGCCATAGAATAAGCCCTGGCCTTGTTTGAACAGACAGATGGCCTTGTTGGAGCCTGTGCTTGCAAGTAAACTCGCCTATGATGACCATGAGCAGTTCGCATGTCTGGTTGCTTGTTTCTGGTTGTTGCTGGGGGGCCTCACTAGCCTTCCAACAAAAGCCAAGGGATAAGGGATCTCTAAGTTTCCCGGTAGAGGAAACAAGTGACTTTCACCGGCTCCCGTCAAAACAGATGCGGGAGAGAAGTTCCAGGCGCTGAATATTATGGCTTGCTGTTTAGTGAGTTTATCCCCAAAATTGGGATCCCTACTTCAAAATCATTCACATGTCAGGGGGCCTGCTCTGCAAGGTTCACATCCATGTTTCTTCTGAAAAGCCACTACATCCCTCCGCGCTTTGTTTCCGAACCCGTGCTTCAGAATAATTGAGAATAGCTGCAACTTTGTAGCTACAACTTTTGGGGGCATTGGATTCTCCCGGTGTATCACCCGAAAATCTCGTGGAACTCCCACGGTGACTTTCCACGCCCGGAGACATGCGTGGGTCGGTAGGCCGTGTGGCTCTACAACGGAGCTACTCCCCCCTCCTTCGATCCGCCGGAGGCGGGTTTGCTCCATCGATCAGTTTATATGCCTACCAATGGGATCCCATTTTGGTTGGTAGGTGAATTCACCACCCATTTTAGAACCTATTTTAGTGGTTGGATTCACTGGGGGTGCGATTTGGATTTTGACCCATGGCCAGATGGGTGCGTGCTTTTTCAGGGGACCCTGAAAAACCTGATAAATCATCCAACTGGTGGTTTTCTTTAAGGCAATCCCTAGAATCATTGCCGCATTCCCTGCTGAGCGCCAGCAAGAAAAGGGGGATTTCCGCTTGGTTTCCCTGGAAAGCAGCAAAAAGGGTGCCCTTAAGAAAAGACACACAAATATTTATAGACCCGAACCACAGAGTTTTCTTTGCATATTTGCATACACTCGCGGGCCTTGGGAAGGCCCCCCTTTTTCTTCCTATCGCCAATCGGCAAGTATCAAGTGGGGGCAGCAGGGTTTTGCCCCGTTGGGCCCCCAAGAGGGAAAAAGCAAGACTATCCTGAGAATCCAAATCCATGTTTCAGCATGTTTCATTGCCTGATATTTTTATTTATTTATTTTTATTTATTTAGTTGTTTGTTTTGTTTGTTTGCTTGTTTGTTTGTTTGTTTCTTTCTTTCTTTCTTTCTTTCTTTCTTTCTTTCTTTCTTTTTTACCACCCAGGTTTAAGACGCGAGTGATTCTGGGGTGAGCCCGGAATGAGCGACAGAGGCTATACTAGCTGTGCAATGCGTTTCCACTGGTCTGAGCGCACATTTGTTGTTTCATTGGTTTTCAAGTTTTGTGGACGCCTACGTTATGTGGATCGCTTGAACCGAAACGGTTGGAGATCGGATCAACAGCTACTATCCCAAGGCAAAGTTCGCCGCACGCGATGAAACTCTTGGAAGCTTTTGACGTTCTTTCCACCACGAAGCGTGCTGCCCACGGCTTGGAAGGGGGGACTTGATCTGGGTTTATCTGAAAAATTGCGAACATCCTGTTGCAAAGGAAGCAACAGCACGCCAATCTGCAAGGGTCCCTCGTTTCGAGACACGCTCTGTTATGTCTCCCGAGGAGCCCGTCGAGGAGCCCAAGAAAGATGAGGAGGAAGTTTGAAGAGAAGTGGACGTCAGCAAGCAGTGCACATGAATCAGCAACATGACGTGTGAAAACCGGAGATGAGAGACCAATGTCTCCTGCAAAATCAGCAGACCACAAAATCAGAACTTCAGGCTTCCGCAGTTGAAGCTTTTTTGGACGTTCCTCTTAGTTGAGTCTGGTTTGGACAGACTCCGAATCGCGCAGTTTGTCGTATTGGGAGGTAGACCCCCTTTTGTTCGGTCTTAAACGGAAACCAACAGGCAAACCACCATTTTGGGAGTCCCACAAAAAAGGCACGCCCACATTAAAATTTAAAATCCCTTATGGAGAACTTGGGCCATCTCGGAAGCTTGCAAGGTCTAGTCTAGTGTAAGATTCCTTTAAAACGCCAGTCGCATGACATTGTTTGGAAGGCACATTTTGCAGGCTCTTTCTGAATTCAAGTTTGCTTGCTGGCAGACATGCAGAGAAAGGCTGAATCCCAGCCATGCGTCTTCTGCATTGGCCAAATGCACGATGCGGCCAGCATGTCCTAGCAGGATACGGTGGATGCCTGAACATTGCAGTAGGGAACATGGACCACGAGTGACTGGTTTGCGGCTAGCATGAGGGAATCCGCCCGTATGCTGAAGGCTCCGCACCGCAATCATTCGGTCTGTACAAATCGAGTTTGCAAAGATTGCTGACATCCGCGCCCCACGATCAGTGAGGAAGGCACACACACACACACCCTTTAGTTTGTCAAGCTGCGTGGCTCAAAACAGGATATGCCCTTTGGTTTTCCCTTTTGAAGAAGGCCAAAAAGGGGTGCCCTCAAAAAGGCGCCCACTCTGATAGGGCGGATGTCAAGCGAATCTTTCTCGGATTGCGCCAGTGGCCTCTGCGAAGCAAATCAACATGCACCAATGGGCCCCCAAAAGCTTAGCTGCTATTGGGTTGGATCTTTTTCGACTTTAACTTTGGGTTGAAATGAAGTGGGGTTTTCTACTCAACCCACAAAACGTGTTTCTTTTTTTGCAGAGGGTCAACAGCAACAAAGAAAGGACATTCCTGCAAAAATTGATGGCTTACCGTGTCAATCTGGCGAGTAGCGCTTTGCTTCGCTCCAGGGCGATGCCGTGAACAGACGCAGAGAGGCAGTTGCTTCGCATGCCCAGGCTCCGTCTCACCCTCTCAGCCTCGGAGACCCGTGACGGATACCCAGTCGCGAGAACCGCTCGCGGAAAAGTGCCGGCTGCTACATCCATTGCAATGTTCCTAGGGTTGGATCACTTTTTTTGCGACCTGTCCAGACCCCCCATTTCACCCCACGCTGACATTCTTCGACTGCTCACGACGTCGCCCAGCCGCCGAAGGGATCGCCCTGGGGACCAGCGGAGGGCAGATCCTCCGAACCTCCAAACTTCTCATGTCTCATCCATCCCAACTCCAGGATTTTGTCCCACAGTATCGCTAGGCACATGGGTATGGGTCAGAATCAAGCCACCAGGAATCGAACCTCAGGTTTGAGTCCTGGTTTCCATTTACCCAGGGCAAGCAAGTTTGGGGTTACCCTATTTTTGACCCACAGCCACATGAGATCCTCCAAACCTCGATAATTGTACAGGCGTATCGGGGATGGGTCCAACCCTTGCACTTTTGGCGAGCTTTGTCGCGTGCATTGGCATGTCCTTGGCTTAGCCGACATCAAAGAACCTCCGTGCAGAAAAGGAAGGCCCGGGTGCCTCGGTGCGTCGCGCCTCGCATAGGGGCAACTGATCAGCGCTCCACAGTATCGCAGCGTCGCCTCGTGCGGCTTGTGGCTTTGACGTACAAGCAGCAGCCCGCTTGCGCCGTTGGCGGATGCGCCCCGGAACATGCTCAGCTGCCGGCTTCGTGCTGTGAGGCAGGCCATCCCGCCTTTCCGCCTTCCGGACCGGTACGCCGAACAGGCCTGCGTTGCGGACTACATGGTCTGCAGCGTCGCCAGCCAGGACAACCTGGAACCACCTGCGATGGTACACGTTTTTGTCAACTTGCAGAGGATGGGGCTGTGCGCCCCGAGCCGCGCATTGGTCGCCAATCCGCTTGGCATAGGCGTGCCCGCACTGCCTGCAGCACTTGCAGTGAGGAGGTGCGCGCGCCTGCAGAAGCTGGCGCAGCATACTCCGAGTGCGGCAGCTTGCCAACCTGACATTGCTGCTGGCACTGGCTGCTGGTAGCCCCGTTGCGTCCACAGTCGCTCCCTGCTTGCGCACATGCACACATCAGAAGCCAGAAGGGCTTTCGCAACAAGCTGACCGCACAGGCTACCGAGCGCAGTCTTGGTTTCTGGGCTTGCTGGTTTGCAGAATCGTGTGCCCTTTTTTGGGACCGCGCGCTTGCCGCCAGGCAAGAGACGCAGAGCCGGCATCGGTTGTGAGTGCGTTGCGCCTTCACTTCACTCCTCACCAGCCCAGGTTTTTGTTTGGCATCGTTTCATTCTTCCGAACAAGTCGGTTTCTCAAGGGCTGATCTGCCTGGTTTCACCGCCGCAGAGATTGCAGGCGAAAGAAACAAAAGAATTTCACACGCTGCGTGGGTGGGGGTGGAGCCACAGGCAAGTCAATGCACATCTGCGCAACGTGTTCTCCA